GAGTAATGTCAACACTCTCGACATACCCCTTTCTCCCTAGTCAGTTTCCAGCTTTTATTTTCTGTCTTAGAGACCGAACCGGCACGTAAGTATCCTCAGCAGCACAAATTGTACTTTTCGCTCTATACATATACTACCTTGGCAGTCACCGGCTTCCGGGGATGATCCCGACTTGTCGTCACCCCGCCCAATAAGAGCCCAACCAAGTACAATATCTGTAAAAAAAAAACCCAAGCCTGTATGTTTGATCTTTAGGCTTGGGCTTGCATTAGTTTTCGACCCGGGCCCTCAGGTATGGTTCCGGTCCAGCATGAAAGAATTCCCAGGTGACTTCCCGTTATGGACCATCTCTCTGGTCGTAAGATAAGCTGAGCGATGCCGTAGGTCCTACGTGCAGTACACGAAGGAGGAGTTTGCGACAAAGACGTTTGGACTCTGCACCACCCATCTACCCGCTTCTAATTCGGCACATAATTTATTTACCTTTACTTTAATATGTACCTGTACGTCGTTCCGATTCTAACGCCTTCTTTTCGCAATACTTGGATGCCTCCTTGGCGAAATACTGTGAGAAGTAACTCGTAGACACCGCCGCTCAAAATAAAATTAAATCTGACGAATAACGCAAGAATTTGTTTATCTGACTTGGAGCATGTGATCTCTACTCCCATCTCGACGGCAATGGAATATACTTGGACAATACACGACCTGATCCATTCGATTGAGGTTCGCCTCTTCTCCACAAGATCTACTAGTAGACAGTTCATACAATGAAAATGAATCCGGGTCCTGATCCACAAATGTTTTAGATAGATCGCGCACGTAATCATCCTGGAAGGATCGTGAGACAATGTCATGCGAACAAGACACTTAGCCGAAGCCAAGGATCCTCATTCAACTCGTCTGCGGCGGAAGTGCAGCGCTCGACAAATGAACTAGAAGGCTAGGCATCATAGGTATGTAAGTGAAGAATGGCATTGTTGGGATAACCATAAAAGATAAATTGATTACGCCAATGCTTCACTTTTCCGGGGGGTTCTTGTAAGCTTGACAGTACCGAGTTCGATGTATGAAGCTGAGTTGAGACCATGTCTCTATCCCCACAAATTATACGTGAAGAGTTTCGAGAGCTAATAAAGACATGATAGGTACGTTCTCAGACGTGCTATATAATGCTGACGAATTACATAGTAAGAGCTCTTCCATTGGCAGGCGTTTGCTATCAACATAGTACCTAAGCGCGCATGAGCGTTGACATGTTTCTACTCTCGGAAGCAAAGCGTGTCTCCGATTAATATATCGTAACATTAAATCAGTCAACGGGGTCGGGTCAGGTGAAAAGATTCAAGCTTTATAACTAGGTACCTACTCGTTACGTCTCAGCTAGATATGCATAAGAGTCAAGAACAATCAGATATAGATATAGTAAGCCACCTAGGTGGCGGCTAGGTAAACGTATAGCCTTCGTAAGCATGAATCCTGAAGTATAGAATGGAAATTTATCAGATTATTGACGGAATCTGTCACATATAAACTACCTGGTGTAGCTACCTCCCTATATCACTAGCAATGGGTCCGCGACTTTCCTAGTGATCATATCAATAGAATAACTACCTAGGTACACTTATAATATTTTAGAGGAAGGATGATAATCCACGATTTAACGCTTAGGTATGTATAAAGATTGGGAATCACGTCTCTATAGAATCATCTGATACGTAATGTACTATGTTCAACTACAAACATATAACGATGCCGCTGTGCTGTTTTCCTCAGCAAGATATCCTATCAGCTTAGTATAATTTGATTTAAACGTAGAATGGCCAATTCGAACTGCAGAACGTGTCTCTGACCTGGGAGATAGGTTGATACCCATGATCTTAGATGGTAGGTACCCAGCTAATCGCCCTTACGTCGAAAGGCTCCACGTGCCTTAAGGATGGATTCTACCTAGGTAGTTAACAAGGGTGCGAAGTTTAATACCGCAGGGCATTGCTCACGACCTAAGTACGTGCGTCATCACGGCCTGATTTTACTAGAATTTCAGCTAACCCTCATCAATAGCATCACCTTACTCGACAATATACCCGCCAATAGGCAAATATAAAACGAGTAATCGGACCCAGTCATCACTCGCCTCATCTTTCTCTTTAGTAATTTCCGAGTGATTTTCCGTGGCATCGGTCACCATGACTCATCATCAAGGTCCAGCCAGCCACCTATCACGACGGAGCGGTGTAAACGCGGCCCATAGAAGCGCGCTTAAACTACCGGAGAAGACCTTGTCTACGAAAGCTCATGTCAGAAACTTACGACATATTCAGCTATCTATTCAAGTAAGAGGAACCCTGTTGAAGCTGTTCACCGCCCCCCTTCGGAACCGAGTCATTCCATTCCTTGCAACTCATCTCATACTGTAGCCGACAAAGAAAGCTACATGGCGAGACCCAGAAGCAAGTACCTGCGTAAAGGGTGGGGAGTACGTGTTATGATCGGGCTTCTACGACGAGCCAAGAAGACGCTAGGGATCTGTATAGACCACGTTCAAACCCCTGAGGAGATGGCGTACAGCCGGCGGCCCGTCACTAGTTTCGCTAACGTGGGTCCACAACTTACCGTAAAAGTCTCCGTCCCTTGCGCCGGGTTGAATGGAGCCATTGACTCTCAAGCCCCGAAAGGTTACCTATCACGAACATAAAAGTTCATCTTGGAAAATTATCGAACTCGAGTTATATTGTATAACTGATCACTCACTCCATACTACAGGTAGATTTCAAAAGATTTCTTGAATCAGAGTTACTAGGTATGCTTGGTCTCGTGAATGTTACCATCGAAATGGCCAACAGGCTTGGCATATTTAGTTATGATATGCAATAGAATATCTTAAAATCCATCGAGTATAACTACCAGAGATGTATAACACTGTAGACTAGGTAGGTAATGTTTAGATACAAGCTAGAATAGGGGAATAGGGGGTTCAGGTATCACTTCCAACTATTATAGACTATCCATTATTTACCTAGGTACTCCTTAACTCCAAGGTGTTTGAACGTCTTATTAACCCTATCTTCTAAGTTTCCCCTGATCTAATGTGTAACTACACATCTTAAATACTAGGAAGCTATTCAGGAGACCCAGCGCAATATTATTAATCTTCTATCATTCCCTTGGGCATTAATTGAGAACATGGTAGACTACCTACAAAAATCTCGCTACTCGCCGATGATTTGTGGAAGACAAACTCTATCCTGAAGACCTCGCCTGCATTCGAATCCTAGACTCACTTGGTAGGTTGAGAGGTAAACGTTAACGAGTCAGAATCCGGTTTTTCTCCAGCTCTAGACTATAAGGAAATGTAGTAAGACGGTGGTTATATATATTATTCCCAGTAAAAGGAATTGTGTACATTTGAAAGACGCCTACCTTGATACGCATGTATACCTAGTATCATTATGTCAACTTATAGCCTTTCCATGGTATTACCATAAGGTAGAAGCCCCTTTATAATAAACTTAAGTGTTGAGAACGTAGGTAGGTACTTCTCGAGACTTGTTCAGGGCTGGTACTCCTACTCCAAAGAAACTAGTGTTATATTATTAAAGCTATACAATCCAATATCATGGCCCTCATTTTAATCATCTTTGACGGTGTTAGAAATCGAGGCGACCGTTCGAAACCTTTTCATGAGCTAAATATCTAGTGATTTCGCGATATTCAAGCGTCTTGATCACATTTTCAGAGGCTCACGACATATCTAACCGTATGTTAGCATATAACATATCATCGTGTAATCACTGGGAAACGCCAAAGACCAACTATGCCATTGAAGTGATAATTGGATAGCAATCGTAGACTCTGAGCTAGACGATCTTGAAAGGGGACTGTCCGATATACCTCGTAATAATAGAAAAAAGGGCTAGACGTAGCCGGAAGGGGGTTAATAAGATCAAAGAACCGTACAATGCATTGAAACTTTCTTTGCAATCGTGTGCAATATAGGGGCTTACTAGATATATCTAATGTAGAAATCATGGGCACCTTAGCATTGGACCCAACAATAGGAGAAGCAGCTCTATGAAACTCTCATGTCTTCTACAACTTTCTCTTCCTTCTTCATGCCTTCTAAGGTTCTTGTTTCTGAGGCTTAATATTAACCACATGAAACTCCATGATTCATCAAATATCTGAAGGCTCATTCCAAGCGGCTTCCAAGCATGGTAATTTTCTCGACGCGTTCACTATGTGCCTACGAGCATGGCCCAACCCAACCCAGTGGCCAACTAGGCAAGGAGTTCTTCGAAACGGACTTATAGGCACGGCGGCTAGAAAAAATTCGATTAGGTTACGAGACATGTGTAGGGACTCATGACGTGTCGGAGGTCTGACCTATTGACTGGGATAGCCAATTGGTAGCTAGCTTTAGCAGTGTGGGCAAAGAGCGTAGCCCATTGTAGGTACTGCGATTCCAGACCAGAAGAATTTAGAGCTCCTGGCGCAATAATGGGTTTTTTTCATCCGAGATTTCTGTATTATCGTAATGTGTTTTTATTGCCTCCTGTGGCTTTATTATTAGGGTGCTGGTCACTTAGATGAAGCCAACACCAATAATTAAAAAGGCCCGAATGGAGGAATCATGACATGTCAAACAGACGTTGACAAGTAATTCCAGAGCTGGAGGATATAATATAACGTATTACAGGCGCAAAAGTCGCTAAATAGGTGCCTTTCACACAAGGTCCAGAGATAGGAGGCTGGCTAGGCACCTAGTCATTCGAAGACGCCATTTGCTATAAGACTATGTCGATCCTTCGTCGAACCATCCCGAGAAGTAATCAGAGCTAATTCCAGCTAACTCCAAATAGCTTGTACTTCCTATTTCCTCCGCTTGAAGGCTTAGTTTCTGCATTTTCCAGGTAGATCCTTTGATGGCCCCTGACATCCACGCACAAATACTTGTACTCAAATTCGTCATGGCCGGGACGCTTCGTTAGGTGCGCATGCACCGTGCCATTATTGAGAGGGCCTTCAACCTATGACTGGTAAGACGCCATTGGAACTCCAGTCTGTTAAAATGGACTTACATAAAAGTTTATCATTAAATGTTGTGTACCTTGGGCGTCCGTACTCAGTGTCGACCTATTGTCGTTAGTTAGGTGAAGAGGCTAACATACATCGAAACCCTATAAGACATACGCAATTGGACGCGCGCGACGCCATTTATTCATAGTTTCCTCACCATGCGCGACGATCTTCTTGCTGTCACCAAGGAGCGCCACACACTCTGGATCTTTCTTAACTCTATCGAAGGCTCGACTGAAGTATGCAGTCTTACTTTCCGGAGAGAAGACATCTTGGTACAGGAAGTATCCAACACCCCCCTAACAGATTACATTTCTTAGCATACTGTCATATCCGAGCGACCAACGGCAAACGACGGGAGCTTTACCGTCAATACCAAGCCTACCATCACAAGACCAAAGTTGAAAGTCTGTTGCGTGGCGCGCGAGGCTTTCTCTCCAACGGACAGCTGATGCCATGGCACATTGCCATCATCGTTGAATGGCGTCACGGCCCTCCTCTTGGAGGCGGCTGAACTATTCCCCAACCCATGCTGGGTGGCATAACCGCGGTAAGGAAAAACGGATTGCAACCGCGGAAGAATGGCGGAAGTACCTAACGGTCGGATTGGGAGCTTCATCACGACGTGGTTAAGTCCATGGGTGCTGATTTTCCCGATCGAAGATCCTGAAGCGAGGATATTCGTGACGAAGGAGGCTTTCAATAGGAGAGGTTAGTTGGAGTTGGTTGAAGCTTTTGAAGCTTCCGCTGAAAGCGATCCCGTGTGGGGAAACGTTGTTATCTTTCTTATCTTAGCGTATGGCTGATAATGCGCTATACCAGCTCTGGGCTAGCTCTCTTTATGAAATAGCATGTGGGTCCGTGGGTCTACTGTCCATCCATTGAAGTGTCATTTTGGCGAAATCTGGCCGAACTCCTGATTTCGATTTCAACATTGACTTTCAGGTTTCATTCCTCCCCCTTTTTATTCCACGCACAAGACGCGCACCCGCCCCTATATCAACTATAGCGCCTATTGCGTTCGAAGTAACTGGCAAGATGAGTGCGCTTGCAACCAAGCAGCAATCGCAGAAGATCTTCGAGAAATTGAAGACCAAGCCTGCGAATAGGGTGCGTGATAATCATAGTCACCCATTCCCGAACATACTACCACAGCGGTATGGCTTGTTTACAAAATGCTAACCTTGCTCGTGCGCGCGAATAGATATGTTTTGATTGTGGCCAGAATAACCCGACATGGACCTCCGTGCCCTTTGGCATCTACCTATGCCTCGACTGTTCCTCTAACCACCGAAATCTTGGTGTCCACATCTCCTTTGTCCGCTCCACCAATCTTGACCGTACGCCACTCTCACCAACCTAAACCCAAATGCCGCGCTAACTGTCCATATAGAATGGCAATGGGACCAACTTCGTGTTATGAAAGTTGGCGGCAACGAGTCTGCTACAAAATACTTCCGCGCAAATGGAGGAAGCGCCGCCCTCGCTAGCAAAGACCCCAAAACCAAGTACCAATCTAGCGCAGCAACCAAGTATAAGGAGGAGCTAAAGAAGCGGGCCGCCCGAGATGCATTGGAGTATCCCGACGAAGTCGTCGTCACTGATGTGGTTGGAGACGCTGATAACTCAGCAACCCCCTCTAGCGAACCAAGTGATGACTTCTTTTCTTCGTGGGATAAGCCATCTATTAAGAGGCCTACACCGCCCATCTCGCGGACTAACACACCGCCTGTTGTCGGTCGAACCGCTTCCCCGTTCCTAAACGCAGGCTCTAATGGGAAGGAAATCTCGAGATCTTCATCGCCGTTATCCAAGTCTGACTCCGCCACCGAAACCAAACCCGCCGCCAGCCGAATCACCACGTCTGCCGCTCTTCGAAAGACCACCACAGGGCCTCGCAAAGCCAACGTGCTAGGCGCGAAGAAGACCACTACTAAGCTTGGAGCAAAGAAAGTTACTGGAGATATTATTGACTTTGACGAAGCCGAAAAGAAGGCTAAGGAGGAGGCCGAACGAATCGCAAAGCTGGGTTACGATCCGGAAGCCGAAGAGGCCGAAGCAAAGCAGGCTCCTACATCCAAGACTGAAGCTACCAACGTTACTGCTCAGGCACCAGCGAACCCCCGTGGATATGGATCTGGTCATACCCGCGAGAAGTCGGCGGCTGAGGTTGAACGGTTAGGAATGGGTTTCGGAAGATTGGGCTTTGGACAAGTCGGGGGCGGCAAAGCTGCTGCCGGTGTTGCGCCCAAGAAGAACGCTGGTGGATTCGGATCAGTCGGACCCGTCAAGGCTGCTACCGAAGGTAAGACTTATCGCTCATTGCAGCCGATCTCTTAAGAATGTATGGCTAAATATCTCATTTTAGACGACGATGAGCGCTACGCACGAAACAAGTTTGGTAACCAGAAGGGTATTTCCTCAGACGAGTTCTTCGGGAAAGGATCATTCGACCCTAACGCCCAGGCTGAGGCCAAAACCCGCTTGCAAGGGTTTGAGGGCGCGACGTCCATCTCTTCGAACGCTTACTTTGGCCGACCTGAGGAAGAAGATCCGGTTGATGATTACGGCGATTTGGAGACTGCGGCCAAGGATTTCATCCGAAAGTTCGGTATTACCGCCGGCGACGATCTCGACAACTTGACGAGCGCGTTGGGCGAAGGCGCTACCAGGCTCCAGGGTGCTATCCGCAACTACTTGAACGGTTAAGCCGGGTCGGACATAACAGTACGGAACGTGGCAAGCCTTGTAGACTAGACTATTTCAGTCTAGAATAGCACGGGTTGAAAGGGTGTAGGCGAGGTTTTCTGTAAACCCGACTTGAATGGCAGCTGTTAGAAAAGTCTGGCGCGGGTAATACCAAGTCGATGCCGAGGGTCACGGATGAGACAAGACGCGATGAATGGTGTCACGAACACAAATGGCTGCATCAACTCATGATTTTGACGGTATAGAGAAGGTGGCATGGTACGCATATGTAGTAATGAAAACTGATTATCTGAAAACGCGTCGGGAGTTGAGTGTATTCCCTGTTGCCTAAGGCCTACACGGCCCAGGTGCCTAAATAGTTATAAAAGGGGTAATGTCGAAAGTGCGCAAACCATTCCGCCAGCCCAGGCATCAATATATTAGAGACGGGCTTTATTCGAGACATCCTATCTACCGATATATGTAAAACACCTCTGATGTAGCTACAATATAGATACGAAGGTAGGCATATCAAGTAGTAGATACCTAATAGTTAACGAAAAAAAGAATTTCAGGTAGTCATAGGTACTCATTTCTATTCTAGATAGTAGGCATGGTCTCAAAATCCCAAATTTCATACTCGTACCCGCTCTAAACCGTAATCCAGAAAAAAGAAAAAGAACCTCCGTTACCAGTGTGTTGATAAGTCTATACCATTTACCGCGCCCGTTCATTAATCTCGTGATCTTTTTGATGGATGTCGTATTCGTAATTTGCTCCCCTGCTTCTTCTTACCCCTTGTCCTGTCTTATCTTTGCCTTGTCCTGTCTGTCTTATCTGGTTCATGACTAGGTAGGTATGCAGGTACCGTACTATATGCAAGATACCTACCTACCCAAACCTCTTAGCTAAAAGCACTAAAAGCCAACCTCGTCTTAAACTCTTCGAACCGCTCTTGCACATTTACCCCGTTCCAAGTTTCGTTCCCCTGGTCATCCTTCCCTAATACCGGGGTCCCGACCTGTTCGATGGCCAAGCTAGCCGCGATGCTGCCCCACGCAGCCGCTTCCTCGAGGCTCTTCCCGCGGGCCAGCGCGACGGCCAGACCGCCTAGGAACGTGTTGCCGCCGCCGGTAGGATCGACCACTTTCGAGGGGTCGGTGTGGTACGCGGGGATCCAGCGCTCGACGCCCGGGTCGACCTCGATCTCCTCGCGGGCGATGGTGCCCTCGGGGTCCTGGAGCAGGCCCGCGAAGAGGGCCTCCATGTCGGTATCGGGCTGCAAGCCGCCGTGCAACAGGGCAGACGGCTTCTTCGCGCGGGGGCGCGGCTTGCCGGCGTTCGCCACCTTGCGCTTGCGGCCGCCGTTGCGCGCGAGGTAGCACCCCTTCTCGCCGGCGCGGACGACGATGGCGAAGGACTGGAGCGGCATGGAGCCGAGCAGCTGCTCGCAGGCGCGCTCGACGGCCTTGGTGCTGATCTCGCCGGTCTCGGGGTCGAGCCCGGAGTCCCCCATGAACCCGGCCAGCTCCGAGTGGTTCGGGCTGATGATGTCGATGAGCGGCAGCACGTTGGTGCAGTTCAGCAGCTCGTCCGGCGTGCACAGGTCCGGCACCGGCTCCCAGATGAAGATCGGCTTCGGCAGGGCGCAGCCGTCGGGCCCGGAGAGCCCGCTCCGCCGCGCCTTGATCTCGGTCACGAGCTCGCGGCACCGCGCGGGCGAGCAGATTAGGTGGAAGGAGCGCGCCGTGAGTAAGGTCGGGGTTAGGTCCTCGGCCGTGAGACGCTTTTTAGGCGTGGTGTAGCGGAAGGCGCGGTGCTCGTGCTCGTCATAGCCGTTCCAACCACGCGTGGTGAGGCGCTCGGGCGTGTGACGTATTAGTGCCGAGGTCTCCCAAGTAGAGATGAGGTCTTCGCAGGCCGGTGGGAAGTCAGAGCCTTTGTCAATGATCCACCCCACGGATCTTGAAAGCGGCGGCGGGGAGAAGAGCCGCGCCCCTAAAGCGGAGTAAGCACCGGCGCCGCCAAGGACGTCCTTCACCGGAGGCGTCGGTGGGAGAAATTCGATTTCATCTTGACTATGTTAGTTTTCTAAATTTCCTATAATTAAACCATCCCCATAGGGCCGAAACCGGAATAGATAGGATGATGATGGTGATCATATGAAATGTTTGATTCACGTGTCCGAGGCTTCAAGGTACAATAGGATCGGGTAGATAGAAGGCTGCTGCGAAAATTGTCCATTAATATCCATATCCCACCCACTTGGTTTGGACGCAGTCAACCAATCTGACCCTCACATACCGAAGATCATAAGGCTCTAGGCTTCATGATCAAAGGGCGGTGGGTGATAGATATGATGAATAGGTCCAATGAGAAATGAGTACTTCATAAGGAAATCTTTAAGATTAGGAAAGAAAAGTGAAAGTGTATCGTACCGATGATGAACATGCCCAAGGTGACGAAATCTATCTCTTGAGAAACAATATCGTCGCTCTCAGATTTGGGCACATGCTGGGCATCCATAATTTTTAATTTTTAATTTGTTTCTCAAAAACTTCGACTCTTTAAAGCTCTCCCGAACAGACTGTTGAGCGTCATGTCATGTCATGTATCGTACGGTTGGCGTATATTTTGGAGTGCATGAATGATTCCCCCTTTAGACCGCTGCTCTGGCTTTCTTGGGGTATCGTTTATGCAACAGTGTCGTATGGTTGTAGTTGAGAGGCTGCAGGTCTGAGATGGCCGTCGGCCCAGTGCCAGAGTTTTGGTGCTATTTGATAGGCAGGATTTACTGATCAGGCTGAGCTACTGCAATGCAGCCTCACTTCCAAAAGGATCCAACTTTTTGTCGTTTTTTTCGAGGCAGAATTCCAAGGTTCATTAATATAGAATTGTGTTTTTTGGTGGTTTGTCAGTTGGCAAATGCTAAAACGATTCGTTACGGCGTTGGAGATCTCATGCCTGTAATAACTTTGGGGCCAATCAGAATCGAGGATGCGCGGATTGACTTTCACTAAATAGGTTAATGTAGGGGCCCTAGGGCCCTATCGTTACCAAGTGTACCTACATGTAGGTAGGTGCCTCCTAGCTTATGTACAGTAGTGGGTCTTGGGTACGACCTTGGTACTTGAAGCTTCCATTGTGATTTCTTGGCGGCTGTCTGAAGTTCGAAATCCCACGTCGTACATCAATTTTCTGGCCTCATCGTCTATCACATCGTGCATCTGTCGCCTCGTCAGCATAGTAGTCTTCCCCTATACCAATGCTTACTTAGCTAGGCAGCAGCCTTTTCGATCCTATTAGTTACCAATCACGGACGAGGTATCCTGTGTTTCTGTCCAATTCAAACGGGTGCCTCTCTTTCTACATTGGGTCTTGATTCGATTTCCCCCTGATCGGAGCTTCAAATATCGTCAAACTTGAACTTTCGAGGAGAACAAGCCCAAGTTGCAACTGCCAACATGGCGCAAAACAATATGCATAATCTAGTAACATTAATCAAGCGGTAGGTTAACCTCTATCCTCAAAGCCCCAGTTATTTCACATCTTCTCCCTGTACAATATGATAATGGTGCTTAACGTTGTGCCTATTATACGATTCAGTTCAGCCATGTGGATAAGTCAGAGAGTGTTCTAACGAAAGGTTATAGGCTGGAAGCTGCCACAACTCGCCTGGAGGACATTGCTTCGTCGACAATAGAGCTGCCTCAAGCTGTTCCCGCCCTCACGGCTACCGTTGCAACACCTTCTGGTCCGTCTAGCATTTCGAGTCCCATACCACACGCCGCCTTACCGCCCCCTCCTGCGTTGAAAGAGGCACCCGCAGAGCCTCTACCAGAGTCCATCGAGGAGTTCGATAACTTCATCAGCCAGTCTGTCGAGAAATATGTCGCGGCTAGCAACAAATTGGGCGGCTTGATCGCCGAACAAGCTTCCAAGGTGTTAGAGGGCTTCAAACAGCAGCGTCGTTTTCTGTTGATATCCACAAAGGCCAAGAAGCCTGACATATCTGGGTCTGAGATGGTTGTCTACCAAGAGCTCCTGAAGCCTATTAACGAGGCGCTTATGGACGTCGGCAGCATTAAGGAATCCAACCGCGGCTCTCCTGTCTTCACCCAGCTAAGCGCCGTAGCTGAGGGTATTATGGTGCTGGCCTGGGTGACGGTAGACAACAGGCCGTTTAAACATGTCGAAGAGTCCCTCGGATCAGCGCAATTCTTTGGAAATCGGGTACTAAAGGAACAGAAGGACAAGTATGAATAACCCGACCCTTAATCTTCTAATCAGTACTAACCCGATCTACAGAGACCCTAGCCAAGCCGAATGGGTTCAGTCCTTTTACCAAGTTTTCAAAGACCTTGCGGAGTACGTCAAGTTGTACTTCCCTAGCGGCATTCCCTGGAACCCGAAAGGACAATCCGCTTCCGAAGTCGCGAAAACACTGACGTCCGCCCCGTCCGCTGCCGCTGCCGCTCCTCCTCCTCCTCCGCCTCCTCCCGCTGCAGGTGGTGCACCTCCACCGCCGCCTCCTCCGGGCCCACCCCCTGTCCTCCAGATCAAAGATCAGTCCGCGCCCTCCAAGCCGGAGGGCATGGGCGCGGTATTTAGCGAACTGAACAAGGGCGAGAGTGTGACTAAGGGCCTGCGTAAAGTTGACAGGTCGGAGATGACGCACAAGAACCCGGCGCTGAGGGCCGGGTCTACCGTCTCGGACTCGACTAGGGGCAAGAGTCCCGCGCCGGGGAAGAAGCCGAAGCCGGAAAGCATGCGCCTCAAGAAGCCCCCGAAGAAGGAACTGGACGGAAACAAATGGACAATTGTAAGTTGCTCGCCGCCCGTGCAATGTGCGATGGCGAACAGTAGGGACTAACGTTCGGAATAGGAAAACTTCGATAAGCATCCGGAACCGATCGAGATCGAGGCGGAGATGTCGCACTCGATCCTCATCAGCCGTTGCAACCAGACGACCATCATCGTCAAGGGAAAAGCCAACGCTGTCACCATCGAGAACACCCAGCGCCTAAGCCTCGTCATCGACTCCCTTGTATCCACCGTCGACGTCGTCAAGTCCTCCAACTTCGCGCTTCAAGTGTTGGGGACCCTGCCTACCATTCTTCTCGATCAACTCGATGGCGCCCAAGTCTATCTTAGTAAGGAAAGTATTTCTACGCGCGTATTTTCCAGCAAGTCCGCTGGCATCAATGTCAACGTCCTCGCAGGTGACGACGATGATTACAAGGAGATCCCCTTGCCTGGCCAGATCTGCTCGTATTTTGACGAGGAGAAGGGCGACATGGTTAACGAGATCGTCGACCACGCCGGTTAAGCTAGATCAAGTTGCGCCTTCTTCGGGATCCGTTCAGTGTTGACCAAGTACGGTGTAAATAAATGGTGGCGGTGATCGTCGACATTGGATTAGATTTAAGACAGACGCTACGTGATGCAAAATCTCGAACAAAAACGCTCTGCCTAGACGGCGAGCGAGTAAGTGTTAGAAAGCCAGGATACCTGGGTGTGCTCGGTTTCCCACGGTTTGTCGCATTGCCTACGTACCTAAGGTATTATATAGCATTCGTACTATTCAAAGCATTTGCAATTTCTATATGATCTATTCATATTTCCCGCATCTTTACACATAGAAGTCCGGATCATACGTGCGACCTGTTTCACAAAAAGATATTTATTCTTTGTTGAAATTTACCTTAGCTAGATACCTGGGGAAGCTATTTATCCATCCACCAACACCGGTTCTCATGCTCTAGAAGAAAATTCTAGCAAAAAAGGGCAAGCCCCGAAACAATTCGGGGATGAATACGGCTTGCGCCGGCGGGGATAGATCACGATGCAAGCAAGAAAATATCTACCCAATCCTCCCCATTCCGCAATCCTACGAGAAATAGCAGTAGCGGAATGTCTAGAGCAAAGCATAAACGAAACCCCTTTTTATCCTGTTTCTCTTCTTCCTCTGCTCCCTCCTTACAGCTTCGCCTTTGGCGGCTCCAGGGTGGGCAGGAGCAGGTCGCGGATGTCGTTCGCGGCCTCGTTGATGTAGTAGCTCAACTTCTGGCTTCCGATGCCCTTAGACACGATGTTGAAGTTAAGACTGTTTATCGAATTCTATATTAGCAGGTTTATTCTAGCAGATGGGTGGTTAGCTAGCTTACCTATTCTCGTTGATCATATACGCGATGCCGAACCCGGCGTCGATGACCTGGCTCCAGCCGTACCCGTTGAAAAACTCGGAGCTCAGCTGGCTCGTGGACAGGTACCACGAGCTACTATACCCGTACGCGGGGTCCTTGTAGAGGGCGGGCAGCTCCTCGCCGGGTTCTAGCAGCTTCTTCAAACCGAAGAGGTGGCGATCAACACCCTTGCCGTCAGACGCAGCACTAATGTACTCGATGTGCGCGTTGACGGCCTTGCGGAACAGGTCGACGCGGTCCTTGGCCTCGACGTCGGGGTCCGACATGGCGTTGCAGAAGACGACGCTCTCGTCCGACACCGTGCGGCAGGTCTCGGTGCGGCCCTGCTGGAAGCGGCGCGTCGCGGCGGACTCGTACGTGGGCCGGTTCTTGCCGTACATCTTCTTGTAGGCCAGCTGGATGACCATCTGCACGTACGCGTCGGGCGAGCACTTGAACTTCTTGATCAGGCCCTTGCCGTAGGCCTGGTACGCCTGGACGGCGAGCTCGTGCTGGCCGATCACCTCGTTGAAGTCCTTGATCGCGCGGTCGATCTCCGCCTGCACCTCCTTGGTGACTACGAAGTTGACTTTGACCGGCTCCGGGAGGTTGGATCGCACGGTGGGGTCGCTGAAGTCCAGCTTGTTGGCGAAGATGACGTCGTTGACGTAATCGTTGAGCCGGTGTGTGGGTGTGCCGTCCATCATGCTGTGCTCGCCTAGGAAACCGGATGTGCCGTTGTCGTTGACGACAAACTGCAGAGGCTTGTCGTACCATCTGTTCTGGCCATCGCCGTGCCAGTACTGGTGCGCACGCTCCTCGAGAGTTACGGGGGAGGCATCGTCAAGACATACGAGAAAAGAAGCGGACTCAATGGCTTCGAGGGCCGCCTTGTTCTTGGGAGAGGCGTCTAGAAGCACCTTGCGCGCGGCCGTCCAGACATCCCGGTTCTCGGAAGTAAGCGCACCTACGGCGGGGACTCGCTCAGCGAGGTCGTAGATGCGCGCGAATTGCGATTCGAGCTCACTCGTGTTGAGCTGCTTACCGTCGACCTCGTGGGCGACCTTGAAGAACTGGTTCTTTCGGATGACGATGATGTGCTTGTGCTCTTTGGGGTCGTACTTGACGGGGTAGTCCGCCGGCTTAGCGGGCACCCTGCTGGCATTGAACATCCATTTGTAGCTGTCCATGCAAATCGGCAGCTTTTTCATGTACTCCGGTTCGAGCGAGCCGCTATCTACCTGTTTCTTGAACTCGAGCGCGGCGGTCGTCAAAGCGGCGGCGCGCTTGGCGGGGTTCCGCCGCCGCCGGTCGTCTCGGTGCGAGTAGAAATAGCTGACATACGGGACTACGGGGTCGCGGTAGCTCAGATACGCCGCGTCGTTCCACCACTCGTAAATCCAGTTCTTGATCTCGGGCCTTTCCCGCCGCGCAATCAGCTTCTCTTGCAACTTTTGTCCGATACCGCCCGGTTTTATGAATTCATCAACGGCCTTTTTGCTTGCGGCTAATTCGTCGGGGCTCAGGAGGGGATGTAAAGATTTGAGGTAGCGGGAGGTAGTCTCTTCGAGGGTCGGAACTGGTAACCGGGGAAGGGAGTCCTGGAAGCGGAGCATGGCGCCCTTGGACTTATCCTCGACATATCCTGCAATTCTTTATTAGTTATTCCGATTACAAGAGAAGGTCGCACTCTGTGGCTTGGAAACTTACCACTGGGAATGGAGCTGTTGCTCCGTCTCGCTGCCGGCGCCATAAATATACTCTACGGAATCAGCGTCAGCTTTGCGCCACTACTCAAGCTGGCGGGTCGGAATTAAAACGTACCTTGGGAGCTGCAGCTTTCCTTACTACGGGTATTCTAAGAGCGGTCGCCTGTGCCCGACTCCTTGCTAACGAACTTAACATCCCAATGGTGTTGTCGGAGAGTCTGTTACTAAAGAGCAAAGGAAAAGAAGAGGAAAATACGAAGGCAAGACGCAATAATCTACGAGCCGATAGCTAGCCTCCCTGGCAATCAAAGGAACCGCGGTATGATGAAGTTTGTATGGGACATCTCCTTGTATTAAAGAGTGGAACCTAGGAACCTAGGCTATTTCTTTACGGGACTCCGTTAATCGAGCAGTGTCGACTCGCTACTTGCCCGCTCTAATTAAGTCTGGGCAAGCGCTACAAAAACATCCCTGGCTAGCCGTTAGCCGCTGGCCCGTAGTTGCTAACGTTCCCTAACAATTGAGAATCGGCAGTATGTCCGGTACAACATGTACCTAGGCAGGTACGTAACAGAGCTGCGCCTGCATTGAGGATCTGGTGGGTTGATTCGACCAGACCAGCCAGACCTCAGATCTCCGATGCCGAGGTAAAACTGCCAGCCCCACTCCGGCAGGGATCTCACATCCTTACCCGCAGCTGCGGGAATTTATATGTGGCTTGAATTTGTTTGTATCCATGATCTTGTGACCAAAGCCACATCCGCTTTGCTTTCCTTTCACATGTTATTTCGTAGTGCTATTTGAGGTTCCGCGTCTTATTACATCATTAGCGTCGCGCAACGACGAATGACTTCGAAGACTTCTCGAAGAATATGACCCAGGAACTCGGTCTACAGGAAAGATCATATGAAGATCTTAGGTTAGCTTGTCAAAGTGCCGACGAAAAAGTTAACTTCATTGATCTAGGTTCCCTCATGCTACAGAGGCAGCCTCGAAAGGGGTAGAGGTTTGCAAGATACCATCTCAATCAGTTCACCAATCAGAAGTATCACTTCTGTCAGATTATAATCAGCTCGATCCCCGTGGGGTACTGACATGAAGCTATCCCGCATATCGGGGTAGACATCTGGAGAAATGACAATGACGAAGTATATGACATCGATATCTAATAGCCCCCATGTATACCAGGAAACAGAGCCGAGAAGCTAATTGCTATCGTTATTATCGAATAATGACCCATGCAGCGGTGACCAAGAGGCTCTTTCGTCTAACTATGCTATTGTGTTTGGTAAGACCTGGAATGGAGATCCGCGTTTAACGTGTGGGGCATCTAAACAACACACGATCAGCTTCAAGGAAATTTCGAGCATAGCCTTAGAAGCTTTCCGTGGTTTTCACAATGCGCCAATTACAACCAGGCTCTATTCGTCTCAGTAGTAAGTATACGGTAAGCTCTTCGAATCACCAAGTATTCTGCTCTTAAAGTGATTTATCAATCACTTTTTTGAGGGCAGCTATCGAGCATTGACAGATAGTCTTTTACATCGATGTGAGACCTTCTTCGCGTTGCCGGGACGTCCCTGTCTCAGTCGCATTGGCTCGAGCCTCAGCTGCAACTTCGGGTTTTATTAGCATTCTCCATTGCAAGGCCGCGTCTTGATATCAACATTCCACCAAAACCGTGATAATGTCAATATCAACAAACTATTTAAAATACCAGCTGGGGACCATGTAGGATTTCTTCTACCAGGCCAGGTCTTCCCTCAACTTTCTTTCGCTACTACTAGCCCAGTCGCTCATTTACCATATGCTTCACTTCTAGTCACTCCTTAAATTTATTTCATCTTTTTTTAGAACCCTTATTCCGTTGGCACAATGGCTACGGGATATTCACTTACAACCCATTATGGTGGCCAGGGGCTACTTGATAGCTTCAGTTTCTTCACGGGGATTGATCCCAGTCACGGCTTTGTTGAGTAAGCATACAAGTTAAATAGACGCCTTGGAATCATATCTAATTACAAGCAGTTATCAAAGTAAAGAAGATGCTTTAGCAAAGAACTTAGTATCCGTCGATCGTGATTACAATAGCGTTATACTCGGTGTCGATTCGAACAATACTTATTCAACAAGCGATAAGGGGCGGCCAAGTGTGCGACTCACTAGCCATGATACTTTTAGCCATGGTCTTTTCATTGCGGATTTCCACCATATGCCTGCGTCAACATGTGGCACATGGCCTGCTTGTTCGTCGCCAGATATCCTCTCTTCAGGGGCTCAAGCTAACATATTTCTCAGTTTGGGCTTTTAACAATCAGCACAACGGAACAGATTGGCCCTTAGGAGGCGAGCTTGAAATTATCGAAGGCGCCAATACTGCTGAGAGGAATTTATTCTCGGCTCATACGTAAGTCTCCAGGCGTTCATCCTACTGTGACTTTACTAAACGAAACAGAACCGCAGGATGTCATGCTCCGAGTACCGGGTTTTCAGGAGAACAAGGTCCAACTGACTGCTCACCAAGTGTCAGTTCAGCGTATAAATAACGCTACACAAACTACGATGCTGACATGCTTTTATAGGACGAAAATTTCGGCTGTAATTACGCTTCTCCTCCATCCGATACAACTTCGTACGGTGATTCGTTCAATGTGGAAGGAGGCGGCGTATATGCTCTAGAGTGGGATTCAGAAGACCTGAAATTATGGCACTTCCCACGCTCTACCATCCCCGACGATATCGTCTACGGTCACGTCGTGGGACCCGACCCTTCGTCTTGGGGGCCGCCACATGCGGTCTTCGGCGGCTCTTCTTGCAAACCTGAGAACTACTTTTTCAACATGAGCCTTGTGATTAACACCGTGGGTAACTTCCATCCATATGAGAAACACTAAACTAATATGGGCTGCCAGAACTTCTGTGGCGACTACGCGGGCAATATCTGGGGCAAAGCTGATCAATGCAACCAACTTGCGCCTACGTGCGAGGAATTCGTTGCCAATAACCCGCATAGCTTCCAAGAAGCATACTGGGACATAAACTACATCGACGTCTACCAATATGGGCCGTTAACGAACATGACGATCCCGCCCCTTTCCCCGAGCGCCGCATCCTCGGTAACCCCATCGACCTCCAGCGCGACACCTGCCCCGAGAACACCTGCCCCGAGTGGAGTGACCCCAACTTTTACTCGAACCATCACTTTATCCACAGTACTTCCAGTCGAGACCGATGGTAGCACGGTAGATCCAAGTATCATTAACGGCTACACGCTCCTGGGTTGCTTCGAATCTGGCGCCAGTCACGATTCCTTCTCGCAGGTGTCCTCACACCCGGGAATGGATAATGGAGCTTGCGTAGCTGCCTGTGCCGGACGAAAGTATGCTGGTATACACAGCGAGTATGTATTATCTCTTGAACTCAAAATAGAATATGTACAATGCTAACCCATTATAGTATATGCTACTGTGCCGATACTCTCGGTCCCTCCGTCGCGGTTGATAGCGCCATGTGCGATACCCAATGCAAAGGGAATGGACGTGAGATCTGCGGCGGTTCCGTTGCCTCCCCTGAGCAATCCGGATCTGCTAATTATAAGATCAACTCCGCCCACAAAACCAATTCATCCGCCCCTGCTTCTCCAAACCATCGTCGTGACACACCAGCCGGTATGCTTCTCACGGTCTACGCCAACCTCGGGAGCGAGCCCGCTCCTTCCGGCGCTCCAGCTATGGGCGGTAGGCCAATGGACCTTCACCCTTCCACGCCAGTGCACAATGTAGCAGTCACCACCGCCCTCACCGTGACCTACACAACCGTGTGCCCGACAAACCCGGCCTCACTAATCGAAGTCGAATACTCCACAATAGTCACTTACGAAGACTGCGGTTGTACCGCGTCCAAGCATAAGACAGGTCATCCCTCCATTAACCCCATGAACGTCACGGCAACGATCCCTACTACTCCTATAACAACGGTGCCCATGACAACGCATGTAGAATCATGCCGGGCGTGCGGCCCCCACGGCGAAAGCATCATCACCCTCACCGTACCTGAGGCCATGGTCACTGAAGTCGTCACCTCGATCACGGTGCATACTGTCGTTCCCGTTATCAGCAATATCAGAAATGCCACCCACACCGCGCCGATTCCCGGCACAGCAGTGCCGCTCGCTCCCAACTTCAAACCTAGCGCCAGTCCTAGCAATACCATGCCAGTAGTTGCTGCCGCTCCTCCTAGTAGGTCTGTTAGTATGCTAGAGATGGTTGGCTGGGGCGTTGCTTTGTGGTTTGGGATATTCGGGTTCATGCTCGTCCTATGATAGGGTTTTTTCTAGGTGCCCTTACCTATCTCGCTCTCTTCTCTTTCTTTTGTTGTGTTTCTTGGGCGGCTCAGTGCTATTATGAATTTGAATTTTTATCGTTTTGTTCTTGTGTATTACACAAATGGTATGGGGGCTTAGGGAGCAAACGGTGTTCTAGGCGGGTTGCAGCATACGCATTAGCGACTGGGTAGGGGCATTCTTACGATGATTATGAAATCTTATAGCATACGTTCGCATTCAATGACAATTATTCATATAACAATGTGATTTTGGTGTCATTCCCATGTGAACGAGCACCTGAAGTTGCAATGAATGCACAAGCATTAATGGCCTAACTCCTCGTGATGAACCCGTCCAATGCCTAGGTGTGGCATACCGACCATATTCTTCTACATATATGTACCGACATATATATTTCTCTATAGTGCCATATTTTCAACCATATTTCCCAAATGTTATATCTCGATCGTTATAGGAGGCTTCTTGGTTAACTTCCCCGAAGTCCCATGTTGCATCGCCGCATTGATCATCACGCTTCCGTTGGCGACTCCGCCCAGCATAAACCAATGCCATAGAACGCTGACAAATCCGTAATAGAAGACTTTCCACGCGTCGAGCCAACCCTTATGAGGGATCATGTCCAAGATCAGCCCTCGCTTCGGACGGGACATGACCTTTTCGTAGGACTTTTGGCACTCGTCCCAGAAAATCGGCTGGACACCCCGCCCCCAGTGGACGTGTCCGAATATATGCACCTTCGGCTTCTTCTCCCATATCTCGCGCAGTAGGTTCGGGCAACCGAGGGAGAGATCGAGATGATGTTTCTAGCGTGGAAAGATTAGTCGTGAGAAGTAAAAGGGATAGGTCCAGGGGATAGGCAGCTTACCGGTGGAGTATGAGTTATGAGAATCTCTGTATCTAAGGGGATAGTGCCAGCCCAGGGGTTCTCCGTAGAAGGTATGTATTGGAACCTACAACACCAAGTATAGGTTAGAGTCAATCTCGCCAATGTGGTAAGCAGTTAACGTACGCGTGCTCGGGACCTCCGCACTTGGGAATATCAGGGGCCCCGTAAATATTCAACCTCCGGCCGCCCTTGAAATTCAGCGTGATAGACTTGTGTTCGAGATAATGCAGCGTCTTGGTATCAACCGCCTTGTGGCCCAGCGTATCTGCATCCATCCTCGACCGAATATCGAACCAGCTGTCGTGGTTTCCGCACACGAGGACCTTGTGCTGGTGCGGCAGCGAGACCAGCCAGTCGACCTGCTTCTGGATGGAGGCGACGGTGCCGTCGTTCGTCGTGTCGCCGCAGTGGACCAGCAGGTCGCCATCGGGAACGTCTTGCACGATCGAGTCGTGGGTGTCGGACAGGCACACGATCTTGATCGGCGGCCGGTTCCGCGGCGGCTTGACCGGGTTGCCGCGCAGCCACAGCACTAGCAGGTACAGGTGGAAGACGATGGCTTGCAGAGGCGACTCCAGTATCCAGTCCAGTAACGTCGGGCGCTCCCATTGCATAGGGCGGCGCAGGCCTAGCTTCACGAGCAATCCCATAGTTGCCTTTTTTCACTGCTATTTGTTGCCCTATGGCCCTATGACGTAGCACGACGAAGCTCTCTATGAACTGCCTGGAGAACAATAGGGGTTGGTTATAAAGATTGGAGAGGCAAGGAGAGGTTTGGAAGCTTCCAAGGTTGTTTAACAAGAAATCAAAGGGTAAAAATGATAGCTATGTGGGAAACATGGCTCTTTATTAGACCTTTCGACATGATTATCTCATGGATTGAGGTCTGTTTTGAAGTTGGGATTGACAGAAGGTTTGTAGCTCCCCGCCGCCGCAAAATGCGACAGCAACAGGGGCCCCCTAGCTCGCTATCATGATGCTTCAGCGCGTCTCAGTGCACCTCTACAGGGATCCATGGATGCTAGGGTATCATTTAGCGTACACGTTCCGCTAGGGTTTGTGCCGAGTGGGCGACGAACGGGGACCAGCTGTAACACTGTTTAGGGCAAATTACAGCGCACATCACTAAAGATTGGCGGGGTTCCAAGATCCCAGGAATCATTAGAGTCCTAGTAGCCCAGTTCCACAGCAGGGGTTGCACGAGCCACCTCTGCGTGCCGATTGATCCAGGTGGTCCCAATTGATGCCAATGTTCAGCTGCAAGTGTAATTAAGCGCGGGATGACGTTAATCAACTTCTTGCTTCCATTGTCCAACTTTCCCTCAATTTTCGTCAACTTCTCTTCCCTGATACTCCCTCTTCAATACCTGTTTAAGACATAACACGTCTTCCTATACATGGTGACGACCTCTTTTTTTATTTGTCACTTCCCCTCAGTAATTTGTTACTTATCATTTCATACCCTTCTCATACCTACATCGTTTCTTACATGATATTTTTACCTAGTAGTTCCCTAAATCCTACCTTAAACTTGCATGAGCACCAATCGACGAGAGCTCTCAACCACCACACTTGGCCATGTCAAGTTTCCAATACCTCTACGCTTCTAATGGCGACCGTCCTGAGCTCAAGACCAACATGGGCGTGGATTATGTAATCCACTACAAGGTCTCTGGCGATAGGGCTGAAGCTGAAGCCGGATTCATCCAACTAATCGAAGCTCTCACTAAGGTTGGACTGGCCTCCGAAGTTAGACGCGGTGATGATTCGTCTGTCTTGGTATTCGTTAAGGTAGCATCTGAGAAATACCTCACCAATCACATCTACCGTGAACGAGTCCAGGATTGGCTCTACGGCGTTAGAATCACCGCGCCAGACAAGGACGTGGCCAAAGAATTCGCTAATCAGTCTATTACCGAAGCTGAGCGATTACGTACCGTCTACCTACTAATCACAAAGCCCAAGAATGAAGGAGGTGCAGGTATCACTCCCAAGCTCGGCCAGTGGAAGAACGTTTTGTCCATCTTCCCACTCCACAACCACGCCTTCAACCGCCAATGGATCAAAGAATGGAGTACTAAATACTTCCTCACCGATAAGGATCTCGATCAGATTCGAGACAAGTTCGGCGAGAGCGTGGCCTTTTACTTTGCCTTCTTGCAATCCTACTTCACCTTCTTAATATTCCCTGCTGCATTTGGATTTGGTGCTTGGCTTGTTCTTGGCCGCTACTCGTGGTTCTTTGGAATTGTCAACTCCCTCTGGACCATTATCTTCTTCGAATGGTGGAAGAAGAAGGAAGTTGACCTCGCAGTTCAATGGGGCGTCCGTGGAGTTTCTCGCATCCAACGCCCTCGAACACAGTTCAGATGGGATCATGAAGCAGCAGACCCGATTACCGGGGAAGCTGTCAAGGTTTATTCTCCGATCAAGAGATTACGAACTCAGTTACTGCAGATCCCATTCGCTCTAGGCTGCTCGGCACTCCTCGGGGCTCTCTACGTTTTCTGCTTCTCGATCGAGATCTTCCTCGGAGAAATTTATAATGGCCCGTTCAAGTCATACTTGGTTCGTATCCCCAATTCAAGTGAGATATTGGATAATCTAATGTGCTTGTAGACATTTACCCCGACGATCATCCTGACTGGAGGATTACCTGCGTTGTCAACCATTCTCGGTAGTTTTGCAGAAACACTCACTGACAGGGAAAACTATGAGACGGTCGACAGTACGTAAACTTTCTCGATCCCACTTCATATTTACACTTTCTAACATCTCTATAGAGCACCATTCCGCTTTAGTTCAAAAGTTGTTCATTATTAACTTCATCACGTCATATACCCCTCTTTTCCTCAGTGCTTTTGTTTACATGCCATTTGGAAACTTACTAGTGCCATATCTCGATATCTTCAAGGCTACGGCCGAGAAGTTTTCCAGCGAGAACTCCATCAGCACCCAAAGCTTCCAAGTCAATCCCGATCGTCTAAGAAACCAGATGATATACTTCACAGTCACAGCTCAGATTATCAATTTCGCTCTCGAAGTCGTCGTGCCTTACGTGAAGCGAAAGGCTTTCCAAGAAGTTGAGAAGGTTCAATCTAAGGGAAAAACATCGGCTCCCGATGATGTGCCCGAAGAGCACGCTTTTCTTGAGAGGGTCCGCAATGAGGCGCAACTTGACGTCTATGACGTGACGGTTGATTACAGAGAGATGATCGTGCAATTCGGTTACTTATCACTATTCTCTGTTATCTGGCCGCTAACTCCTCTTTGCTTCTTCCTCAACAACTGGGTTGAACTTCGATCTGATGCGATGAAGATTGCAGTCACTACTCAAAGGCCTATCCCTTGGAGAGCTGATTCGATTGGTCCTTGGCTCAACTCACTTGGATTCATATCCTGGTTTGGAAGTCTCGTGAGCTCCGCTATCGTATATCTCTTCAGTGGCGAAACTGAGGGACCTGGAGGTGATCCATCGAACATCGTTGTTTGGGGTCTGTTGTTGAGCATCCTTCTCTCCGAACATCTGTACCTGGCTGCTCAATTTCTGGTTCGATATACATTGAACCAGATGGACAGTCCAGGATTGCAGAAGGAGAGAGCTGAGCGATTTTCTATGAGAAAACAGGTACTAGAGGAAAGCCTAGGTCCAGAAGTCACTGAAAAGCCACTCCCTCCTACGCCAGCTGCCGGCGAGAAGATTACTCGAGAGTCATTGGAAGATGTAGCTCGAAGGATATCCGTATCAGGTGGAGGGACCCCCGAACAATTGTATGAAAGATTCTCTAACACTGACTCAATGATACTTTGCTAACGTGCTCACAGGTTCTGGTTGAGACAGCAAGGCATGGATGAGACGATACAGATGGGCCGAAGCTTGATCTCTCAGACGAAGGAGGCTAAGAACTAGGTGTCTGAGCCGCTACGTAATATTTGGGGTCCTATAGAAGGGGCTATACTGACCTCGGCGGTGTCAATAGTAGTAGGCATGGTAATTGAGTAGGTAGCTAACGTTTGTCTATTCATCCATCTCTGAATAGAAACCGCCGGCACTTGCTTCTTGCGTTCTAAAACAGATTTATAATTTTCAAAGGACGTGCTATGAATCCGTCTTCTACGTGGCTGACTGTAAGCCATATGGTCAGTACTTGGCCTATATTTATTCATAATAACGACGAAGCACAAATACAAAGACCGATGATCTCATCTATTCGGAGAAATAGTTGCATATTCTATTAGGCTTTTATAATCCCTAAACCATATGAATTCCAAGTTCAAGTTTTCAGCCAAACAGTCGCCATGTAACAAAGGTATCCTCGTCCTCGCCCTCCACCCAGCCCTATCCAATCCCATCATATCCGACCAAACCTACGCTACCCATACACGGAAAATGATATGCAATGCAAAAAGAGAAACCTATTAGCACCGCCGCCACACGTAACTCCAGCTCTCGGAAGCAGTAGTATCGGGGTCCTTGCCAAAGTACCCGTACTGAGCCCCGGCAGCTTGGAGCGCGACGCGGAAGTTGACGTTCAGCAAGCCGACGTCGCCCTGGGTACCCGTGCACGGCGAGTACACGACCTGGCCGTCGGGCACGGTGCTCCGCGCCTCGACGTCCTGGTTCAGCTGCGCGGCGCCGGTGTTGGCGACCGTGCCCTTGATCGTGGTCTATTTTTCGCCGCGTTAGCTACTAATTAGGTACCTTACTGTTCCCGAAAAGGGTGACGCGGGAATATAGTGTGAAGGGTAAACACAAGCACGAGCAAGAAAGAAAGAAAACCGTACCGTCCTCCCCGCGTCCTCGCTCCAAAAGCTCGTAACATAGTAATCCAACCCAGCTCCCGGATCGAGGACCAGGTGGCCCCGGACAAACACATCTTTAACACCGACCTGCCAGCCTTCCGCAGCTCCGGCGATGGACAAGTGCGCCTGGCAGTTAACGGCAGACTCCTCGACGGCGGACGTGGTGCTGGTGCGCGCCTCGAACGAGTTGAGCCGTAGCGCGATGTCGTCGAAGCCGCCGGTGCGGTCCACGGCCGGCGACGCCGACGGGCACCCGCTGCCTGAGTAGGACACCGAGACGATGCGAGGGGGCGGCGAGGGCGCGTCGCGCGTCGTTAGTTGTTTTTGTTCGGCTGGCGTGGGTGCTGCGGCGGCGAGGCCGGGGAGGAGGATGAGGAGGGATGGGCTTCGCATTTTTGTTTTTCTACGTGAAGAGTTTGAGGAGGTGAAAGGGGGTTAGGTAGAGGTATTTATTTCCTAAAGTTCGAGCACGATCAAAGATTCAGGGGATGATTAAGGTTAAGAAAGAGGTGGAGATGAAGACGAAGAGTTCAGAAATATGAATTAAATAGCTAGATTAAATAGATAAGTCGTTCTTATGGCGAAAAGAGTAAACCGTCGATATACCCAGCTTCTAGAACGCGGAGGGCCCAAGTCTTTATAGAGGGAATGGTCTTGCCCGTTCGATCCTCCACATGGGACTTTGATACCGGAAACCAAGCCCGTGTCTTGCTCCGTGTAGCTACTCGTAGCGAACCTAATCTCGAACGCCGTCGACGCTGAGGAATCTGGCCCACGGTCCATGGCCCTTCTCGATATTCGTCCCCGGAGCAGATATACTCGTCATCATAACCCAAAGAATCATTAGTACATACGTCTAATCCCATATCGTCCGTCCCGGTACGCCACTATCTTAACAACAGAAACGCAGCCTGTCATTTTGGCGAGGACCGCGACCAACGAGGCAGCTGGATAGGCAGTTTACCCATATTAACCAGCTGCCCGTCGCGTACCTGGTAAAAAGGCCCTTGGAGCCCCGGGACCCTGAAATAGTCAAGCAAATCTCGCCATTGCCATCCAGCATCCCGGATAATAGCAAAACTGCACCGACTAGGTACCCGGTGATAGCCCAAGTCTAGAATGCATCGCCTAGTCCAGACGTTCAGCTTTTAAATTGCGGCGTGCGAGATTGGATTAGTCTAGGTAGCTCTCCTAACTCCCAAATGCAATCCAATTTTGTAATTTGCATAGGGGCCCTTTTATAATGCCGATAGCCAGACGATTCCTAGGCCCGTTTGGTGTGATATTTCTAGGGCGAAAGGCGTTGTTACTTCGGTGCTGGTTCTAGATCTCGTCCCAATGCTATTTAAAGTATATCGTTGTTGTAGCTCTAATCTCACTGTTAGTAAGATGAGCCTAGCCCACATAATCGGTCCATTGCCTTCTGAATATGTTGTATGATAGCACCCGAGGTTTAAAGTGAAGCTTCATAGATGACTGATAGACCCCTTCCGGCGGCCTACATCACCATAAGATGGGATGTCTGATAATTAGGAAAGACTCTAGTTGACGGCCATTATCCCCGGTAATGGAATAGGTCAGTCTAGACAGTCGTCTCGTTTAACGGCCCCTGATGATTGCAGCTAGCCAGCTATTAATAAATAATTCCAGAATACCTAGGCGTGCCATATGGCGTGTAGCAGAAGTTTCCCATAGCACATAGCTCTTTTTGGATGCTACCCCAGAACGCCAGTGCCTGACCCAATGCCACATGCAGATGCAATATAACCCAGATCCCAAATCTCTTTCAAACCATGATACGTCTTAGACCCTCCGTGCCGCCGAGAACCCGGCGTCCTGTCACGGCACATCTACCCTGTCCGTTCTCCCATTTGCCCGCGCGGTCGGCCATGAATTCTTCTTGCCTCGGATGCGAGCCCTCATGCCACTTATGTATGCAAGCGTAGCAGTAGACGACACCTGTCTGGCAGGCCGTCGCGGTCGTAATCTCGTCCTCGCAGATAGGACATAGCTCGGAATATTCAGGAGCAGGCACGGTGAAGATAGGGAGCAATGAGGGTGTGGCTATCGGCGCGTTCTCTGCCAACGGTACCTTAAGCTGTTCCTCATCTTTCTCCTTGCCCTCCCCCTGAGCCTTCTTCTGCAATGGTTTGGCCCCCAACGCAGACATACCAGATACGATAGGCGGTGGCAACTCCAGGTTTTCAGCCGCCTTCCTCGACAACTGTTTCGCAAAATCCGACGCATACCACCACTCGAGGAACTTCAACGCAAAAATGCTCGTCGGCAGCAATAACGACAAGCTCCCCAACAGCCTCGGGCCCATCGTCCTCGGGTTGAAAATGCTAGTAGCCGCAGGCGCCGCCGCATTGGCCCCCTTATGCTTCCCCAGAGCCTCGATGGCCTTGAAATCCGCCGCGTTCATCCTGCGTATGCGCGTGCCGATGAGCCACATGAACGGGTTGTGGTATTTGGAGCTGTCGAACAGGTAGGCCAGGTTGAACGCGATGATGGCGAAGTAGTAGGCGGCGTGCACGCTCGGGTAGATGTTCCGTATGAACCACTTGTAGTAGTGCAGGAACCGCTGCTTCAGCGTCGGGTTCGCGGGCATGCGCGTGTAGTTTGCTCCTAGAAGAGCCCGCGGGGCCTCGATCTCGTGACTCTCGTCCAGCTTTCGCTTTATGTATGGTATGCCGACCATCACGGCCAGGTTCTTCCATATGTCTGTCCCGCCGATCTTCAGCTGTTCTCGCACCAACTCTGGTGTGCGAGTGGCGGCGCGTGGTATCTCGGCGTGCAGGGCCTTCTCTCGCTTCAGGCCGTAGAAATGCTCGGTGAAGCTGCCGCCGCGGGTTTTTAAGTAGTATCGCTCAACAATGAGCATCGTAACAGCGTATAGCTCATCGAACGAGTTGAGAGCACGTAGTAAGTAGCGTGGGTATCGGTGAGTCGCGACTGTGAGGAGATATCGTAATGTCGGTGGTAGAAGCGTGTTAAGCTGTTGCTCGGAGAGGAGCTCAAACAGCGATGGTTTCTGATCGTCGAAGTTGCCCTGAAGGGCTGAGACGAACTCCATGCCGGATGGCTATCCTATATTGTCTAATTGGGTGGTTGTTGCAGCTAGAACATGTTTTGTATAGTAGTTGAAAGCGGTAAACTGTAAACTGTAGTTGTTCTTGTTACGATAAACATGACCCAAATAAAAGTTCGGGTGAGATCAACAACGTGCCGAGGTTCCAACGTTGACGTAAAATGAACTTTGGAGCCTTAGGAGCTCGGGCCACACAGCCAACCTACCATACCCAGGCCACGCTATTCACTCTTTGTCGGCTAACGTGTAACCGCCAAGTGTAACCGCGAGATGTGTACATGTGTAGGTACATCCATATTCCGTATATACATAAGTCAAGACATGTTCATCCCAAATGAATAATAACACAATTCCCAGACACTATTCGTTATAATGCTTATAATAAATAATGTAATGTATTGTATCATCGTGAAGTTACCCGTCGTAAGCTACTATGTTAGTATTTGGCGTAAAACATAAAGTCATGACTCAAACCAGTACAGCAAAACAACACCTCCCAGCAACAGCAACAGCACTTCTCCCAAAACTACTACAAGTACATAGAAACGAAACCGGCGGACAAAGGCTTCACACTAATCATCTGTCCACGTCACCCACGAGATGCCAGTAATCTCTAGCTCAAGTCCCGCCTCGTCTTCTTCTTCCTCCTCATCATCGTCGTCTCCTAGCTGGCCATTCTCAAAGTCGGTCGTGTCGTCGGGCCCATCCTGGATCATAGGCAGGAAGTCCTGCATAAGAGCCCTGTAGCCCCCGGACTCCATCACCTTATCCGAGACCTTCCAGAACGCAGTTGGGCCGGCTGGGCCGCGCGGGTCGAAATCCCTAGAAACATTTGTTCAGCACACAATTATCCATGAATTTATGATAACATAATACAGAGCGAAACTCAGCCAGTTGACCTACTTATCAAACCAATGCCCCAGCACGCCCTTCGCGCTCTTCACCCCGCCGATCTGCACGCTTTCGCTCCGCCACCTCTCGACGCCGCTGAAGACGGAGAAGGTGGTCCAGCGGACCTCTCCCTCGCGCGTGAGCCTAACCGAGCCTTTCGCTCCAAACAAAGCCAAATCGTTAGCACGTCCAGAGTGTTCCAGGAAAAAAACGAGGAAGGGGACACACCTCTCATACCTCTCAAGTCCGAGTTCGCGTTCTCGTCGTAGCTATCGTCCAGCGACCGCGAAATGCCCTCGAAGTGCACCACCGGCAGCTCCTGCCCGTCATCCGGCCCCGGCGCCTCGATCCGCGTCACCCGGATCTTCATGAGGATCAGGCGCGTCGCCTCGCCGACGTCGATCGGCGGCCGCGGCTCGTCGACCGCCGGCTGCGCCTCCGACGTGAAGTTGTACGCGAAGAAGTCGGTGTAATCTAGAAAGCAGACGACCCGAAGCCAAGTCCCCGTGATGCCGTACGGGTCCTGCAGATCTAACGGTTCGGGTTCGTGCACAACGGGGAGCGCTTTGTAACTTCCCGGCCAGGTCCCCGCGAAAGGGAGATCCCAGAAGTTCTTGCACACGGGGAACTTGGTGAGGCCCAGCTTTTTAAGATTAGATCCGATCACTATCATGATGGCCTCGACCTTCTCCCAGTCCACCCGGTCCGTGCTGTCGTCCATGAACGGACCCCAGTTCGTGTTGTCGGTGTACTGACGAAGGTCGTAGACCTTAGAGCAGGCCCACGGGCTCATTCTGCTGCGTCTGGTCCGGTGAGACTCTGGGTGCGCATACAGCATGGGCACTCCATAGAGACAATGCAAGTGGGCGCTCTGCTGGTGATCTACCTGCGGCGCTGGGTAGCTCTGGCCGCTAAATCCATGTCGAGCGCGCTCGAAAATGTAAGATCGGCATAGAAAGGCAAATTGGTTGGTCTCGTCCTTGAAAATGGAGCTTAGGAGATGGGCGTTGCGAGAAACCGGATGCGTCGTTTGCCGCACTCGCTCGGTATCGGTGGCGGCATTCTCAAGGAGTGACTTGACGGTCTCGTAGACGAAAGGGAGCTCGTGCTTCTGTACAAGATCGTGTTAGGAATTGGTCAACTCTATAGAGCGAGCTCAATCAGGTAGGTAAAGTGAGATTTAGGATGTAAGCAATTGAAACTTGGCAGGTATCGCACCTTGTCGTGGACATTGGCTCGACGACATATAACTTGCAGGCGGACAGCATTCTTCAGGGTCTGTTCCCAGTCTAGATCGGATTTGCGCGGATTGTCGTAATGGTTCAGATAGACGGCTTTGAAGAGCGATGCGTTGCCCTTGACGGTATGGTAGATGCTCTTACAAATGCGGGGGATCCAAGCCAAATCGGGCGGGTCGACATAGCCCAAGACGTGTTGGATGATCTCAGGTGGAAGTTCTGTTAAGAGCACCATGATCTCTGATATGCTAAGTTAAAAGTATACAGCAATCTTCTCTTATGCGCCCTGAGTAAGGTCGTTTGTGACAGGCCCACAGGAAGTGCAGGATGAGGTCACAGTGGACAGGACGATAATGTTGCTCGAAGGAACTGAAGGGAAGAGCGGTATTCGTGAGGCCGAAGGAGGGGTGGAGAGAGTTCCATCCGAGTTCGATCGTCCTAAGTAGGCTTTAAGTCCAAATATGCGGAGTTAGTGTCGAAGCGACCAATGTCATAATATAGAATTGAATAAGCAATCAATGCGCCATTTCCCTGATCCAATTCTGAAAGTCCGATCCTTCTTTCCATTCCTTACCGGACCACACACCCTTGATACAGCTTCACTAGAAGCTACACTGGAAGCTACACATGCATAGGTACTTCAGCTACCTCCAGGCTACATACATGTGGCCATACCCCACTAGACTAATTCAATCGTCTCTCAATTAGCACCTGAGATTTCTGGGTCTCCGACTAAATACATTTTATGTACATTTCTCCAGATATCGTGAATGACAAGGAAGAACCATACAAGCAATCGTGAGCTAAGTGCGGCAAGTGCGGATCATACGGGGTATGAAGACCCCCACGTTTCCAATTATCCCAGCTAGTTCCTTGGAAACACCACTAGATACAGGTAGAGCATCCCGTGGCTTGGCGGCGGTATTATATATTCAACCATCGTATGTAGGGCTTCTTCAAAACCAATGCTAGCATACATAAATACTAATAGTCCTCGAAGGATTTCAATCCAGAATACTCCTCAACATGATTTGTCCTTCTTCCCAGCACTAACGCTAAGCTAGCCCCATAAGCACTCCCACTGAAGGATACTAAGGAGAGAAGAACCAAGATCGAAAAGCATATCGTGACACTCAATAACTTCGCCAGTTTTTGGTAGATCGTTTTAAGAATCGTGTATATGTCAAAATATCAAACAACACCGGATTTCACACATATTTGTGTGGGCATGGCCGTGCGGCAGTGTTGCGTCGTTGTGGGTATATAGCGAGATCGCGGTTTTTAGTTACAATAGTAAAAGATTCGAGGTTCCAGACTCCCCTTGGTAGATACTCTGGTAGATATAATCAAGAAATTTTTCGATGTCGCTTGTCCGTAAATCCATTCCTTAGCCCTCATACATTGACTAGTCATCCTCAGAGTCTCGTTCATCGTACTTCCATATATTCCATAATTCCTCGTTTTGTTTGTGGCACGTTTCGCTATACCACGCTTCCGCCGCTGTTGAGCTGGATACAATTCCTCAGTAATGTCGCTCCTTCGTGTAGTAGTTCCCACCGTGTCGATTCGAACGAGTCTTTAAGGACCACGAGCAGAGCACTATTATTGTTAACGCCCCTCATACCTTTCAGATCTTCCGGGGATGAGACCGAGCCAACTCTTAACAGGTACTCGCGCATCTGGCTCATTTTGTCGTGTGGATTGCTTGGGATCGGTGTTCCAGGACAAGGTCCCTCTAACGCGAAGCCATAGCACCACACAACCAAGGCCGCAAAGTAAAGCACCCAAGGTCGATTTAATAAGACATCATCTCTGGCTAGATAGGTAATAACTCCTGTCTGGCGGTTATATTCATCCGGAGATGGAGTCATACTTTCATGGAGCAATACCGAACATAAAAATTTGGCAGCATAAAACGTGGCATCGCGAGCTTTCGCTGAGGGTGCCCAGAGATCTTTCATCCTACGTTGCGCGCTGCTCAGATCCTGCGATCCAATGGCTCTGCCAAGGAGGCGTTTTGCTCGGGCGAAAATCTGGCAGTCAACGATATCCACGTGCATGGCCATGTGCGCTAAATGGTGTAGTACTGTTCGACTTTCGAACACCACGTTGGCCTCGCTCCGCTTGTCGTAGCTATACGGATCGACCATCGTATCGGCACGTTGCAACGACTTATCGAAGTCCGTCTTCCACGAGTCAAACGCTTTCGTGAGTGTTGACCGCCATTTGTCCCGGCCGCCAAGAGCTTGTTGTACGCCGCCACCGAGCGAGCTCACTTGGAGATCTCGTTGGTTCATATGCCAGCTGACGCTTAGCAAGCCCGCCATAAGAATCTGCCGGCCGAAAGGATTCGTCTGGACTTCCTGCCCAGCGAGGGTTCGTTTGAGCCCTTCGAGGAACGAGATGGGCTTGATGCCATTAGACATAAGATTCGCCTCTATCCTACCAACCTCAGCTCCGCTCGTAGCCTTCCATAATGAATCATCGCAAGGGAGGGGTAAGCGCATTTCGTGCGCTACCATCACTGTTGAATGACCAAACATCGTAGCATGAATCGAATCGATAAGAAACGCCGCAAACGCAGCACGTCGCGTCGTCTCGTTTGTGATCCAATGATTCCACCATTCGTCCGGCGTATGCGCAAGCCCCGATGTAGAGGAATGCCGGGAACTATTCGCTTTCTCGTCTCGTGGATTTGGTGGTGAATCAAGAGCAGACTTCCCTATTAGTGACCTTCCTCTTCGCATGAGCGTAATCGTAGTCGCATGGTGGATATGGGCTCGTTCGTGCAGTTCTCTAGTCGAGTACATTTTCTCGTAGAGTTCCAGCAGGAGTAACGTCTGGAAGGCCCAAATTTTTGCTGGCGGCCGACAATTAACGTCCATAAATATTTCCCACCTCAGATGCCACGCCAGGAAGTTAGATAGCTGGGATCCAGCTCTAATGACTTTCGGCCCATGCGTTCTATCCAAACAAGCGGCACCTATCGCCATCACGGCTATTAGCAACAAATTCGGCGTCTTGTCTGGCGAGAACGTCGGTTTGTGAAGGATAGGTATTTGATCGCTGAAGTGAACCCAATAAGAGCCTATATATTGCTGCATCATCTTCCGGCTCAACATGTGGTTCTCATCACTTCTGTCGCCATCCAGAATACTCTCACGCTGGCGCTCGACTGGCGCGTGGTCGTTCTCATGAAACCTTTCCTTAATAAAGTCGAAAATCTCCTGGCTCTTCTCTTCAGATAAAAGAGACTCTGGGAGATTCGGGTCAAGCAGATTTGTCACCGCCATGACCTGTTGGTTAGATGGCGGGAAGTAACCGAGGGACGCACTATCAGTCCCATAATACGACATGCTACCGTATTGTTGCTCCGCATAACTAAACCCGCGCATATTAGCCTGAGACATGCCACCCTCTTCACGTATGATTAATACATACTTTGCATATTGATTTTGTGGCATCACGTGGCCCACTTGGGGTGAACCGCTAGGATCGTTAGTATTAAATAGGTAGGCGAAGAAGTCTTCCGGGATGGCAACATATGGCGATTTATTTAAAACGCCATCGCTGCCGAAAACAGGGAGTGTGGTTTGCGTTGCCATCTGATCCAATAAGACCATCTCACCATTCGACTGGGAGTGAGAATGATCATTGTAATCGTTAGGGTTTTGCGGTGCGTAAGCTTGTCCGGGTTCCCTCGGTATGCTAGCGGACGTGGGGAAATCTGAAGGTGGTAAAGTGAAGGGTGTCAGGTTTTGCTGAGTGACGTACGGTATCGTCGAAGCAGATTGGGGGTTACTTGTAAGTTGACCATGGTAATTTCCATGCTGTGTCGAGACCGGCGATAAAACGCCATAAGGAGCGCCTACATTAGGATGAACTGAAGGCCGCGGAGGACCAGAAGGGGAGTGGTGAGGAAGCCGCGCAGTATGGGAAGCGGCATAAGGTGAATCTTGGTGAATGTAACCATCGACACCATTTGGAGGACCGCCGTGAGAAAAAGCGGCAGGCGGCGTATTTGCTATCGGGGTATAAGGTGTGCCGATGGAATCTTTTGGTGACTGATATTCATAGTGAGCTCCGCGTCCTTGAGTATAAGGGCTTGGTCCAAGCCTATCGGAATCGGGAGAAACGGCACTGGGCGTAGGGTACGGAGCTCTTACGTTGTCGACGGGAGAGGTCTGGCTGATCAAGGAATCTTTTCGATTCAGCGCAGACCCCTTTGCAGTATGGCGGTCCTTATGACGGTTGCACAAGTCGAGTCGGACGAACTGGCGCTTGCAATCCTGAAAGTCGCATCTGTATATCTGTTTCGGGGAATGGTTCAATTGATGTCGATAGCTTGAAGTTTCACCAAGTTAGTGGACCAATTCAAATCGAGCGCAAACGTCTTCAAAAGGCTCACAGGTGCTCGGCCCTCGAATAACTCTTGCCGCATCCTTCAGTTGGGCATTCGAATTTCTTATCCAAGCCCTTGCGACTTCTCCTCCGCTTCCTCACGGGCCCATCCGAGTTTGACGAGTTTCCATTCTTCGTGTCACCATCGCCAGCCTGGTCACTATCATTGCCATCGATATCCTTGTCGGCAGAACGACTCCGGCGACGACCTCGCTGGGGATCATCCTCCTGATGGGAGTTCTGGGGCGGCGTCGGTTCCTGGACCTCGGTCATGGTTGGGCTCGATCGCGCGAAAGACAGGGCGGATGAGTTGACGTCTATGATCGGTGCGGGGAGAACAGAAGTCATGTTCCATTAAAGCGTCATGATCTTGTAAAGAATCGTGGCGCTTCAATTCCGGGCCGCTTTACGGCGAGTGGTCGCACCCCTCGTGGGGAGCCTCCTGTTGTACCTCTGGATTGGATAATAATTGGCCAGCAACGGCTTGGCCACACGCGCACACACGCACTCTCTTCCTCTTTCTCTTTTCTGTTTCTCTGACCTGAGTAAACGTATTAGACCAAGTGACTGACCGAGGAAACACGTTGGTGCCACAATCCGACGATCTATACGTGTTACGACGGAACAGCCCTAACCAGGTACTGGAGAGGCGCAAACGGCACAAGAGAAGCAAATGAAAAGCGGTTAGCTTCCCGAACAATCGGTTGCGACGGGACCCGACGGGTAGACGATAAACCTTGGACCTTGGACCTTGGTAGGTATTGTTAATAATAAAAAATTGGAATTGCCCTCGAAACAAACGACCTCGCCCGAACCAGGGAAGTACTTTATGTTGCGGCTACCACATAACGGGCCAAATCAAGGAATACCCAGACGCTATATCTTAGTTGCTTTGGTAACTTGATAGAATCGATCACCAGATGGAAGCGAATAAACCGGAGGTGAGCTGATTCGATGCGAATATGGGACACGCGATGGTCGTGCTAAAAGCTCAAAAGACCAAAAAAGACCAAGAAACTAAGAGACCAAACTTAAGTTTGCCTAGACCGGGAGGGAAGATGATTAGTCTTTCTAGTGCTGGGAGTCCCACGTCTAAAGACGGGTAAGAAGGTTCGAATTTGTAAATGCCGCCCATTGCGGTAAATTGCCCATGGAACGGAAGGCCTTTTTTAAGGAGCAGGTACACACCTAGCGCGCCCAGGTGCCTACCCTTTCCTACCCTTCGTGTACCTCGTAGCCTAGCAGGTAGGCATTGGTAGTTACCATAACCAAGCTAGCGCGGCTGGGCGGGGTTCAAGGTGCAATGCACTTAAGTGGGACAGAATTTGAGGAAGGATGCAACATCGAAAACTAGACTAAAGTACCCAGTTAGGCATAAGTCGTGTGGGAAAGCTACAATTTGTGCCTAGTAGTACACGGGATATCGTGATACTTGGGTACAACAAGAGTAGGTACATAGGTACCTGGCTACTATTGTACATTTAGATTTTGGGGGAGGAGGGGAGACCCGGAGAGGCGAGACATGGGGAACTCTAATAGATACATGTACGCAGTACTCAATGTCTTAAAATATATGTAAGTACCTAAGTATATAATAATGATAATAATAATAATATATTGCGATTACACTATGTAGTATAACACCACGGAATCCAACTACATACATGCCTAGGTACTAGGTATGTCACGATCTAGATTGGTTATGTGTTAGAATTAGGAATTAGTCGGGCGGAACTAACTAATGAACGAATGAACGAATGATCTACGAAAAAGTTCCCTTAGATCTGTACGTGCATAGATATATTAGCGTGTATGTAAATCGATAATAGACGTACGCGTATTCTGTATGAATAGATATAGATGGGACATCCAAGGTGCGGTCGGTTAATACCTATGTTGAGCTAAGACATGGCAGATTTAAAGATTCTTATACATCAACTAGATGGGGAACCGAAAACCTACCCGTCCTCAACGATGCACTTACTTACCTGAGGTTCCATTGCAGAACGAGAAAACCGTCGGAATGCACGTTGTTGCGAAAACATGACACTCAACAAGGGGGGTTGACTGGCCCGCCTAATGACAAGACAAGGGGAAGGTTATTATCGGGGAGAAGAAATCGTCGTGTCAAAGTAGTCGGCGAAGTTAATAACGGCATCAGAATATAGCCCGATGCCAAACCAAGTCGCAGGCGAGACCAATTGATGGTGAGAAAACGTAGGAAGAGCTCTAGTAAAGCTGCTGACAGTCATACATGAAACAGACCAACAACGTGATAACTGTGTTGCTCGTGGACTACATAGAGTTTTTCAACGAAGTCATCAAATATTGATTGGTGATCCGTCATCTAAGCCCCCCTCCGATGACCCGCATCTGACCGGTTTTGCAGCTGCCACAACCAGCGGTTAAAGTCAATTGAGGATAAGTACGAATCGGTGGGCAAAGAATAACAAGTCGTGATGAATCGGGCGAGGCGGCTGAAATGGGAGTTGTAGCAGTGGATGGCCGGATCGCTAAAATAACAACTCGAGTACCCAGGGAATGGGGTGAAAAGATGTGGGAGGAAAAAGAGTCGGAGTGGGGGTCTCGAGATGTTCACTGCTGCTAATACATAGGATTCTGGGATGATGATGGCTCGCCGGAATTGTGGAGTGCGTTCCCTGTATGAAGCCAAGGAAACCACCTGCATCTAATAAACGCAAGGAGGGATATATGTGTGTTATATGTGTATGTTTAATACGCCGAGTTTAGTTCACTTGTGTTGGGAGATGCAATGGCATACGATAGTCAGGAGAATATATCATGTACACGTAGTCTAACCCCGTCCTGGCAACCCTCAGTTGCATCTTCTCTTACTACAGCATACACCCATACTTGCCCTTGAGCTTTAGTTATTCGTCGCTGACAACCCCCCGGTTACCAGGGTTCGTCATGCATATTAGTCAAATTAGTCAAGCAAGACGTCGTCGTAACTTGATGATGTCTCGTCTCCATCAAGCCATTAGGGGATTTCACTCAGGGTAGTTAGTTAGGTAGATAGAAACAGCGCCATGAATAAACAGTACATCGTTGATAGGGTTGGTCGATATTGAACTAGGTATATGGGGCTACCGAGTCCAGCAAGCGAGGTCAGACGGCCCTTCAACTCCGTCCGGGTGGGATGGTTCCAAGTTTAGCAAGCTCAAAATGTTGCTAGCACTCAGTCGATTATAACACTTCACTCGATGATACAAAAACGTCTTAAAGGAGACTTAAGACTACTATTTAGGTATGTAGTATGCATTTACACCCAAGCTATTGCCAGCCATGCCATAAGGCTTATGAACTTACGAGATCATTCCTTGCTTACCTAGTTGAGTATCATCATTATTTCCGCAATCCGAACTTGGGCAAGCCACGAGTTTGTGATTACGGTTAATGTATTGGGAGTGTGATCCAGTCGCGTGGGTCACTCCATTCGGAAAACATAACCAAACTATTAGCGACGACGGTTACGAGTCGTCCGGGCCACCAGGGGACGGGGTAAAAATGCGCTTTGGTCCCTTACTGCCCATGCCATCTTACTTGCCCGTCTGGTAGTATTACATAGAGCTTTTTCCCGTTGGCGATCCCCGCAGTTTGATGTACACCTATGTAAGCTACATCAGGAGGTACGTACAGAGAATACAACAGCTCTTGATGTAAGGTACCGGTAGCCTTGGTGTTGTAAGTACGATTCTCTATTAAGGCTTTAGCACTCAATACGGATTTAGGTACAGATTCTGAGAACCATTGACAACATTTATTATCATTCATAGTACGTAATAATTCGCCTCTTCGGACAGGGCCGAAGAACGGATACCTATATGTACCTAGGTATAGCATGGAGTTCGTGGCTGAGAACTTAGTGAGGCAGGGAGCCCCAGAGCAAGTCAACGGAAACGATTCGATTCGAAAGGGAAGGTTTGTGGGGACTGGGGTCAAGCCGACTGATTGGTCGATTTTCTCCAAATCTTGGCAGATTTAGCCTAGGAACCACTACATGCATAAGCGTATGTGACTTATGTATTCTGTACATGTCCCACAATACAGTTGAGACTTTAGATAACTTTTAAGTCGGTTATGCAGTTTGAAGACCCACGGACGCGTTCGTTGTATAATTGGGGACTTTTACGTACCTAGGTAGCTTATATAATCCCTCTTTTCTTATGAATAAAGTAAAATAATAATATAATATACCGCACTTTCATCTTGTCAACTTTACCAAAACAGAGAATGCTGTACCCATGATATCAAAAACCAGAATCGATGACTGAACGATAGAAGGATGGCATACAACACCCACATGAGAAATTTCGTGGCAACTAGTACCAGAACAGATCTACATGGTGGCATCCATGGCCATACATATTCGCCCCCTTCAGTTGGAAGCTCAAGGCTCCCTAACTGTTCTCGGTCAGGGCCATCTTCAGCTGGTCTGCACTAGACAGAAATCGTGAAGACTACTAACTGTCCTAAGCTGACGAGTCAACAGCTGACATCTCAAGAATTATCTATTCATTGGCAAAGCAATGGCTCTCTTTACTTACCCCCCGCGCCCCCCATTTTTCTAAGAATCCTTACCTAGGTTAATGAAGACGAAACCCCCGACAATAGATCACTGTCGTCATCAATAAGAGGGCGTGCCGCGGGCTCGGTAAGCTCAGGGTCCAACTTAGTGGGACGTGTGTGATCACATCTAGGTATCTCATTATCTACTATCTAGTATTCCAAGAAACCAGTCAGGGTGTAAGATGACCTCGTGAGTCGTCCATCGTGGAGTAGGCGGTTCCAATCTGCTGGCACCTCAACAGTCGTGTGATTCCTTTCGAATCGTCTGCAAGCTTAATACTGCCCCAGGGTTTCTCATGTCAAAATTCGTGCGGACAAGCCCCAGTCGACAGCCCTTGTCTGCTTCGCTACCTACCCAATATAGGATGAAGAAAATTTTTATTCTGGTTCAAAACTAAGGTACCACTCTGCCAGTGAAGATGAAGGCCCGCACACACCCTTACACATGGACGGATAGATCGATGATCACCAATGAGGCGAGTGCCAATGCAGCGACTATGTACACGCGCGCATCCTTAGGCGTATAAAGTATTTATGATGTCGCGTCTACACAAGCCATGACATAAATCGGGTATAATCTGCAGGCAACCCCACAGTCCCACACTCGTTCCCTTTAGCAGAAAAGACGCCGTGGATACCTACCAACCTACCTACACAAGTTGTGTCGCAGCGGGCACCTCTAGGAAACCTTCTGGAAGCTGAGGAAATGTGCGGAAGCCTCGGGGTTCCTCGTCCAGCTCAGTCAGATTTTATTCCAAAGCCAAAGTGCATCTCGGCATCACCAGGGTCCAGGTCGGCCTGCCGGACTCCCGCGGTGCCCCCATGACCCATTCGGATCCATCGCCCGAAGCAGTCACTGCGGCAGCTGATCAAGTAATAGTAAGGTGATTTGTCGACGTCTTCAGGGGACGTGAGAAGAGGAAGGAAAAGGCAAAAAAGTAAAGAGGCAAAGACTTCAGCCACAGGCGAGTTAGCAGGGAGTATATATGCAGGTCGACGAAAAGGGATAGTCGGGGAAGAAAACGAGTCGCACAGGAAAAAACTGGAGTGCATGATAGACAGCTCACCACACCAATATGGGACTGGCTTATTATTCGAGGTGGGCAGGTCGGAATCGTGAAGCCTAGGATACGACAAATTTTTGCAGTTCGTCTTCGGTGTAAAAAACCATCGGACAATCCGCGATGGAGGGTGAGTTGATTCATTCACGTACCTCGTCGCCGTAGCTCGTCTATTTCTTTTCCCCGGCGGTTTCGATTTAATAAGACTTGTAACACCAGGAACGACGAGCAACTCTACTTCACTATCACCTACTATAACCAGTTTCATCCCCCATTAAAGGCAGCATTACAACATGGTCCGTCTGCGGTTCCATCGCATCCGTTTCCCTAGCAGGGAGGGCAATTGATGAACGCTGACAAACCGCATAACGTAGACGAATTGCTGCAACTCCACGTGCCTGACTTACGCTGAAGTACGGCTCGGGAACTGATTGACGCAGCAGAGACTAGAGTGAGGCTCATGATCGACATCCCGATAGACGTCCTCTCTTCCTACCATCCACCAGCCCAGACGGACGAGATCTCGGAGGCTATGCGTCCACGGCATTAAACGGCTTTCCCCTGTCGTTCTTGTATCCTGCATGCAAATCCCAACAAGGAAGCAATGACGAACACTTGGGAATACCAGTGACGCCAACAATACCATTCATTACCTATGCAACCCAAGATCCTCTTAAGGTACCTATACATACCTAGGTAGGTACGTATAAAATGCTAAGATGTCGCAAATTAAGTAAAATGCTCCTTAGAAACGATGCATCAAAACAAATCAAGTATTTTCTTTTCCCGGCAGAGAAGAATCACCGAGCCGGATTGCGTAGATATGTATCTGCTCCTCTTGTCCGCTCCAGTCACATCCCTTTACGGCCGGCGCAAGACCGGCATCCATTGCCGTAGCCGGATGCCGGTCGTAGCTACCTAATCAAGATTCTTTACATATTCTATTACTAAGATACAATGATTACACATGTATAAGTCACAGCACCTTACTTAGGAATTGAGTTCTTAACATTACCTACATTATATTATAAGCGACCCTCCTACATACCTCCTACCATGTGCCTACCTTCGTAGCTAGGCGTTTAATGAAATGATGAGATTTTATTAGACCATAATAGGGTTCGAATATAACAAAGAGGCAGATAGGAAGGTACCTACCTAGGCCACCAAAGTTCATCATAGCATTGAGCGTCCCAAAATCTTTCCGGTCTTTTTCGAGCGCACGAAATTACTATCAGACCTAATTTTCTACGTGCCCGTCCTGGATCCATTAGTTGACGGCATGATTAAGGGGCCGTACTTTTTTAAATACTAACCATCGCTATATCTGGCAGTCAAAAGTCATATACTGGACACATGCCTGCTTCTATTGTGAAACTAAGGAAACATGTTCCGTAATAGGTAGGTGGTGGGTTTCGGGACTATGTGTGGAGGTGGAAGCTCGAAGCCTGACTATTCCTCGGATATGGGGCTACTTTGACTGTCAACGTTGTTGTTGACAAGTCGATATAACTACAAGAAGTAGATAGTGACACCCACGTTGGGCTGAACGAATTCTGATCTCATAGCACGTTATGATATCTCGTAAACTAGGTACGAGAGCACAAGATCCATCTCATCTGATTCTAAGTACATCTACCTGTATGCAACCTCCTCAACTCTCATTTATCAGGTTCGACAGAGATCTAAATGTCCTCCACTACTAAGATATAAGCTAATTGCAGCACTGCTGTACGACACCATCAGTTTACCTGCAGGTCTAGTAGACTGTGCAAATCACATCCAGTGGCGAATTTATCTCGGTAGACAACTAGGCATAGGATGGTAGTCGAATAGGGCATAGCCCAACAACCCCTTTTTCTTTCCTCTATATTACCCCCCACGCCAGCGTGAGGCATGCTTTATATATCTAATAAGTTTTAATCAAGCTATATCGTAAAGCGAAAGAACTTCATCATTTGTCGTCTGACAATCGTACAGGGTTTCTATGGCAATGAATCCAATCACCTACTACCTAGACAAATAAGGAATGCTCAAAAGGGGTGTCGAGTATGCACCGCGATGTCTATGCAGTACCACAGCTTTCAGCTGTCCGAGGAAATATTATTTCTCTAGCAGAATCTTCTCCTCCTAAGCTTCCGCCTACCTCCCTCATATGTATTGGTCTGAGATTTGATGACAAAGAAGCATGACTAGACGTAGGTATGGATAGTATCACACCACCAACTAATTATATATGGAATTGGTCTACCTGTTCCTTATGAAGCCGGAGGTGTTACTCTGTATAGTATCTTATACAGAGATATGATGTGGGTATTACGATGGATGTCACGCTGATAATGGCCTCTAACCAGAGGTATAGGGTTATCATTGATAATTCTCCAATACTTCTAATACTAAGATATAGTGTAGTCCAGGAAACCTCTTAAAAAGACGTCTGACCGTTATCCAGGAGAGCTCAAAATATCCCATATTTGCCCCCCTGGTTCCAAAATTTCCACCCCTGGAGATATTCAACACCAAGTGGACTTAGACCACTTTTAGCCTTACTTCAGCCTCAGGAGGCACTCGGTGAACGAAACAAGACAGTCATCGGAATTTGAGACGTACGCGGGCCCGCCGTGTTCCGTCGTTCTACACTTTGATTAGAATTGCGGCGGATCTTGCCCGCAACCCGCCGCCTACGCGAGCCATTTCGGAGGCTGCCGACGACGACTGCAATATCCTACAGATAATACATTGTAGACATGTGTCAATAGTTCCTGTACGAGCAAGCTTTACCAAGCCTTGTGCCACTCCCCAGATAGCCTGTCGCCTCACCGATACCTATGCATGCTTCCGAACGGCACGGGGAGCTTCATAGCCAAAGAAGATACCTACCCCTTACATGAATAATTCCAAGACAGCATCTTTATCGACGTTTAAAGGGGTTATAAACACCCGTTCCCATTCTAGTTGAGTTATTTCTTAAAGAGCCCCTTTCTCATACATCTAACCTATGTGCCTGAACCACCTTACCTCTTGCTCCCAAGCCGCCACCTTCTCCACGAAACTACCTAAACATACCTATATTTATCTTATATAGGTGCCAAGTAGGTAATTCCCTACCGGTAGATAGATTTATCTTAACTTCAGGTAAGCCTGGCCCTCCGGTTTTAATAGAAAGAATAATCTCAGCACCCGACAACAACCGGTGCTGCACCGCATACCTTGTTGCGACTCGTACGGCCCCTTTCTACGGGCAGCAGCGACGACAATCTCCTCAATATTCTAACACTTGAACTCTCCTTATCATCGTTCTGGATTAATCATACAACATACCCTCTCCCTCGCCTTCATTAGCCAGTCTACCCATTAACTTACCGCAATAACCCCACCCCGATGAACGTGGACGAAGATAGGGGCAAGGCACGTATGTCAACTCCTCTCGCCCAGCATATATCCTTCTAGTCACCGAACAATTATGAATGAAAGTTGAAAGGCATGTAAGTCAACCGACATCTCAGTCCGGTCTGCCCGTCGATAATGCCATATGGCTGATCCTTTAAGCCGAGGATCTCTCTTGAACCGCTCCTTGGGAAAGAAACGATCGAGATATTCTATGAGGAGCCCATGAAGCAGATGAGACGTCACGGCTTAATAGATAAGGCAATAAGCAGTACCTTGGCGCAAAAGCTGTCTATTAACCTTTTTTCTTACGACAACTCCATACCTGGACTCTATTCAACCTAGTATAGGAGGCTGGTCTCTGTTCAAGGCCTTCCGCTGCAACTAGCCTTTGGCTATTTGCCTCTCGTACCTTTGGTAACCATCGAGTACCTTCATTGTTTCACGACGAAAGAATCGAATGGACTTTGTACCGTCAGCTTGCGCACTCTCCCATGCCTTTTAAGAAATGAGAATACCCTAAACTAGCGTGCGCGTTCGCCCCCTTGTTACGCTTTATATTACCGTCGCGTAACCCTCGCCGCCGTCACTGACCATCAGCAACTTGAATGCAATTCCTCATGTATTCCCCGTTTCTCTTGTACTCCAGGCTGATGAAAAATCCCCCATCCCCGTTCAAGGAAGTCGTGAAAAATGCAGTCCAAGCCATAACCCTGTCTCGAAACGCCCGGGCATGATTCAATTCTGGGGATTGTAGCATATTCCCGTTATTCCTGGTATCGTCGTCGTACATTATGCCTGCCGTCTGCAAGATCGATTTAAGAACTACAACATCTTCTACTGGCCGTTGAATTCCTCGAGCTGAGTCACGTTGGATTCCCTATGGTGATAATCAAGAATCTCCGAGTACCTGTTGCCTCGAATGTGTTAGTCATCGTCGCCTTACGAGGAACCCCCTTTAGAGATGCCTGTCTAGGAGCCATAGAAGTACTCACATCATGATCTTCCATGTATCCACAGGAAGGTCAGCGTCATTGAAACTCCAGTCGAATTTCTCCTCAGCAACGGGTTCGTCAGTAGGATCATGGTAAGGAGCAAGGTAGTCGTGTGCTAGTGCCTCGGTGGCCGTGATCCGCTTCTTGGGATCAAACACAAGCATGCTCTCAAGTAGGTCAACAGCTAAAAAAGGTTAGCATTTGCTTTAAAATACTCGAATATATGGTGTCAACTCAAACCTTCTGGATCAGCATTCTTAAACTTGTTTTTGAGTGGCTGACGTTCCCGCTTTGGCAAGGACTTAACGAATCTCAAAGTCTACATGATCCTAAGTCAGCAAAAAGGATCGGATAGGAAGAAGGCATCAACATACATTCTCGCTAGCAATTGTGTTGATAACGTCGTCAGGTGGGGTACCAAGGAGCTCGGTGATGATGGAGAATTGGTTGACGTGATCCTTTCCGGGGAATAGGGGCTTCCCTTCTAGCATTTCAGCGAAGATGCACCCAGCGCTCCAAATATCAACCTCCACGTCGTATTTTTGCCACGTGAGCATAATCTCAGGGGCGCGGTAGTATCTCGTCGAGACATATCCGGTCATTTGAGGATCCTGGATTCTAGCAAGGCCGAAGTCGCAAATTTTCAAATCGCAGTTCTCGTTGACCAAGATGTTGCTGGGTTTGAGGTCACGGTGGACAACGCCGGCGGAATGGACATACTTCAGACCTCGCTATATTCCAAACACATCAGCCTTCTATTTTTCTCCAGTCGTTAACCGTGATAAGGGCACGCACCATGATTTGGTAAAGGAAATATTGGATAAATTGCTTTTCTAGAGGTCTCGAGGTGAGTAATCGGTGCAGGTCTGTTCCGAGGAGTTCTGTTACGAAGTAGCTGGCGAGATGGTCAGCGCGATGCCACCGAGACTTTGTCGTCCAGGCTATGCATACATGTCTTCGAGAGGGGAGATGAAAATGTCGCTGAGAGAGATGACCTAGAAATGGGCATGAGCGATGTTTGAGGGCCTCTCTTAAGCGGGCAGATGCAACCAACATTTTCGTGCTTGAGATGTTTCAGCAACTTCAGTTCTCGATACGTCCTCTTGGCCAAGACTGGGGTGCTGAAGGGTTTCATTATTTTCTTTACGGCGACATTCTGGTTCTGGAGCTGATCTTTGGCGGAACTGTGCGGCGGTAGGTTGGCTTGGTTAGTTATTGTGATCGTGGTGGAGGGATGTTCGACGTAGTAGCTGGGCGAGCGACATACCAAACAAGGCCAAAGGCACCCATGCCCACGGGTTGCAGATCCGAGTATCTGTTAGAATATTGCGTCAATTCGAGCAGCATGCCAGGTATCGTCGCAAACAGCCATACCTAGATGTGATCTCGAACGTCGTTCCGAAGATCTGTGCTCGCACGAATTCGGCCATGGCGAATAACCAGCTGTATTTAGGGGAGGCGGGGTGGGAGAAGATTGAGCGATGATCGAAAAAAGGGCGTAAGAAGAGGGATGGGTTGTTGTCAGCTGTCGAACGAGGGGCAGAAACCCAGGAACGATAAAATTCGTGTACAGATAGGTACCGCTATCGTAAAATAAGCCAAGTTAGTTTAGCTTGGAGAGGACGTGACTATAAGTTGATTCCGTCTATCAGTATTTTTGTTCTCTCGCTTTTCCTTTTTCCCGACTTTAGTAGTAAAAAACAAACAAAAGACAACTTAAAATGATTAATGGCAATCTCGAAATGCCGTTAAGTTAAGCAGATGGTAAAAAGTGGGAAGAAAGAACAGGATTTTCGAACTTCGAAGTTGGGCTGTGCTGTGGATAAGGTTTTGGAAACACGCACCGGAACGGCGATTCGAATGTGCCTGCCTTCTCCAGCGGTGGCGATCGCGATCGAGGTTTTTTCTATGTAAAACCACTGGAAGTTACTTTTTAGTACTTAGCTAGGCACGCTAGGCATGTATGCTAGGTACTAATGCTAGGTTAGGTACATGCGTAAGATACCTACCTAGTATGATACGCTATGCACCTATCAAGGGACTTTCTGGGCCTTCCCTGGACAATGCGGCGTTGCGACCGACCGTCACAAGTGGCTGATGCAGTATCCGATTAAAAAGAGCAACTACTGAAATATGCAGGCACTCTTTTTAGATGTACTGTACATATAATCGCTCTATTGGTAGCTGCAAACCTTGCGTGTCAAGTGAGTACTTATACAAAAAGAGACCATCACCTCCTGGGGTTACTTACTTGATAGGAGACAGTTGAATCTCAAATAAGAGAGAGAGAGAGAGGGAGGTCCACTTATAAAAGATTCCCTAAACAACAGGTGTCGTTTATATGCCAATTTTCGAAAAGATCAAAAGCCTCGGATAATGAAATGCGTTATTAAATTCTAGCCGCTTTGTCGCTCTTGTGTTGCAGTGTCGGGGGGAAGAATATAGGCTGGGCTAATATGCTTAGAACGCACACATATCAGAAACATCAATCACACGAAGAGACGAGTCCATTTTGCCTAGCTTGATGCAGAGTTATCTGATGTTTCCCATTTCTGCCACCTACCTAGGTAGCTTGCGATAGATTCCCAAGTTGGCAACTGTCATATGCTTCCAAGTATGCAACGGTAAAGTCTTTTTGAACATGTGAATAGAGGTACAGGAGGTAGCTTGAAACATCTATGAATAGCAGCATATCGACAAGATTAAGCACTTACCCGTGAGACATACGTAGATCGCGAAAGGAAGATGGGAATTTACAGAATTGCCGTTCTGAACATTCCAAGAATCTTAATGCGAACCCCATCGCACGTGGTGTGAAGAATTACGGTGCCGATCTCTGTTGGCAGCCGTTGATAGGCGAAGTAGACAATATAAACAGACCCAAGCCGTAACTGAATTGGTGGGAAGAATAAGAACCTGGTCAGGTATGTTGCACCAGGATCGGCCCGTCGAAGCTACCATTAACTTGTTACCTTGACACCAGTTGTCCTGTCTATGCATTTAGTCCTCTCCTAAGAAAGGGTCGGATATCAGAGGTTAGCAAGGCCAGCAAGGCCAGTAAGGCCCAAGATATCCGATCACAGCACTTCATCGTTGACTGCCTGCCTGTGAGGTCATGATATTTAGTGACCATTTCGCGATCTTGCGCCCCCTTAGAGATAAAGAGGACAACTTCGAGAGAAGTTAATTGGAAACAACATGACATGGGGCTCTTAACTCCATGGGTTACATTTGTGACTAACCTACAGGTTGAGCTGTGTCGTTGTCTCTAGTGCCGCTGAGCTCACCAGTCATTGTCGAGTTATGGCGGCAGCTAGGACATGTTTGGTTCACCACCTCACCTGAGTCCCACAACCCAGCACGCAGGGTACTACATACAATACCAATCTTGCAGATAGCCAGCACCTGGCAGCTACGTCGAAGATTTGTTGAGTTGACAAGTAGAACTGTGTGCCAGCTCTGCTTGGTGGGTGTGATCCTGATGGTAGGCTAATAGCGCCGAAGACTCTGCATTCTTCCGCAGAATTCCTTATTTTCGACTCTGTGTTTTGTTGATACTCTTCCGCTTCCGAAGACGGCTGGCTAGCAGGCGAAGGAATTATCATACGCATAACATCAAATCTTACGAACAACATATAATAGATAAATAATATGTACATGTTGGATATTGGATATCTTGAAGTTGTAAATGCAACCGAGATATACCTAGCGCTACTAACATCGAAGCCAACTCAAAAAAGGCAAGATGTCTTCTGTATAGTAAGATCCATAGCCAATCAAAAATCATGGGTTTCGTCTTAAAAAGAAATGTGACGTCATCGTATGGGTGTTCCTCCTAGCTCGGCCCTCTGCCCTTCTGCCCCTTCTACCCTTCTACCCTTCTACCCCTCCTTTCCAAGTATATCTACCTCCAGGTAAGTAATATATTGAAATGAGACATCTTCGTCTACATAGTATTGTGTTGAAAACACAGATGATTACTAATATAAATACTGCAAGATAAGAGGCTATAAAAAAGATAAGTGCTGGCCTTGCTTCTAAATTGAGCCATCCAGTTGCTAGGGCGAAGAAATGGGACGATATAGAGGGGTATGTTGGTGGTGAATTGGTGAATTTTAGCTTAGGATCCCGACCGCATAACCGGCATTCCCTCGCAAAGTATCCGACAATCGAATTCTTAGTGCACCATCGCCGATGCCCATGATCAGTCAGCTTCTACCTCCGCATATCAGATTTGGCCCGAAACGAAAAGGGGCCTCGTGACTACCTAAGCAGCCTAAGTCTAGTCCTAAGGTTTGACGAAGCGGTCTGCCAAAAAGAAAACGCCAGTAATATCGTCGGACCTCGTTATATATTAAAGGGATATTTTATATGTAATAAATCGCCCTCGGCTCTCCATTACCTGAATGGGTATCTATGTTAGCCATCAAGAGTCCTGGTTCGTCCCTAGTAAGCCGCATTGGGGACCACATGGACAAAATGGTAAAGCAAGGCTACATATGATGACGTAGTCTAGAGGCTTTTCTCGCAATCGGGAAAAAGCTCCAGAGCCAAAAACCATCCGGAGGGTATTCCGAGCGTTTGGAGTGGACGGAGATTTGTCTCTCGGATATTGGTTCTGCACATAAATTAAACCGGAGCTTTCTCTCCCTGGGTGATGTTGTGAAACTTTTCGTTAGATGAACATACTGAATGAGATATATCAGTATGCAGATTAGATAATCATGCCAGATTGATTCCAGAGTTCACCAGCTTCAACCTTGTTCTCCTCTTAGGTAAGCGACAAGGTATGTACATGATTTTCCCCACAATTTCAACCTCTAGCCAACTGACGTCATCTTTCCTAAAAACCAGAAACTACAACATATCTTCAAGACGGGGTAATAAGGGACGAATAGTATAATTTTTTCAACGGATATATTCCAATATTTCGTCAGTATTCAATCATTCTAAGCAACACGTAAATTTCGAACCAACTTGAAAAGATACTTATCAAATCGTTTTGTTTTCCAGGTTTTGTACAGAAGTAAACAACTGGACCCTGACGATCATTCACTTCTAAGGATAGAGATCGTCCGGAGATCTTTAAACATGTCAATAAACCCAGCATCTACTAAATAAAGTCTTCCCTTTCCCAGCATACCCTCCTACTTCTCGTTATTGTTACCGCCAACCATTCTCATATCGGGTGGCCCAAAAGAGATGTACTTAATCGAAACTAACAACAATGTGAGTTTCATATGTACCTACGTATGTTGCCCGGCTTAGGGCAAGACTACCAGGACTATTTACATCCATACTAGTAACCCAACCCAACTGAAAAAAGACTATGCTCAGTGACATCATTATGTATTTTCCCCCCTCGTGGGGTGCAGACGAACATTCTAGACTGTGACCCATTCTCTGAGCCTCTAGCTTCTTAGTGAACAGATACCTACCAAGGTAGCTCCTCGAGATGAAGGGATTACCATGGAAATACCATATCGCAAGTAGAAATCGAAATTATACTCCGTGGTAACTGGTCCCCTGTTTAACTTTTCCGAGCTTGTAAATCCCCCTTTTATAATCAGGGATATTGGCGTTTACCTAGGTATCTACGAGTCTCATACGATAGTCCCTTAGGCGCTTACCTACATAGGTATATAGAATAACACAGACACTATCTCGACTTCCTACGTCTCAAAAGAGTATTAACACTCTTTCTCTCACATTCGTAATTTCGAGGCATAAAACCGGATCGATGGGCTTCTTCGCCGGCATCAAATATACCAACAAACCGCCTCATCTAAAACGAGGCAACAATATGTAGACGATATCTTGTATAATCGATACTAAACATGCTATTCAAGACCAATACTCCCATCTTCGTAATCGTAGCCTGTTTCAATCCCGCCATTACCCTATCCTCCGTTCGGTACTCGCCTATTTCGCCTCGGGACTTCCTGGGCAGCTGGTGGTCGACTAACCATAATCCCTGAACTCACGTACTCCGACTTGGATTCAGGGGCTATCGCTACCTACCTATATATAGAGGACCTGCCCAAGTACTCACAGCAATAGATTGGTTAATTACCACCCACGGCTAGGGGCTCTACGTTCCAGATGCCCTCTGCGTACTCGTTGATGCACCTGTCGGAGCTGAAGAAGCCCATTCTAGCGACACTACGGATACACTTGGACACCCACTCATCCTGGTTCCGATACTCCTCATCCACCATCTTCTGGGTGTCGATGTACGACTGGAAATCGTCCGACACCAGGTAATAGTCACCGTGGTCGCGGACGGCCGAGATGAGCGCGTTGAAATCGTTGGAGTCGCCGAACTTGCCGCTCTTGATCGCCTCGAATACCTGGTTGAGGCCAGCGTCAATGGCATGCGTGCCGTAGGTATGCGCGTGTCGCAGATCCTCAACATCCTCAGACAGGGTACCGAAGAGGAAGATATTTTCTTGGCCGATTTCGCGAGTGATTTCGATCTAAAATTTGTGAGTCGCCGGGTTCAAGAAATATTATTAATGACTTACGTTGGCACCGTCGCAAGTCCCAATAATCAAGCCACCGTTCAGGACGAACTTCATGTTGCTAGTTCCAGATGCCCTGTTCCGGTGTTAGCCCTCAGTCTACACTAATACATAGGCACTTCATTACTTACTCGGTACCGGCAGTCGAGATATGCTCACTGAGGTCTGAAGCAGGAGTAATCATCTCCGCCTTGCTGACATTGTAGTCTTCTAAGAAGACAACCTTCAGAAGGTCGCCAATATCTGGGTCATTGTTGACAACAGCGCCAACGCTATTGACAAGGTGGATGATTTGCTTGGCCATCCAGTAGCCAGGTGCTGCCTTTCCACCGAAAATCGAGACACGAGGTAGTTGTTTCTTCCTATCCTCGGGGCTCATTTCCTTGAGCTTCAGATAACGGTAGATGACACCGAAGATGTTTAATTGTTGCCGCTTATACTCGTGGATCCTCTTGACCTGGACGTCGAATAGAGATGATGGGTTGACCGTAATGTCCGTGGTGTTCTTAATGTACTTCGCAAGACGGACTTTGTTGGCGTACTTGATTTCGGCCCATTCTTTTCTGAATGATTTGTCGTCAACGAACTCCTCTAGCTTGTTGAGAAGGGTGAGATCCTTAAGGAAGCCGTAGCCACCAGTCTTGCTGGCGATGAGCTCTGAAAGTCGAGGGTTCGCTTGATGCAGCCATCTTCGCGGCGTAATTCCATTTGTGACGTTAGTAAATTTGTCGGCTCCGAAAATAGTAACAAAGTCCTTGAAGATAGTTGTCTGGATAAGATCCGAGTGCAGCTCGGCGACACCGTTAACCTTGTGAGAACCGACAACTGCCAAGTACGCCATTCGGACCATCTTTGGCTGGGATTCTTCAATAATCGAAACCCGGCGTAGCATGTCCCGGTCGTTGGGAAACTTCTTCTCTACGGTTTGCAGGAAGAAAAGGTTAATATCGTAAATGATTTGGAGGTGACGAGGTAGGAGGTGCTGCACCAAACCGACAGGCCATTTCTCAAGCGCCTCAGGCAAGACGGTGTGGTTGGTATAACCAAACTAAAGTCAGATTAGCCAAGAAAAGTTAACAAGACGACTCATTAGAACTCACGGTAGATGTAACTATTCTCCATGCCTCATCCCATTCAAGGCCTTCTACATCTATTAGGATTCGCTGGAGCTCTACGATGGCTAGTGTCGGATGGGTGTCGTTAAGTTGAATTGCGATCTGGTCAGGAAATTCGCTCCAAGCACGCTTCGTCTTCTTGAAGCGGCGGACAATGTCGTAGAGCGAAGCGGCAACCCAGAAGTATTGTTGCTTGAGACGCAATTCCTTTCCACGGTCTAAGTTGTCATTTGGGTATAGAACGGCGCTGATGGTCTCGGCTCGTTGCTGGTCTGCTACTGAGCTCTCATACTCTCCGCTGTTGAACTTTTGGAAGTCAAACTCGCCGCTGGCAGCTTTGCTGGACCATAATCGTAGGTTGTTGGTAGATGGTGTGTCATAACCGGGGATTGGCACATCGTAAGCTACAGCGGTAACTATCTCGCCGCCTTCCCAAAATGCCACGGTCTTTCCGTTCTCATCTTGGCTCTTACGAACATTGCCATAGAATTGGATCTGTGTCTTGTCAAACAGTATTCTGTACGGATTAGGCATACGTCAAATAATAACTTACGTCGACTGTAACATCATGTCTTGGGAATTCCCAGGGGTTGAAGTCAAGCCAGTAATCAGGTACCTCGACTTGGTATCCATCAATGATCTCCTGTTTGAAGATACCATACCGGTATCTCAATCCATAGCCCCAGGCAGGGAAGTTCAAGGACGCAAGGCTGTCAAGGAAACAAGCTGCAAGTCGTCCAAGTCCACCGTTTCCTAGCGCAGCATCGTGTTCTTGGCCGATGATGTCTTCAATGCGGAATCCAAGTTCGGAAAGACCCTCTGAAGCAAAGTTAGATCAAGAAATCATACGACTAAACACAAATGAACTGATCCACACCTTTGGCAGTGCTTTTGGCGCCAACGTTGAGCATAGCATTGTCCAAAGCGCGTCCCATCAAGAACTCTAAACTGAGATAGTAGACGCGCTTGCTGTCAGCGAAGGTCTGGCGCTGCTGAGTTTTATTCCATTCTTTAATTAGGCGATCACGAAACGCCAAGCTGGTAGCTGAATAAGCAGCTGACTCGTCACAGTTAAACATGCTACGAGCCAGAGTTGTCTCAACATGTCGAACGACCTCCTTCTCGAACTGATCCTTTGTCTTGAAGCCTTCGAATTGGTGCTTGGTCCATACATCACGTTGAGGCTCGGGGATCGCCGCTATACGAAGATCATGGGGTCAATAAGTGGTTCAGTATAGGGATAGTACGAGTTTAGGAACGGTCTACAGCTATAGGAAGAAAGAGACATGAAGACTTATACGGACCTTCTACGCTTTTAATCTCACTAGCCCCGAAACCCGTAAAGGTGCGCTTGTGTTTGGGACGAGAGATACCCGCGGGGCTCACCGAACCGACGATATCGACAATAGGTGCCGCCGTTGAAGGGCGACGTTCCCTAGTGGGCAGACGCTGTTCCGTTGAAGCCATCTTGTGTTATAATTCAAAGCTACCTCTAAAGATAGGACGAAGTAGCTGGAACAGAGATAAGCTAGAAAGCTCTTAGTTAGGAAAGAATAGACATCGCGCTTTATTATAAGGACCTGAAGGACCTTAAAACGAGCATGGAAGCATGCAAGACTGGTTGTCGCGCGATGATTACTTACATAGCTGGATCCAAAGAACCAATTACAAGTAAGAGGTGAGGGTAGTGGATGATGGGATTGAGGGGGCGGGGTCGTCGATGGAGATCAAAGATAGAGCTAGCAGGGTGAGCTTGTAAGGAGAGGAGATGGAGCTCCGGTCCCTTGTCGAACGACGATCACCGCGGGGTACTGAAGCTCTTCTCGTGTCTCAACACAAATACAATCGACCTTCTTTTCCACGAACTCAAGCCCGGAGGATGGAGAGGAGAGGAGAGAAGATAGCTAAGAAAGATGAAAGGAAAAACAAAGGAAGACAGACTTACAAACGAAAGGTTCAACATAAAGGAGATTAGGTTGATGGTAGTCTATCATTTATAAGGTGCAATCGGCCCCTTAGGTAATAGTGGGTACTTACAAGGGGGGATTGGGAAGTTGGGAAGTTGCGATGTTGTTAAGAGAGAAAAACATGCGATGGCTAAAGCATGATGACGACGTTTGGAGCTTGTGAAAGCTGCAAGCACCATGCTCAAGCAGATTGGAACGTGATCAACGGCAGGAATGGTGATCGTAGAACGCCGCCTCCCTGTGCAACTAATATAATCACCACATACTTGCATACGTAACATGTTATGTATAGTGTTGCTCAGCGCCTACCTATTACCTATCAACTGACACAGCAGAATATGAGAATAGACGGCGGAAGAGGTGGAAGAGAAGCTGCTAGGAGTGCGGGGTATGCAATATGTACTAGGTACCTACCTAGGTAGCTAAGACGGACTAGTTCTCGTTCTCGTATAACAGATGGAGGAAGCTCCGGCCTACAACTAATAACCAGTACGATAGCTAAGCTCTTGAAATACCATTTTCGACAGCCCAAGTCAGTCGAATCTAACGTACTATAGAATTATATTGATATATTGAAAAAGACCAATCTAAGGATTACCTGTCACTGCCAGCAAATATTTAGGTACCTAGCTGGCTACCCAGGCTGGCTCTGGGAGGGCTATCTTTGGTCTAGCCTTCAATACCTAGAGTCTAGAGCTTGAAATTTTATAATAATATCAGCTCTTGACTCTTGGCAACCTATTGCTACTGTCTGAGCCGCGCAGAGAGCGGTTATTGGAGTATCAGTGCATATAACTTACTAGGTATCACCTGCAGCTTGTTACACATATGTCATAACGCTTCTTAATACTACCTACTTCCCATCCCGCAACATGGTCGCCTGACAGCTTGCTTGTCTGTACCATTCCCTTTTAAAATGCAGCAAGACCTAGATGTGGTCCCGAGGTATGAGAACATACCCACAACACCATCCATCTCGAACTGTAAGAAGGCTGCGGCCTCCACAGAGAACTTGAAACCTGGAGCTCTAAGCTTCTTGAAATCCAATTGGTCAAAATAGTGATCGAAATAACATATACAGCCGCTTCAAAAGACTAGTGACGCATATACTGGCTTCTACTAAGACATTCCTCATAGATGTTGTGCTACGCGGATATGCAGGTAGCCGGCTTGCAGTTCCGGACCTTAGATTGTACCAAGTAACAATTTTCGAAACAACATCGGAAAAAACGCATGAATATTCTTACAACAAGTGTCTCTTCCCTACCTATATACCATTTTCCAAGAGTCAACTCGTACCCATTATTCTAGAACTCGGCAGCAAAAAGCCAGCAAGTATAAGTATAGATAGGATCGTTGCTGTCTGCAAAGGTAGAGAATCGTGCCATTGTATCTACCACCCGCAAAAAGTCCCAGCCATATACAGGTCATCGCTCGGGACACTCGGAACAAATCTAAGAAAACAGAGAAGCCGCTCAAGGTAAGTCTAGCTTTGCCTACCAACTTACGCCAAGTTTAAATGCTGATCAGAGCTTGTCCAGGCAAATCTGCGACAGCCTGGGCCGACCAGCACCAGTAGTCCAGTATCTGTCCAGCGAGTTTTCCGTGATACCTAATTCTGATTCGATTTTTCAGTCTGATGATACGAACGATGTACTTGACCCTCATCATAAGTCCACAATTAGACCGTGAGCTGCGTTATCTACAGCGTCATGGTCCCCACGGCCACCCGAGTGTTGAAGAAATCCCGGCACGAATTACTAAACTCGCCAGCGAAATATGGAGGTCTTATGGTCTTGGAGATAAGTCGCCAGATGAGATTGAAGAGCACTCGACGAGCTCGATTATCCATTCTTGGCCCTGATGTCAGTTTATGACCTGAAAAAGATTATCGAGGGAGTTTACCTATATTTCCAAAAAGCTCCCTAGAACGCCTGAAACTCGATTAATGTCTACTAGGCATCCATTGCGCTCGGGACGTAAATATTTCCCCTAGATTTATATCGTGGCTGAAAAGCTTTTGTTGGGAGTATATACGCGACATGCAGCGGTGATAATAGGCGGTCATGTTATAAAAAATAGTCATCCTTCCTATCACTGTTGAGACGTAAGTACTTCCTCCTAAGCAACTAAATCTACAAATATCCATAGGACCGAGATGGCCCCGTCAGTGATTACGGTAAGTGATTTGCGTACCTATTTATAATTAGCTGCTCTCGGCCGATACATAAGTGATGGTTCTTCAAGGCATGTGAGGAGATAGCAAGGAAAAGGGGTTATATAGATAGCCGTGGTCCGAGATCCCACGTTGGGCATTACACTACAGATCCATGCACACACACGAGAAAAATTTAAAATGCATTACTTATTCATGATCTTTATTATCTTCAACACCCCCCGCGTCTTAGACGTCTAGGAAGTTCGCTCGTAGGCTTACATCATGAATGAGGTACCTATGATAAATAGGCCCAAATCGAGGAACCTAGTGGTAGCAGCTGTTTCGCAGGATACAGAGTCCGGCTACGAGCTACCTACTTGGCCAGGGACCCGTTACACTCAATAAACGCGTCGCCGCCAATATACCCAGCGCTGTCCTCTTGCTGCTTCCCCCATCAATTCCATATCGAATTGCTATATGTCGTAGGGCGGCTCTCTCCCTTCTCTCTCTCCGGCGTCGGGCAATAACCTTCTAAGTAGGAACGAAACACATTAAACCGTCTCTCTCGCCCAAATTCATATGTGGCAAGTTGTAATTTTCTGTCACCGTTCCGTGCCTCATTTTCATATGCCTCGGAACATATTAAAGGCGTCTGCGAATATCGTCGTGTCCATGACGCCTTGCGATACCGTAAGAAGCCAAAGAAAAAAAATTTGTATCAGGTTCCCTGCCCAAAACTCCTTGCCAATGCTTTTGTGGACCCCGCCTTCGCATAAGACGAGATAAAGCCTCGATAGGCCATAAACGTTAGAAGAGACGAAATCACAAGATACCAGAATCCTTAAGCGCATTGTTGAGTATCGTTTCCTTCACAGCCGCAAAAACCAAGCGGATGTTGGAAGTGTCTGTTGCTTGGGTCAAACTAGACGAACCATGTTAGCCAATGGAAAGATGGAATCCACTTAGAGATCAAAACATACTGTGGGTATAAATTAAGATGAGCTCTGTTGACCTGGTTGAATCTCCAGAGTAGATACTTCGCAGCCTTGTTGACGTCGTTGCCACCAGAGTAATCTGGGAAGTAATTGCCCAGCGGTGACCTGGGAAGTTTGACTTTGAATATGTCAACTTTGTTCAGGAACAATATTATGCTCGTCCTCATGAACCATCTCGAGTTGACAACTGAGTCGAACAGTAACAAACTCTCCATCATTCGATTCTGATACCATGTCAGTATAAGCTAACCATGCTTCTGGCGGTTGCTTGGGGCATACCTGGCTGCTTTCTTCGAGTAGCACCTGATCATACTCGCTCAACGCCACGCAGAATATGATGGAGGTAACATTTTCGAAGCAATGAATCCATTTCTTCCTCTCGCTTCGTTGCCCACCGACGTCAAACATGCTGAACACATAAGGTTAGAATCTGGAGGGTGCGGAAGCTGTAGTAAATTCGGTCACATACTGAATACTGAGAGCCCCCATCTGAAATCGCGTCTCGTAGATACCCGTAGTCTTCGTTCGCGCGCGGAGAACATCCATCTCGTTCGGCATGTAATCTGGAGCGCATATTCGCGCCACCTCGTCGAAGAAACTAGTGTAGTGTGAATAGGATATAGCACGTCAGAAGATAGAGTTTCTACTCACTATTCAGCGGAATCCATCAAGTAGAATTCGGTGGAGTGTTGCATGAGCCGCTCAATGCAAGGATCGTGCCATAAGGCGTGTACGGCCGTAGCTACTTTCTGTTCGATATGCGCTGAAGGACCTGATTCGACGGTGTACCCTAGCAGATATTCACAATATTCTTTATTTTCCTGACTGCTCGCCTCGATATCGAATTGGTCCATCGCGATTATGATGGCTTTGGCGCATTCGATCAGGTTCTTGAAGACTGTTGCGCGATAATTGTAAAGCTCATCTTCGGAGTATCCTTTCAGATGAATGATCTTCATCTGCTTGACAATTGTCGACTTCCCGCTCTCTCCGGACCCTAGTGGAGGACGGTTAGTGATTAAACTGCCGACCTAGTGACCGAGCATTAGGAAACCCACCCAGTAAAAGGATCTTGCATTCTCTCCGCAGTCTCTTAGAATCCTCGTCAAGTGCGCGATCGATAGCTTGACTTCGCTTTTTTTGCTCCTCCTCCTCCTTATTCGAACTCATGCAAGCGCCCATCATGAAGAAGGGTGGTGTTGGCTATCGAGCCAACGCGATGAATGAATAGAGTAGTTGGGAATAGAAGTTGGCCTTTGTGGCGCTCGAGATGATAACAAAGCGCCCAGACGATTGGAGATAGCACTATTGTCTATTGGCGCATCCTGTTCTTGTCGGAACTCGACTACAATAACCCCACTACCGGTTACGAAACCTCGGTATAGAAAGGTGGCCGGTGAAGCTGGTCGGGGTTGGCGATGGCGATGGTGCGCTAATTGTTCTCACGACTCGATGATGAGTTTTCTTCGCTCGGCAAAGCCAATTAGTTGATTCCAGGAGAATTGGGAAGAATTAAGCTTCGATGGAAAGTTCGGTAACTTTTGGGTTTGGGTTGATTCTATGGAGACAGGAAGGGTTTATCGGTAGTCGAGGAAAATATGACGAAATGGATTGTCAAGAAATATCTAAAGTAGGGAGGTGGTTAGTGTTAGCTCTGTCCCCAGTCTTATTAAACTCGGAACTGAAGTAGAGGCACATTAGACGGTCGATCGGCTAGAGTCAACCTTGAAGTGAGGCGGTGCTAGTATGATGTAGTTAGGATGTATATAAGCGGCTGGGCCGTTTAAGAGAAAAATGAAACTAATATACATAATAAACCAAGAAAAAAGAGTAGGTTATATAAGTCATAAGTCATACGTTTAACTTATGGCTCCCTCAGTGATTCAACTCGGAAGTGTTCGAGAAGGGATTGGAAGGATTGAGTTTCTTTTGCCATCCAGCTGGGCTCACTCACAGCTCAATGGAAGGTTGGAGGGTTGAAGGGTTTCAAGGTTACATACCAGGTTGGTCACCAAGCATAGAAGTATCAAGCATCAAGCGTAAATGGATACCTTACCTACACACATTAGGTAGGTAAGTATCTGTTTATGATGTCGATGTCTGTGTCCGGGTGGCTCTCTGTCGCTTGACGTATGTGTAATGGCAAAATGGGGAAATCCATAAACCCGCGCGGGCGTACAATGCGATAGTCGGGAAGGTCTCGACAATGGACGGGACGGGTCGGGACGGCTGCGAGTCTAGGGGGGTAGCGGGAAGGGGGTGAAGAGTAATAGGCGATAGGCGACAGTAGCGTAGGTACACACACAAACACACGATAGACACCTCGTCTTGGTGAAGGGGATGTGGTAGTGTGTAGCGTGTATCGTGTAGTAGTGTAGTAGTGTAAAGAGAATGGGTGAGAAGAAGACTGACCGAGCGTCGCAATAGTGTAGTAATCGGATAGTTAAGAAAAATGCGAAAGCGTAGATGTTTTATGCATACATATACATATACACGTACATAGATAGGTAGGTAGGTATACACATACAAATACAGTTTTAATATATGTATGTGATGTAGGTGTATGGACATATGATGAGGATACGTAATACGTGACCGTCCTGGACAAAGAGGGAAGAAGGATAAGGCAAGAAAAGAAAAGGACAGTGAATGGGAAGTTGCTAATGTTCAGATGATACTGTATATGAAATTAATGTAACACTTACCAAGCAGTCGAAGCGAGTAATAATTAGCACGCAATTCCAACTTGTCCTACTGGATATTCGTGATCACAGTGAAGGTATCGACGGCGGCAGTAGTGGTGACAGTGACGGTGACGGTGGATTCTCCTTTGAAAAGCTTTTGACGGGTGAATAGAGTAACCTGTTCTAGAATTGGGAGAAAGTGAGGAGAGGAAACTTGGAAGATCGTTAAAAACGTAGGCGGTCACGGCAATCGGTGGAAAAAGGTAACAGGAATATACAAACGAGGCTCAAGAAATGACACTCTTCTTTGCGCAAAGAAAATAAAATATAATATAATAACAAAGAAAAAAAAACGGTGAATAATAATAAGCCAATGCCTATCGGGATTCAATCAATCATGCTTCTCAAATTGCTTGCGTTGCTTGTTTTCTTTCGATTTTATTGCTCTTCCACCTTTCCACCTTTTTCCCTTTTTACTTTGTCACCTCCAAAATTATCCAGTCAGTTCCAGTCGCTGCAAAAGTCTCCAGAATCCCGAAGGGCTGAACATGAGATACCTAGTAGGTAGGTTCGATGGGAAGACTCGTCCGGTGATTGGGCGGTATGCATTTGGTGCATTGGTTGCTATTGTTATAGACCCTTGCAACCACGCTTTCTTCTGCGCTTTAGCGTGTGCCTGTCAGCGAAACGACCGGGGTTGACCCTTCGTATTGTACCTGTACATGTACAGGTACGCAGTGGAGGGATGCAGAGGGCAGTCAGTGCCCAGGTAGCCAGGCAGCCAGGTGCAGGTGCTATTCTCGATTTGAAGTGTGAAATGTTGGAGTTTCTTTTAGTGACCTGACATGTGCGTAACTTTGGCGCTCGAGGCAATTTGTGATACCTGCAAAAAGTCGGATTATGCCGCACACCTACCATTGAACTAGGTATTAGGTACATTTAATTGGATTACTCATGCGTTCTCGTCTAAGACTAGTACTTGAGATAACCACGGTGAAATTGCCAATTGGAAAGTACCAGGTGATAGATGAGCTCTTACTCGGAGATTTAGCCAGTGTAACTCTATCACTCTAACTTTCGACCACAAAAGTGGGCCACAATGATCACAATACTGGATCCCTCGCTGCTCAAAATCGCCGTAGGAAATGACCCACATAAGCTTCATTGGCAGATTGGATTGGCCCTCACATTTAAAATAGAGCTTCAAGGATCCGTAGGTACTGTACCTAGTAGGGATCATGCTTCCTCTGTTATCTCCACGAACGCAATGAGTTCAAGGTTGAGAACTTCAAACAAACATCTACCTAGCAGGTAATCTTCTATTTTCTAAGGGGGGCAATTGATACGAATCTCGAGTCAGGAGTCCGGGAAAAGCATCTATTTAGTATTCTATTTAACCAATTATTCTCACAACTCCATAGTTAAGCTTGCCCGGATCAGGCAGCTGTCTTGCGACTTGAATTGGTCGGCATTGGGGATATCATTGGCCCGGTTATCGTTCATATCGTGTTTCTCATCACCTGCAGGGAGACGGGACTCAGTTGCATCTACAGTCGCATCGTAGGTCCAAGTTGACAGCTACTACTTTCCCAACTTATTATTCGACCTGACCTTACCCCGTGCGTCCCGAACACCACATTTAGTATTAAGTCCGGAAAACGATTGAGAAATGCGTAGTCTAATAGGTATTGGACTACGGAAGTATAGGCAGCTCTAGGCCCTAGGTAGATAGATATAGTAGGTATTATCAAGCCACCATCTCAACTTATCTATCTGCTTTTTTTCTCTTAGTATGGTAGCCAACCCCCTTCGTCATCTTACATAGTAGCTTTAAGGGTGATGCGCCAGTCTATAATTAGAGGGACGGACCAAGACCGTTCGGTGACTTCGGCTTTCCAAACAGGGGCTAATGAGCATTGCAACGCTTTATTATTTTGGTCATAGTGGTAGTCTCTATAGCGGACAGAGATACTTCATTCGGTTATCTAAGTCAAGTTTAAAGCCAGACGTCACTATCGGGGTGGGTAATACTTGCTTACCTAGGCATAACATGTTACTACTTAAGAACAGCCTTAACGATAGTTCTCTTTCCTGAGTCCTGAATAAATAGGTACCTACTCGTTGACCGCTCCCCGCGACTCGCTCCCCGTCTTTAGCATGAAGCATACCTAGGTACCTAGGCATGATTGCTTGAATTCGACGAAGGCGGGGTTCCGTAGCATCCAATAAATTCGAGTATTCATACATATCTACCTCAATGGTCGATTAGTCTTACTCATTTATTTATTTCTCGGTCCTGCTCGAAGACCGTCCAATCGCGAGGTTCCAAGGTTTCAGGGGGTGGTAGACTGAGTAAGCTAGCCCTTACCTAGTAGCATTTTTGGGCTATTCAGCTGGTCTAGCATATTCAATTTGGCTGTTGGATGTATACCGATTATCTCGCTAGTCACCGCCGCCTCTCCTCACCTCACTCTTGCAGATGACACTACATATCACTGGTTCCCTCGTCAGACGGCTATTGCCCACGTGTTTGATGCGCGCCGGAACGAGACCCCTAGATGTATGTAAGACGAGCATTCAAGTATCTGTACCCGGCGTCTCTTGTCGTCAAATCCCGTGGCTGAGGCGTCATACCTCTATTGAAGCTTTCGGGTCTGCTCTTTACCTAAATATAACACTAAAGGATTCGATGTTGGTCGATGTACATATGCGTTTAGTCATAATGCCGTGGCAAACATATACCTACCTACGTAAATTCTATCTTACCACTTACACGCCTATGAACTATCAGATCTTTAAGATTCATGATGATGAATCACCTCGTTCTTTTCTTCTTAGTGCGCAAAATTCTCATGCAAGAATTCGCGTGTACGCTAAAGTCCGTTTCCTTCCGCCAACATCAAAGTTGAGACGAATCTCATTCCCTTCTCCTAGTTGGTTACTAGATACGGGAGCCTATGCATGAGCCACATCCACTCGCATCTCTTACTCACCCCTTGGTGCCAGGGTACTGGGGAACGGAGATACGCGAAAAGGAGCCCTATGTTTCTCACCATTGAGAAGAATGCGGACCATTGATGTCTTGCGGGCGAACTCGTGTTTCATACATCCTCAGAGTTCGTTAGATCGAGCCAGGTTCCAGGTAAAAGGGGTTTCCGTTTGTATCGTACTGTATCGTATCGCATTATGCTTATATCTAGCATAGCCCTGCGGCATGAACATTCCAGCATTCTTTCAATGAGTTCTCCATTCCTTCCAGAAGGTCTTCCCAACATCGACCCGCTTCATCCGGGATCTTACTTTTCGTTTCTCGCATTCTTCCGCCCTTAGAGCCAACATTTAGGGCAGACCGGGCAGATGGGATTCTTTGTATTATGTACAGTACAGTACCTTGGGAAGACCCCCTGTTGGAGTTTTATTTTCATCCGCGACAAAAGGATTCCCTGCGGCTGATGAAAGGGACCAGACCAACTGCAGGCTTCGCACGTGGCAATTTATCTTGTCCGTGCTTTCATTTGACAAGGCAGGGAACCATGGAGCAAGCCACGTGTCGACCAATTGAAAGTTGGTACTTCCTTTGATGATGTTATGTACATAATTCCTACTCATCGGGAATAAGTTCGCAAAGCTCTTCCGAATACCTTTGATCTCCGGGTGATGGTAGAGATGCTTCGGACGAGAGAATGGTACATGTGGGATAACGACGCTCTCCGAACAGGGTCGTTCTGCCGATAAAGTCTAACGAGTGCCCTTTCTACGCCGTCTACAGAATACCTAGTGGGTAAATAGGTACCTGTATATTCTCTTACAGATTTATTCTCTCGAGTGTAGATTGCATACCAAGCGCATCATACATATTGAATCTCGTCTTCGTCATAACTTTTCATACCTATGTAGGTACCTAGTAGAAACTCGTTTTCTTGATTGTCGGTCAGTCAGTTCCGTGTTCCACTGCTGTTTGTCTTGCATCCACGATGCGGGTGGTATATCGGGACGATCATAATTTTGACATCGGGATCGTCGAGTGGATTATATAAAGCGAGGAACCTAAACCCGGTCTTTATAGGAAACGTTCGATATCGTGAGTTCCGCATACAGTGTGCGAAGCCTACCTTCAGGTCCGGGACGACGGCACACGAGCAAAGAATGGTGGTCGACGATGGTGGAAACGTGGATAAGAGTGTTGACAAGGTGACAGTTCTTTCTGTGAAAATTTCCCCCAATCTTCTCCACCAGATCTCTACCTAGGGTTCCCATTGCAATACTCGATTCGACAATCTTCCCTTGCATGATAGCCTCGTATTTCCGCACCATAGAACCATCACCAACGACGACGTCTCCAATGCGCGCCGTTGCGCTTCCTGCGCTGCAAGTCCAGCTTGCCGTTATTGCTCTTCTTGTCGCGGCGCCGCGTCCCACTCGTCCCCTCTCTCTACCCACCATACATTGGACGAGCAACATGTTTTGCGGCGGCGGCTTCCGCGCCCCGCTTCTCACCGCTATATGCGACAAGACGCCGCTATCTAGTATATACGAGACATCTTCATCAATAGGCGCGACAGCGTTGTTATACTCTTAGTCATCAGAGATTGTCGAGAGAGCTCTCGACGCGCTATTCGCCTGACGACCACACGTCATCTAGTTTCCGACGCATTCTCTACATCAGAAGACCGTGAAATTGTGGATAACTCTTTGTCACGTAGTCCTTCTACATACGCCTTCAGCTTGTCATTGGCTACGTAGTGACGTCTGTCCCCTTTCAGAGAGTATGCGCATGAATGCGATCTCGATCTCTTGGTCAACCTTCAACTTGCGGTCAGGAGTTAGGGATATCAGGAACAGCTCGAGGAATGCGCCGTTGCTTAGTGAGCTTTGTAGTATGCTGCAGAAATGGTGATATAGCGGCGACGAGAATCACGACTTCTCGGGACCCGAGAATGAGTCTATCTGGTTCATGTTGACAACTGATCTGAGAATTAGGTATAGGTACTCGGCAAGCAGGTGGATATTGCCTCTACGGCATGTATACACGACAGACTATAGGATTTTCGAGGTATGTTTTAGACAACTCATCATGCAAAGTATAGAAGAGCTTCACCGCAAGTATAGTTTCTACCAATCATCTGGCTAGCAGAAGAGCGTACCCCTGAAGTTGGATGGTATAATATCCAACAACTCATCACATTACGAATCTATCAACCTACTCTAAGTTCGAGTATACGTTAGGTCGGCGATTAGTGTATCATTATTTTCAATATACTGTTAGATTGCATATCGCGTTGTTATTATGTCTTTGATTCAAACTCACATGCTCTTGCTCTGAAACCCGACGTTTCTCTTCCTCGGGCTTTGAATTTGACAAAAGGCTTGTGAATTGTTTTACCTTAGTCTTGAACCGTCATGGCTATTGGTAACCTTGAAACCCTCTAGGGGCAGAAGAGACACAAGTTAACGAAAAGTATGACATTGATTGTCGAATAATCCGACACTACCTATATAAGGTTGACGCTCACGGGCGTAGAAGTATGAGTATGAGCAAGCCTCGATCCTAGATTCCATATCCAAACAAGACTTTCCAACAGAGTACCCTAAAATCTTCTCAAGTCTTGTCGACTTATTTCAATGTTGTCCAAACACCAATAACTCAGACCCGGCCCACTATATGGCTCAAGCAGAAAAGAAAAACGCCTTCCTATACGTCCCCGGTCTCCACACTCAGGAACAACTTATATTCCTCCCAATCCGTACAAGGCACTCAAAAAAGCGAAAGGGGGTATATGCAAAGTAATATATCGATCGTCCCATGCCAACCATAACGTCATTAGTTTCGAGTATCAACCCATCTGCGCGTATAATTTTTTCGAAAGAGATGGTATTAAAAAAGAAGAAGAAGGGGAATGATGGTGCGCGAGCTGGGTAGTGTCGCCGTCTTATTCTTAGGGTCAGCTTCCTATTTCGGAGTTGGCGTATAATAAGCTACCTACCGAAAACAACCCAAGCGCCATTCTTCCTACGGAAGGAATCCGCGTGGGGGGGTTCGAAGTAGTTTTTTTATTGTGTTTAATCGATCGTATAGCTTTTTGGCGATCGTCGTTTTGCAGAAGAGCCAGGGTAAATTGAGCAGCTAACCTTAGTAGACACCCGCTCTGCTAGGAGGGAGAGGCGGCGCCTCGCTTGTAGGAGTAACCGAGCTGAACGGCGCCAGCTTGCGATCTGAGTTCTTTCGAAGCGAGAGCTGGAATCGTAGCGGTCCCTTCTTCTCCCAGCTGGACACGCTAGCAGTATCACCAGGTTGAACAGTCCTGATCGTGTTAGGGTCGAGATGGGACTGAGGGAATATCCCCCAGGCCTTGGATGTAGTTCCTGACCAACACCAGTGGTCGGTATAGGCCCCTAGTGAGCGGTATATCAGTTTCCGTCTACAAAATACCAGCGTGTATTGCTAAGGGATAGAGGAACATCTTACAAGCAATGTTTTTAATCACGTCTCCCTTGTCAAACTTCAGCCACCTATCGTCGCCCTTCTGATTCCATTTCCATCGTGCCACAGCCTGGACATTACTCGTATTCTGCATCTTGATCTCGTGTTTGGCCGGGGAGTCGATCTGGACAGAATCGACTTCGAATGCGGCGCGTACTCCATCGTGCCAACCAATACCCCATTTACCTTCGTATTTTGCCGGGAATTCGATTCCTATTATCTTAGCTCCTATGGCGTAGTGTAGGACCGGGTCTCTGCCAGGGGGTGAGCGCATAACTCCATTTTGGATCTTTCTCGTCTCTGTCGCGACGGCGGACGGTAGTCTAGAGAGTTCACGGGAGAGGCCAGTCATAACAGACTGCATCGGTGGATGTGGGAAGTGAAGGTCAAAGTTGTCCTTGAAGGCTGGTGGTATCTCGGGGGCCTCGACCACGGTAACGCCGGGAATGGGGGGAAGTGGGCGGGGATGGCGAGCCATGTGGGCAAATAATTGGCTTTGGTTGAAGAATACTGTGGCGTCACTCTCTTCGACAGTCCTTCCTTGTGCAATACAGAATATGCACCCGTAGAGCTGTTCCTCAACGTGTCTAATTTGTAAATGGCTCTTTTGGAGTATACGCAGCCGAAATCCAATGGAGTTGGACGTAAAACTACCGGAAGCTGGAAACATGTGAGATGCATTATACCATGTAAATAGATGGAAGGGCATTACTTACAGTCGTTGTTGAGATCCTGCTCGACCGACTTGAAATCGATTTCAAATAGACAATGGTTGCACTTTGCTACGACAGCCATGGAGAAACCCTGTATTTGTTAACAACTTGTTGGCAAAATAATAGAATGCCCAATAGTGTATGTAAAGGATAACTTACACCAACAGGACGCTTGATTTTCTTGAAACCAAGTCGGCCTGCTATAACTTCTTCCGCCCCTTTACAGAAGCCCTTGAGCTTATAGAAAGAGCTGTGAGGTCCTATACTACAGTCGGGTATCCGCGAAGGTACCATTTGGCCATCTGACCTAGGGCTTTCCATGTCAACGGGAATCAAGCCCTCATCCATGGCCGTTGGTAGTTGGCCTGTTAATATATTAGGACGGGCCGTCAGGGTGGATGAAGAATGATTCGTAATCGTTCCCACACCAGAGGATATGCTGGGATTCGTCGCTGTACGCTGATACACGGGTGGATGTCCCATATACTCTGGCGGTTGTGCTCCTGGACTAAGAGGTTCCACAGACATAATCGAGCTTCTTTTATGTGTCGTCACAGGAGGGGGTGCAGGAGCACTAGGATTCGTAGGGCTCATACATTCGACGATATCAAAAACGGAACTGTTAATTGACTCGGTTGACGGATGACGAGTCGAGCGACGACTACCAGTGGGCCGCGCCAAAGAATTTCCTCTGGGAGGAAAGTTAGGGATGGGCGGGAGACTAGCTTTGGGGCCTTGCATATGAATAGCGCTGCCTTCGGGGATGGACTGTCCAAGAACAGAAGACGTATCAGAGGGTGAGCGGCTAGACGAAGGATCAGGAAGTTGACCCGGCCATGCAGAGCCTTCGTTGGCGGGAGACCGGTTGGCAGATGAGAATCCGCTATACGACTTATGGGTCGAGCCCTGTGTCGAGTTAGTCCAACGCTTGCTCTTCCTAGGCGACCGTGACCCATCACTAGCCGTCCCCAAGCTACGCGAAGCCGCGCGCATTCGTCGGTCATCGTCGTCTCTCTGGGATGGGTGGATGGGCTCGTCGGTCCTGCGGCGAAGTCGTAAGGGGCTCGAAAGGCTTCCGTGGGGACTAACCGGTTGCGCGTGGGGGATGGTCGGGGAGTCGCTCGGGACTGGAGGGCGACGCTCCCATCGGTCCCCTTCCCCTGGATGTTGTTCCACGGGACTGACGGGCGGGGCCGAACCGACTTGCCATGGGTCAGTAGAGGGCGGTCTTGGCGGGGGGTCTGAGGTGACATCGGAGACTACAGAGCGGTGCGAGTTACTTCGGTCGAGGTCGCTCACTGATCGTGGGGGTAGGTCCGCGTCCAGACCTTCGTCGGGTCCCGCTACCGCTCCCATCATGCTGCTTAGTTGCAGCTCTGTCTCTTCCATCAGCTTCTCTGTCGAACTGGACGCCGGAGGGTCGACGACAATACTTGTTGGGATCTGCTCATAATGAGAGTTGCGATCAGGGACGACCGATGCACCCCTTGATGACGATCTCGCTGACGTTGGCGCAGGGGCAACTAGCTTCATCCGCTTGAGGATATCCACGATCTTCGGCGCCGCTTTTCTCGATGCCTTCTGTAATTCTTCGAACTTGCCGGCATCGAACTCGTCGGGTTCGACATAATCGTCAAAATCCCATAATAAGTCCTCTAGTTCGGATCGATACTGCGCAATTTCGTCTAGCACGTACCAAATGGTCAGCTTTAATCCTCGATTCACCATAGGATCACGGCCTACGGTGCCTGGCGCAATAGAGTCATAGAGGGGAGCCTTACCGTTTTCCTTGATCGCATCAACAAAGTTCACGCCATACTCGTCGAAATTCTTAGTGCAGAGCGGCTCGATCCGCTTCAGCGCCCGCTCTCCTTCTCTTAGGAGGTTCTGCGCCGCCTTAAGCATAAGCGGCGACGTCTCTTCGTCGGCGTTCGGCGTATTTCCAATTGCTATATTGCCCTTCTCCACGATTTCCCTAAAAGGCGCAATCGCAAGTCGCTCAACTTCGTCCGCCATGGCGACTAGTAAGTTGGATGTAGTAATTGGCAGAAATCGTCCAACATGCACCGCGACGTCTATTTGTCCGTCGAGACCGGTAAGAGAGTCGAGGGCTCTTAATCCTGACACCCAGGATTGAGGGAAGAGTGGAGCAGAGAACCAGTCAGCATGGAAGTTCTCGCGGCTCAGCCCTCTCGGAGGTTTTATGTCGAGGTTCCGTAACAACGCTGGCGGGTGCAGCAATGCATAATTCGAGTTAAGCTAGGTTGAAGTTTAGGAAGAGAAAGAGAGACGAAGGAGGAATATGAGAATGGAAATTCGACCCCACGGGACGGAAAGGCTGAACTAGATAGAGTCTACGCCAGTAGGAATGGTAACCCGAGTTCGCTACAGCGTGCATCGGTAGCTTACATACTACATAGTACATACACGCAAAGTATCATCGACCGTCCGCCGGGGCCTAACGGAACGGTCAAGGGTTCGAGGAGGGTCAAGAGTGGCGTCTTTTGGGCCAATGCAGAACACAGTAGGTTATGACCCTGGCTTGCGTGGGCTCTCAGGGTATCTGTACTCCATACAACTCCATACAACTCCATACCCGCGTTAGCTATCGAAGTCTAGCGTCACCGGGTCTGTCAAGGCTTTGATTGGCTCCGCCGCTTACGGTGTCGACACTGACAGGGGCAATGCATACGTTCCACTGGCGGGCACTTTAGCGCTTCCCTACCTCTAGTACCCACGACGAGGAATTCCTACCTGCGAATCTGGTGTCTTAGATGGCCCCTGCTACGATCACTATCACAATTGAAGGCTATCTTCCCGGTTTGAGTACAACAGAACACGACGAATGGAATAACACAGTTGGATAGGAGACGCCGATATTCAAATTGGTAGGCCCGCTAGGTTTAATGACTTCAAATGACTTCAAAAATCCAAAAAGGGGGCACTGCTTTTACGGATAGACATAGGCAGACTCGCGTAGACACAAGCCTACGACAGGCCTACTATAACACACGCTATCATTCAGCCGATGGGGCGGTGCTATATGGAACTACGACATAGTAATAATACATGTCCACCTTACATACATACCCAAGTCGAAATCGCTCAATCTATCAACCTAGTCGAAAGTACCGTGTAGTTGCGATTGATCTTCAGTTGACAGTGTCACCTACTCCATATGTATACATCTCCTATTAGTAACACGACCGTTTCTTCGGGTTGGGGTAAAGAGCGGGATGGACGTCTTTACCTCGGCCGTACTCTTCCGTAGCATAAGCCGATAGTGGTAATAGGTACAAGGGTTTGTCGAGTCGTTTTTGATATGAGCTCCCAGAAAGGTAAGCATCCGAACAGTTGAGACTCGGTTTGTCAACTGATGCTCAGCCGATTTCCGGCAGGCTGGAAATGAGTTCTGGGTTGTATAGACGTTGTGTAAGCGTGAGGGTGCATTGAAGACAGGCTGGCCAGATACCACCTATGGCACTATGGCTGTATGGTTACTACCTACGGTACAGTAGGGTAGGGCAGTAAGGGTTCGCGATGGATCTGAGTCAACCCACCATCGGCAAATGCATCTCCACCGGAATCCTGTAGTATTGGGACGAATCAACGTCCAAGGTTTTCTTCAGGGAGGTTTCGTTGCTGACTGATTTGTTACCATCGTCTCGTTACCTCAAACTCATGGATCAAGCCATGGATCCAAACTTGTTCACAGACTCCCCTACATACATGCACTGTAAAGAGATGGATGAGACATGCGTAGCGTTTGATAAAAGCCCGGGCCTTTAAATTACTTGAATAATATAAATATACAACCACTATATGCATGTGCCATGGATAGCACGAGGGATTCCGACTACGTCATGCGAGATATTATACTACTATACACGTATTAGAGAAGGCCGCAAACGATGGCTGCTGTTGTAAAGACGCGGTTTCGGGATCAGTATCCCGACAGCGACAGGACATTGTTATTATCAGTAGCAAGGGCAAATTAAAAAATGGAAAGGGAAAAAACTCCTTCCAATTCTCATTTCTGGTTTAGTACTGTAGGTGCTAGAGATATTCGGGTTACCTAACCAGTCCTATCCTACCCTATCCTACTAGTCGGTGGGATATTCACCCCCGGACATGCAGCTAATAGCTGCGCCATTCCACATACGTGATACCTTAGTCTGCACGACAGCTCTTGGCATCAGGGCTGACGTCTAGCACCGCTGGACAGCTGAGATACATACTGTACAGTGGGCATATTTGCATGGCTCCTGGACTCTAAAAGATTCAAGCAAGACGCCAAGGCCAAGGCAAACCGAGGCTTTATTTTTCAAGGCAGATTTTATAAAAGCTCACTCGCCAGCCAAGTTACGATCGCTCAGCTGCAAAATAGCCTCGTTTTATAAATGGAGACCGCTTGCCTACCGAAAAAGGCGGCTGAGATTTTGTCTTAGCTGTCATCACCATGCACGGAATCAGAGAAAGCATCCATAGCAGCTAGTCCGAACTGCCCGAACCACGCTTCACTGCGACAACTAGCAAGCAAATCAAGACCGGCAAACATCGACAGGTCTCCAGAGTCTCCACCAAAGCTTTCACTTTCACCATGTAGTGTACCGCGAATACGGACAACCCCAAGCAGAGATAGCCTCTAGGCGCTTCGGTCCTTTGGGAAAACCATCAGCGCGGTATTTGCACCTCTCCCCGACGTTGCGTTAATCTCGCAACCTCGCCCTCATGCATCCATGAGGCTCGATGTACGACGTGAGTTGATCCTTTCAGCGAGAGTTGCGTAGGAGTTGCGTAGGCTATCATTAGGGTAGGGCGGAAACAAATGAAACCTTGTCGGCCTTCCAGAGCTCGGCTCGGCTCTTAAAGCTTCTTTACCATAGGAAGACGATGTTCCCGCGTTCCCGTGGACCGAGTGGATGGGATCTCGACCTCGATCTTGTTTTGAGACAAGACAGTGTGAAAATAGCTACCTAATCATACCTAACGAGGGACCATACCTAAGACCCATAGACAGGTTTGTTCACCTTGCAACTCAGTACCCAGTACGACCATCCTTTAACGGAGCCATCCGGCTAACATGGTTCCCCACTGATGGCTCCCACCCTAGCAGATTGTTTGGGTCGTTTGGGTCTACTGTTCAGGGGTCGCGCAGTCTCACCCTATCGTCTTCACCTTGATCAGTTCACATGCAAATACGGTCAAGGCATGGAGGAGTCCATATCCATACCTACACACCAACATCCCACCTACACCTAGTAAATGCAATCAGCGTCTTATGGCTACAGGTTGGTTCCCCTCCCTCTCTCGTCGATACCACCGTAGCAGTCATGAAACGCTACTCTAGCTCCCCTTGCATCCTTTAAATCAGATGAGGCGCGGATTTTCAAGACCATTCAGCAAGAATTCAACGTAACATGTGTTATACTGTTATTACTATCACAACCTAGGCATGTAGGTACTGGTTATTGTTGAGTTACTCCTAACGGCATGATCGTTTCCGTGCCGCTTCGCAGGGGGTCGATAGATCTCGCTTCAAGGGTACGTGTATGAGATAAGAATGTCCGCCAAAGAAAAGGAAGGTCTTAAAGCTACTTACATAGGTAGGTAGCCATGATAACTAGCCATGTCGGCCATGTCTAGCTCGTAAACTAAGCTATAAGAAAGCCAAGACGAGAGAGATCTCACTGTGGGTTACTAGGTCTTGCTGCAAGTCTTATATTGGAGGTAAATAATAAAGCTATCGCCACCAATCAGAAATTTATGGGCAAATTACTAAATGTATGTAATTAATCCTGACGGCGCCGGATCTAACAGCATTAAGTCTATCCGTCTACTAAACTCCGACACGTGGGATACATATTAACATATTCCACTTCGTACGAAAGCAAACCAACTCCACGTGGGAGCTGTAGATGGAACCACCTTGTAATTGCAGTTCATAGCTATTGTTTACTAGGAGGACCTGGGTTTTCGTACGATGAATTACCCAATTTCACTATACGAATAGCTATATATTCTGTAAAACCAGCAAACAAACTTCATACTAGAGGTTTCCAATGTCTTGGGTTTCCACGTTTCCACAGGGAGCAAAGGGGGAAGGAAGCAAGTTGTGGTTTGTCTATCAACAATTTCAATGGATATCCATATATCATGGATCTTCCGAAATATCTCCAGCTCCCTACATAACACCACTAAACAGCGTGCGACTTCAGCGGCCTCATCTATAGTACCTAGAACCCACACTCCTAAAAATAAACTTGTTTGAAGGCGATGAAACAAAAAAAAAAAATCTAGAACATCGCACAACGTATAGGTAATCATAATAATAATAATAATGTCCGAGACCATTCGTCTCCCCCACAAACCCGATTCCCCGCTCTCGTATCAATTCCTGCCGGGACAAGGTTCCTCCTCCACCACCCACCTCGTCGTCTTCCTCAACGGCCTCATCGTCCCCCAGGACGGCTGGGCGCCCACTATACGAGACCTGCAGCGGCGATGGTCCGAGAAGGGCTCTAGCAGCCACCCCCCGCTGCTCACGTACGACCGCTACGGCCAGGGCCAGTCGGCCCGCGACCCCGCCGACGCCGCGCGCGGCGGCACCCACAGCATCCAAGAGGTCGTCGGCGACCTGCACACCCTCGTGCGCCAGATCTGGCGGATCAAAGTGCGCGCGACGACGACGACGCGCCGCAAGTGCCCGCGCGAGCCGCGGACCACGCCTCGGCTCATCCTCGTCGGCAACAGCATCGGCTGCGTGATCGCGCGCCTGTACGCGGCCGAGTACCCGGGCGCCGTCGAGGCGCTCCTGCTGCTCGACAGCAACATCGCGAACAGCGACCTCGTGTCAATCTTCCCGGACCCGGACGCGCGCGGCTTCGACCCGGCCGCCGACCTGCCGCCCGACGTTACTATCGCGGACCTGCGGCGCACGCGCGAGGGCTACGCCGCCGTCTTCCACCCGGCGGCGCCGAACCCGGAGCACCTGGACCGCCGCGCCGTCGCGGCCCTGCTGCCCGACGCGGACGCGCCGGCGCTGGTTGGCCCTGGCGGCGACGGCCCGCTTGTTACGGTCGTGGGACATGATTGGAATGCGTTTGCTGAGGAGGGGTTGCGCGGGTTCATGCGTGTGCCTAAGAGCCTGACGAATTCGTTCATGAACCCGGCTTGGACGAGGTATAATGAGGGCCTGGTGCGAATAACGGATGCGCTGAGGGCGCGAGGTCCCGTGACGGCGGTTGGATGTGGACATTTCATTCAGAGGGATGACCCGGTGCTGGTTGCGGAGCTGGTGGAGGATCTGCTGGGCAAGGTGAGGGATTGGAAGCGGTGGCGGTAGTATTTCGTGCTACGACAGTGCTTGGACGGGCATAGGTGCTGGTGTTGAGGGCTGCGGTCTGTTCACATGGAGTTCACCTGTACCTCTACCTCATGACGGCGTTTGATTAAGCAGCGATGGTTTAGCGATTGCATTTTCTCCTGCTTGCTCCAGTCACCATTCACTGTGTACACTATTCTGATGAGCCTCTACGAGCAACGTTTCCAGTCATGAAAAGTAGCGTCTGTTTTGTTCATTAAGCACCTATGTACCTACCTCCAAGGTAGAAGTTACACATAGGTAGGTAGTTTATATGATAGATCAAAAAGCGATGAGCCTGGCCCTGAAGGAGACGTCATCCAGAAATAACTTTGTTACAACGTTGCCGTTGCGCGCCATGTAGTATTGAGGGATGGCCCTATCGGAGGATATTCCCGAGCTAGTCGTGCCTCCCCCTATCATCAGAACCCTAGGCCGGGTTATTTCTCTCTATACCCAAATACACCTTCGATGCTACCTCATTAAACCATCTGATAACAAAGCGGCTGATGCCCAAATATTCATGTGGCTAAAACTTATCAACGTCGATTAGCTGCGTTACATATTAGCTAAGTAGACAGGCTAACTGTATATCTATAAAAGACGCGAGATGACGGCTGATTCCGAATTGGTAAACATGGGGTGCAGTAGGGACATTTAAGGGACCTTTACTCCTATTCCCCTAAAAGTTAAATGGTGTCTTTGCCTTGCCTGGATAGTTTGTGAAGCTGACAAGGAGAGAGATAGGTATCGGCGATATTCCCATGACGCTAATAGAAGCGGACTCTTAAACTCGCATACGACCCCGGACAAAAAGATCGAGGTGGTATCAAGGATTAGGTCGATGTAGCTCAACCACACTATCACTTAGCCGTCTGCTAGTCTTCACAAGTCTGATGCTACAGAAGGTAGCTGAGACTGGGTCTAGGGACGAATGCTCCTGCATATCTGTTCTGGAATTATCTAGCTAACACGCTAGCAGGTGGATACTGCCGACATAACGTTCTCTGCAATGATACATATCTTCCGCTTTAGGCACGTGTTTTTGTTTAAGACTACACGATGCCCCATTGATCGAACACGTTACAATGAGCTTCACGGTAGTTATGTAGACCCAGTACTTGTACCATACCTTGCGGTTGAACGTGGTCATGTTCAGAAGCATACGCAATACCTCAGTTGCTTCTAATGACCGAGCGTGTGCTAGCCAAATAGAGTACTGAATCACCTGAAGCAAATTCAAGATAGTGCTAGTGTATGAAGACCATGAAGCGATCGAAGATTATTCTAAAAACTAGACAGGAAGTAACGTAGGGACTATTATAGAATAGAACGGGTGAGAAACCTCCTATGACGGGCAAGTTAGTAGGTACCTAGCCATTGCTGAGCACCTCTTACGTTCAGTGTGATATAGGTCGCTGGCATTGATGTAGGTAGATACTTGGAATAACAGTTTTCACGCCTATACATTGCAATTTCACTTCGCACAATATTTCCGTCGAACAGCTTGCCGCCGTCGCAAGCGTCTTGGTTGAAATCGACCGCCTGAGCAGCTTTGGTATCCGTGCATAAAGTAGGGCGTAATTCACTAAGTCTCCTGGGCCTGGTCCTGTTAGATTTCTCTAAAGCTCTTGTCATTAATATAATGTTAATTCTTTAGAATTCTTACCAGCATACGGAGAAAGTGGCCATGTATTTTGCTAGTAGTAGATAGTAATAAGAAATTAGCCGAAGATGATACTGACAGTTTCATCCAGACACCTAACGATGCTTCAGAACCCATACCTCTCAAACTACTAACAAAACAGAGCCTCCAACTCTTCAAAAATCGACTAGGTGACTTCTAGGCTGCCTTTATCCTAGACATATGTGTGAAAAGGGGACTGACTTGAGTTATCGGGGACTTAGGGGGAAGTGATACATGCCAAAGGCTTGGTGGAGGAAATGTATCTATCTAGGAGGTAGACGGGCCTTCGAAAAAACCTATATTTACCCAAGTCAAGGTTTCCTCAGTACTCCTTTTTCGTCAATATTGTTTAGTAGTTACTATTCCAGACGATGAATATATTCTAATTGAGTTGATGAATCCGGTCTTCTTGGACAGTCTCCATAGCTGCAGTTTTCAAGCATATTTGGTTCTACCGTGGTACTATACCTCCACGGATTGACACCATAGTATGCTAGGTGCTCAGTGCCGTAGTATGAATTCCACCGAACATCTCCTCGTTACCCACCGGTAAGTAAGGTTGAACAACGAATGGTTCCCAAGGACAATGTTTCGACCCATTGAACTCTAGAGTTAGCAGTTCGCTTCTATGTATCGGGGCGACGACCAATTCTTATTAGAGAGTAGATAACCACCCATTTGGCCTTTTTAGATATGCAGAGTTTGGTCATGTATCTCTAAGACACGACGTCGTCTCAAACAAGAACTTTCTAGTGGAGTTCACTTAGCCCCCTGTAAGAAGTCTATACCTTCGCGTTATGGGACGTCGTGTTTGGATGGTAAATACGTCAGTAAGAAGTGCCGCTGGCGTAAGTAGCCGTCCCTTTAACACTAGGGCCCGGGTTATAATTGTTCTCTTACAGACTGGCTAGGGCTGGAATGAGTAAATATCCGTGTGGCTACCTAGGTAGACAGATCCCGCACGTTGTTGAATGATCTTCTTCATAGCGAACATTGTCTATTTTCAATATGAGCACTCTTAAGATAGGAGTGGATTGCGAAGTCCCATGAGATGACTTCGAGATAATTAAACTCTTGCTCGACCCCAAGAAAAGCTTAGTGATACTTATCATCTTCGAAGTATATCTGAAGTTCTTTAGACAGAAGAAATGAGGATCGCGGCGTTGCTTTTCTACAGCATCCCTATCTGTACAGTCTGGAAGGAGTTGTCAGTAGTACCCCTTCGATGCTTTTGAAGCTTCCAAAAACCCTTCCATTTCTCTCATTTGATCCGAGCTGACTCTCTCTGGCCTATCCCAACAGGTCAACTTAAGTGCATGCATTCGATATGAAATTTGAGAGGTTCATGCAGAGCAAGATGGAATAGATATAGAAATTTACGGGGTGTTTTCGGCGATGGTTCTAGGTCGCTCTTTTAGTGACTTAATAATATTTATCGAATTGTGTTAATTCTCGGTTCTCGGTTGTAGAGATCGAAGTTGTTCATCCGATTCTCTTTCCCATTTAAAGACTTGGAATTGCCGTTTGTAGTCTAACGCATGGACCACCCCGCAAGCCTTGTGAGTCCCTAGTGCCTGGATTTCTCCACTTTACGGGAGAGCTTTCCCAAATGCAGGGTCCGATGCTCGGTAAGTGGCTCGATTTGGACCCACTGTCGTCATTGGTGGCTGACCCGTGAGCCTAGCTTAGAACCAGAAAAATAGCATGGGATCCCTAAAAAAATATGACAATTCTAATAATGTGGGCGGTCTACTGAAGTGGTCTTTGCGGTCTCTGCTCTCCAGTCTCCTCTCCTCCCCTTACCTCTATCACACCACCAATGCGTCGATACAAAATAATCCAATTCCCTTTTCGCCATTTGCTCTTTTATCGTTATCCTAATCCCTTTCGCACGTGTATACCTGCAATTCCAGGCATGAAACTTCTGAGTCCAAGCATACCCTCCTCGTTGCTTCCAGTTCTTTGATTCCAAAATCGAAATGCCTCCAGCAAAATCAAAAGCGAACCACGACGACGCAAAGTCGGAGACGACCAGCGTCAAGGACCGAAATGGTCACGGCTCCAACCATCACCAATCGAACGGAAAGCTTCGACGTGTGGCCAGTTCCAACGGTACACAATTGCGAGATGTGACAGCCGTCAACGGCAACTCGTCGACTGCCCCAACGCCAGCGTCACAACCCGGCCACGTTCAAGGGGTAAGACCAACTTCGGCGCTCTGCGTGTTCTGACTGTAGATCCGCTGACAATACATTTCCTGCAGCTTCAATGGCCATCATTTGATCGAGATGTCCTACACGACTACCGTCGCAAATACCTCCTCCACACCCCGACCGCTTTTGCCAACCCATACCACCACTGGGTGCTCTCGCGACCAGGCATCGGCCTACGCTCGCCCACAATGGCACGAAAACAAGAATATCGGCGACAGAGCAAAGAAGAGCTCACGAAAGTCGTCCGAAAACATTTTAATGCGCTCGGTGTACAAGAGACCGATGTCATCGTCGACTTCGTTCACAGGGTCAGAAATCCGGGCGTCGTAAAAGTTAAGAGAAACAAAGATCTACCACATTCATCTCCATTACCATAACCATAATTGGATCCATATATAGATACCCCCCGAAAGCAAGGATACCTGCACGTTTGGTTTTTGGCATTATTGCATTATTATAGACATTACCACATCGCAAGACTCGCTTCGAGTCCTTTGCTTGACTCATTTGGCTTACTCGCACTTTTTGCATTATCCTGGAGTTTTAGCGCTGGCCTGCGCTGGGTGGGACTCAACCGCGGAGGAACAGGGACCGACGACTAACGAATCGATAGGAGCACTATGAGATACTCTAGGGTATAGGTATATACGGTCTGTTTTCGAATTTATATTTTTGATATTGTACTATATAATAGGGATTCTTCTTATACTAAGTAAATACCGAATACTCGCATCTTAAACTGTTGTTTATTTACTTCAACGCTTCCGCTTCGTCGATACTTTTTAGTTAGGGGCTGCCGCTTTTTGAGTTTCGTAGTTCTTCTGAAAAGGTGTTAAGCCGAACCCCTCACGCGGGACGCGCCTCCAATTTCCTTTTACTAATGGGATTTAGATTGGATGCGCCATTCGTGTGGCACCGCATCTGCTTAATAACAACCTCCGATCTCAACCGTAGTACATACTACATTGGAATGACCAATGATCTGTTATATGTGGATATAGAAGGAAACGACAATTGCTGCGATATGAATTGTAGAATACGCATATATAAAGTTATTAGATACCAGTATACAATATTCTATGCAATAGACGAACTTACAGGTTGGTGAAAGCTGTCTTAAAAAGTATTGCATCTAAGACAATTGGAGAAATGCATCATGCTGTAAGTCCTCAGAGCATGATACATCCACCTTGGCACCTTCTAAGTTTTGACACCAACTGAATTAAGCTTATTTTCTAGCACCCTTGGGCGTAAACTTGGCGAAACATTATCATTATTTATCTCTATAAATCGGGTTATGTGGGTGTTATCACTATTAACTCGAGTATTGTGATAGTGTTCGTCACTAGAAGAGGATGCAGTGATACGTACCATGGACGAATGAACTTATTAAGTTAACATACTAGATTGCATATTGCAGCGATCGAGCAAGATGTTTATTAATACCTAATAGGCAGGCTCTAAATGTTGATATTCAACTTAGAGGTACCTAGGTACCTCGGTTAATGGTGTGGCTAGTGCTAATGCTGGTTGTGGCTTAGCATATGTCAAAATTCAGCCAGTGGGGTTTGAGAGAATCGAGAATCTTCCCGTTTGCTCGGCATCAGGTCTTAGCGTAGAAAAAAAAAGTTCGAGCGTCATTGCGACCATCTTCAACTTTTGCTGTTACCCACCTACCCTTGGTAATATATTTTCGATTCGTTCTATATGCTCTGTTCATAGCTTGTTGGCTATACATATCATGAGGGATCGCAATAACTCGGCGTGATTTCACTGCGACTAGGAGCATTTAAGATGAATTCTACTCTATTCACGAAAGCTGCGATACCGTCGCGCATACTGTCTCCAGCTCAGATATATCGGAGGCAAAGATTACGAGACCACTTACGAAGGCGCGCACAAAGCAATACGATCACTTCATTGTCAAAGAGGCCAAGCAATACAATAAACCGGCCGACCTGCCAAGCTGCGACATACAGACGAGTTAGTTTACCCCTCCTAAATTTACTTCGTGCGTTCATACTGATTATCTTCGATACAGTCCTTCCATGCCACCCCCCGTGCGCCCGCTATCAAAGACCCGTACAGTACCCTGGGTGTGGGGAAATCGGCTTCGGCAGGAGATATTAAGAAGGCCTACTATGGATTAGCCAAGAAGTACCATCCGGATACGAATAAGGACCCATCGGCGAAAGATAAATTTGGTGAAATCCAGTCTGCGTATGAGATTCTGTCCGATCCCAAAAAGAAGGAACAGTATGACCAATTTGGGGCTGCCGCTTTTGATGCTAATGCTGGACCCGGACCTGGAGCCGATCCTTTCGCAGGAGGAAATCCGTTCGCCGGCTTTGGTGGACAAGGAGGCTTCGGTGCTAATTTCAACTTCGAAGACCTCTTTTCCGCATTCGCTGGTAGAAAAGCTGGTGGGCCTTTTGGGGCAGGAGGCCCCTTCGGAGGAGGAGCGCACGCAGGTGGAAGAGGGAGCCCGTTCGAAGACGTCCTCATCGGAGAAAATATCGAGGTACAAACGAGCATCTCATTTATGGACGCGGCAAGAGGGACGAAGCAGGCGATTACGATACATCCATTTATATCATGCAATACTTGCAGTGGAAGTGGTCTAAAGCCAGGCACCAAGCGGACGGAGTGCAAGGTCTGTGGTGGGACAGGCACACAGGTCCATTTCATGACGGGCGGCTTCCAGATGGCTAGCACCTGTAACAATTGCAAAGGTACCGGCACAACATCTCCTAAAGGATCAGATTGTCGTGAATGCGGTGGGAACGGTGCTGTTAGAGAGCGCAGGACTATCACTGTGGATATCCCTGCTGGTATTGAAGATGGGATGAGATTACGGTTAGATGGAGAAGGAGACGCACCCATCACTGGTGGCGAGGCCCCCTCCGGTGCTAGGATGGCTCGAGGGGACCTCTACGTTTGCGTGCGGGTCGCCTCGGACCCGAAGTTCAAGCGAGCGGGATCTGACATCCTGTACACGGCAACCATCCCATTAACTACAGCCATACTGGGTGGTGAAGTGGCGATCCCGACGCTAGATGGCCAAGTCAACGTGAAGGTTGCGACAGGCACGAGCACTGGCGACAAATTAACGCTGGCCGGGTTGGGTATGAAGAAGCTAGGTGCCCGCCGTAGCAATTCAGGAGACCTAAAGGTGGAATTCCGAGTCGCGATGCCAAAATATCTTTCCGCCAACCAGAGGACGATTGTAGAGATGTTGGCGGACGAGTTAGGCGACAAGACGGCCAAGCGGATTATGAACGTCAAGATGCCAGGGTAAGAATGATTTATTCTATTCCCGTATGAGGACGTATCTAATTCGACAATTACAGATCTGCGGGTAGAGAAGCAACGAAGGGTGAAGATCCCGACATGCATAGAAACGAAGGTTTTCTGAAGTCGATATGGCATAATCTGACGAATAACCCAGGTCACCAAAAACCAGGAGACCCAACGTCCGGTGGCCAGAAGAACTCTAACGAAGACCCCAAGAAAGGCTCTGGCTCGGGTTGAGCTTGCAACCTACCTAATATAGACGCTATCCTTGAACCAATGACTGGTGAACGCCTCCTCAAGCATGTACCATACTCGCACACCTGAAAGATATGTCACGAAATATGATCGCCTGGAATATAGATATTAGAGTGATTGGGATTGCATGGATGGTGTTTGATGATGGATGGGATGATGCCCGGGCGTCTTAAGTGGAATCGACTCGCCGGCGAGAGCATGTTTGCGCGCCTTGATATCCACAATATACTCGCTAGGTGTGTATTTGAATCTGTACACTACTACTAATAGGTACAGGACACATGATCAGATAATGCGAGGCCACTCTCCTCAATTCAAGATACGTACATGATGAATCGGGTTATGGGTGATCTTACCTTGTTCATAACAAGCCCCACGATTTCTTATTTCTTAATTCTTTACCTACTACTGCCTACTACACCTACATTACCTACATACCCAGTAATGTGCTTACTGCATTCTTCATGCACGTGAGATGTCAGGATGTGTATAGATGGGAGTATGATAATGTGTAATGTATGGAGTTGAATCTCACAGACGGTTGCAGAACTGGCCTCGGTTGGATGAGCCGTGAGGAGAGAAGAGCAGCCCTATTGAATTAAGGTCGCAGCAGCGGCCCGCTAGGCGCTGATAACCCTTGTTTTCTTCACCAAGGCCTTGGAGTTAACCGCCATAAGAGCCAATCATGGTGAAGTTAGAGCTAAAGACGATTATGAGCTGTAGCCAATGACGTACGTTAGAGGGGGTATTACGCCCAGTTGCGCCCTGCTTAACGCTCTCGTCACCTGCATAAGTGTGTTATATCGCGGTGACTATTGTTTAAAGTAGCGGAGAGATTGTTTTATACCATCAGTCCGTATCTGTTTCTGGTGAGGGGAAAGAGATCGGAAGATACACGATCAATTGACTTTTGACTGAAAGCGTTTACATGTTCGCAGTTGAGTTGTACAGCATATCTGCAGTAGCCTATGATCTCATTATCGCGGGCTACACAATGAGAATAAAAGCGTCTCAAATTAACGGCTATGTTACACGTTAAGTACCTAAGCGATCAAATATGTTAAATTACCTAACGTCAAATGGTCTAGTATGTGCAGACATATAACTCCAATGCAATGCTCCTTCGTAAAACCTAGGTGCTGGGTAGATATGAGAAGTAGCTACCTACCTAAGTATTCATTCTATCGTAGTTGCCTACCTAGTAGGTAGATATTTGTAGGCAGAGAATTAGAAGGTTGACCGCTGCTGACGACTACTAGGTACCTATCCACTATAGCCGGGTAGGTAATATCAATTTCTGGAAGGCGTCCCGGCTACCAGTGGTGGTGCATCCACTTAAAGACTAGACCCCACTTGAGCACCGTATGTGGAAAGATACATACCTGCCTTAAGACCTTCCTCGGCGGCTATCATTCTTTAGACGCCAGTTCCAGACAACTTCAAACGTTTTGTCGTTTACATTGTTTGAATCTTCGATCTGCATGTTCGCTGGCCAGCTTCATGCGCCTCATTGCATTGACAATCGCGCCGCTTGTTACTCTACTCATGCGTCATCTTAGTTGACCAACTCATCACCGACCGCTTACCTATTCAACCCATTACCCTCGACCATCATAATCGGGATCATTGGGTTACTTCTACCTTGTCCAACTAAGCCGTTCACCTTTACGACATTGCTTTTTAGCGACAGCATGTTGGCGTGTGCATCGATTTCCATTGCCAAACAGCTTCTGGGTAATTAATTCGGACCAAGACTCTTGCGACATCGTAATCGACAAAGCTTCCCTTCGTATTCGCGACGCCAAACCCCTTCTATGAGAAACGAAGCCCGATACCTTTAGAAAGAGCAAAGTCGCTGGGTTGGCGTGCCCTACCACAGCTCACATCGTCCACCATGACGCAGACTCCCATGATCTCGGTGCCTCTGAAGGCTACCAACGAGATCGATTGGATTACCCCGCTGAAGACGTATATTAGAGACACATATGGCGACGACCCCGAAAGATATGCGGAAGAATGCGCAACACTCAACCGCTTGCGCCAGGACATGAGAGGTGCTGGCAAAGACAGCACTGCTGGGAGGGACTTGTTATACAGATACTATGGCCAACTCGAGTTATTGGACCTTCGTTTCCCCGTCGATGAACAGCACATCAAGATCTCATTTACATGGTATGGATGTCGCTTTGCTAAAATGATACGCGGCACAAAACTGGTGATCTAACTTGAAGATGGCAGGTTTGATGCGTTTACTCACAAGTCCACGTCCCAATACTCGCTTGCGTTCGAGAAAGCTTCCATAATATTCAACATATCCGCTGTTCTATCCTGTCACGCCGCCAACCAAACCCGATCTGAAGAAACTGGCCTCAAGACCGCATACCACTCTTTCCAGGCCTCTGCTGGCATGTTCACCTACATAAACGAGAATTTCTTACATGCGCCATCCTCCGACTTGAGCCGGGAGACTGTCAAGACTTTGATACAAATAATGCTTGCGCAAGCTCAAGAAATCTTCCTCGAGAAACAAGTTGCCGACCAAAAGAAGGTAGGTCTACTAGCGAAGTTGTCTAGTCAGGCCGCCTATCTATACCAGCAAGCACTGGAAGGCGTTCAAGAAAATGTCACCAAGGCTATCTTTGAGAAAGTCTGGCTCCTATTTACCCAGGTAGGTATCCAGTCCTTGAAAGGGTAGAGTGCATCATTAACTTTTATTCAGATCAAAGCGAGTTTGATGACGTCGAATGCGCAGTATTATCAAGCGCTTGCTGATGAAGATGCTAATTCGTACGGCGTTGCTGTCGCAAGGCTCACGACGGCTGAAACGCATGCTAAGGAAGCTAATAAGATAGCTAATAACTTCCCTAACACCATGCCGCCTAGCGCAAATCTAAGTGCTGATACGGGGACCTTGCTAGCAGAAATCACGAAGCGGAACTTAACCACAATCCAGGAGAAGTTGAAAGAGTTGATAAAAGACAATGATTATATCTATCACCAGACTGTTCCCGCGGAGGCTAGTTTGATCCCAGTGCCGAAATTGCCAGCCGCCAAGCCAATACCGGTGAACGAGCTTTATGCTGGCCAGGACATCCAACGTATTACTGGTCCGGATTTATTCTCAAAGATCGTCCCGTTCACAGTTACCGAGTCTGCTAGCTTGTACGATGAGGAGAAAGCAAAACTAGTACGTGCGGAGGCCCAGAGAGTCGATATGGCCGACGTTGAGATGGCGACGAGTTTGGATTATCTCAAGCTGCCGGGCTCTTTGAACGTGCTGAAAGGAGGTATCGATCAGGATATCCGGCCAGATTCGGAGTTCCAGACTTGGTGCGACGATGTCGCAGGGCATGAAAATCCAATATCGATATTCGACACGTTACGTATAGACAAAGACGCGATAATGACAGTTCTGGATAGGTGCTCGAAACAACTCGATATGGAAGAGAGTGTTTGCGAGAAAATGAGATCGAAGTATGAGAGTGAGTGGACACAGCAGCCTAGCTCACGGCTTACTACTACGCTGCGAGGAAATATCCGGAACTATAGGGAAGCCTTGGACGAAGCAGCGAAGAGCGACGGCCAGCTGTACGCCAAATTTCGTCAAAACGAAGTGGACTTTGAGGAGATGCGGAATGCTGCGCAAACAGGCGAAGTCGATTCATTATTCCAAATGGCCGTTAACAGAGTCAGGGGAAAGTCTAGTAACGCAACGAGCCCAGCAAGCGGCGAGCCGAATCTACTAGATGCTGACTTTGAGGATGATAGTCCGAGTGTTGCGGAACAGATTGCTAGGGTTGAGGGCATTCTTAAAAAGCTAGACCTAGTAAAGAGGGAACGAAACCAAGTATTGAAAGATCTTAAGGAAAAGGTGAGAATGAAAAATTCTCGGCATCCGTATACTATTTGACTAATCGAATTAGGTCCACAACGATGATATCTCACAAATTCTGATTTTGAACAAGAAATCCATACCAAACTTTGAGAAAGAATTGTTCCAGTCCGAACTAGAGAAGTTCCGCCCTCGCCAGGATCGGATTTCGCAGGCAAACCATAAGCAGGCCTCACTTATGAAGGAATTGCAAGCAACGTTCAGCCATCTTCTTCAGGATAAGCGTGTACGTTCGGAACGAAGCAAGTATGAAGTCCTGCAACGACAAAGGAATTCGGTGGTCAATAAGTATAAGAGGGCGTATCAAGAGTTTCTCGACCTCGAATCTGGGTTACAAGGCGCAAAGAATTGGTACACCGAGATGAAAGAGACTGTTGATAGCCTGGAGAAGAACGTCGAGACATTCGTCAATAACAGGAGGGCTGAAGGTTCCCAATTACTCAATCAGATCGAGCAAGAGATAGCCGCGAACAAGAGCACGCAAGCTGAAGCTGAACGGGAAAGACTGCGTGGCCTGATGGAGCGTATGTCTATGGATCCTAACGCATCACCACCGCCGAAACCAGGCTCGACGCGGCCCGTGCCAACGCCGCTGTCTTTTTCGAGTACCCCTCGTTATCCTCAAAGCAACGTCACTGGTCAATATCAGATGCCAACATCTCCGCCACCAAACCAGGCCAGCTATCCTAGCTTTTCTAACCCTCCACCAAGCACTACTTACGCATCTACGCCGCAGCAGTCATATACTCCCAATCCTCAACAAAACAACCAGCCCTTTGGCCAAGCAGCATATAATCCTAGTAGCTGGGGCCGGAATCCCGGACCTGCGTCGCCGCCGCCGAACCAGACTACATTCGGGCTTGGTGTAGGTAGCAGAGGCCCTGCCTCACCTCCGCCAAACCAGACTTCCTTCGCGCAGAACCAATACAGTACCTACGGAAACCCACAAGTCCAAGCTTCGCAACAGTACATGCCTCCCGGCTTCGTACCGCCTCCACCTCCTCCCGGACCTCCGCCCTTAGGACCGCAGCAGACCATCCATTACTCACAGCAGCCGCAGGAGTATGCGTATGGGCAACCTCAAAGCTCAGTTCCTCGGTCGGCGCAACCACAGAATGATCCATGGGCGGGGTTGAATGCTTGGAAATAGAGAAAGAAGCAGGGTTATGACATTGACGAGGAAAATACGAGCAATGATACTATTAGATTTTGGGAAGCCAGCCAACTGTCCATGGAAAAAGTACTCAGATAGCAAGTCTAGAAATACTAGTAGTCTACCAGATTTTGGGATGTGATGTCTAATATGTATCTATTTAAGCCGACAGGTCTCTAAGGTATTGGCTCATTAATCGAGTTGAAAACTTAGATATCGGTTTGATACAAACATGATGTTGTTATGTCTGGATTATGTAATAAGTGATGGCTTTCAAGGATCAAGCTAACTGTCGACTAACACTCGAGGTCATATTGATGCAATCGAAAGGACTACAACCCCACGATAGAAGTCGGGCTCGGGTTCACTTACAGCTTGTCTCGGCAACATGCATGATGGAAGGAAGCAGGCAGAGAACCCTTGACGCTTTCATCGGGTCTAGCAAACATTGTTGAACTTGGAGAATGCAGATCTTGTCCCATTGGCACGGATGAGTGAATATGCAAGTCGGTCTTTTATAGTAACTACTCGCCGAAACTTATAGGGATGTCTATACTTGCATGTATATACATATAAGCGTTTCAAAAATTGCCGGTTAGTGATATGCTGGGTGATAGGTAACATACTTACATCCATATAACATACTATATACCTACAGATCATCTGTACACAGATACATAGCAGGTGGGATTCCCCGTCGAACTTGCAGGATCGGTAGGTAGTTTCGGAGAAGAAGGAATGTAATTAGAAGAGAAAGAGAAGGAAATGAAGGAAAGAAACAGAACAGTTGGGGTCTTGGCAATAGAGTTAATGTCGCGATGCCGGGAAGGGCTATGATAAGTTGAGGTCGTTTATGCAATGCAAGACAGTTGGCATGGCATATCGCCACATCTTGTAGCACTCTAAACCGACCTAGGCAGCTTAGACGAGGGGGAGAGCGCGGTTGCGAGAAAACTAAAGATAGACTCTTCCTTGAATTGTGATATTCAGGTAGATTCTGATATAGAATTGAGATTACGAAGATGGTGCTATTATAGTTTAGTGTTTCTAAAAGCAGACTCGATGTTGAACACTGGAAGTATAATTCGATGTCCCAACAATATGGATCCCAAGTATAAGTTCTGTATCGATAAAAGATTTATTGCTAAAGAAACTTAATTACTTCTCAATAATCACACGTGATTGGAGCGACCTGTAGCTTCTGTCTACGCTAGTATGAATTAAGTAAATAGGTAGGACTGTTCCGTCGGTGTTGAAGGCGATGATTCACCGATGATTAAACGGAGGGTAAGTGGGATCTCGTACGTCGTACTGGAGGTAGCGCTTGACCATCGCTAATTCATTGGCGTGGAAGCTGCGTGGGACCACCTAAAAGCGAATCAATATTATCCAATCTTTTTATTTTTTATTTTTTTGAATTTCTCCCATTTCCCATGAACAATAATAAACATTGCGGTCTAGCCATCCAGCCATCGACATCGGTATACATATTTCTCTCTCTCTACCTCTCTACCTCTCTGATAGTTACATGACGATATCTCGATGCCGCAAGAGGCATTGAAGATCATGTATATTACTCCACCAATGGCACTTGTGTGACGCTAAGCTCGACTATTCTGATCTATCTGACCTCTTGTTTCCTTGTCATCGTTACTGGACTACGAAGTACTCGAAGTACTTTCCTGCTAAGTTTCTTGGCCGTCGTCGGTGGGAAAAAAACACAATTGTCAGGGTCAGATTTCTGGAACCAGGCTTACACTTGGACCGGATAACGGCCATTGGCATCAACAACTCTCCTTTGCTAGTCTGGTCCAACTTCGTCTCGACTTTAATTCATCTCTGGCCTTTTAGTTGTTCAGATATCTTTATGTTACCTCTTTATTAAAGCGTCGGGGTCTTGTCCTATACCAGAGTCTCGTTGGCTAGCGTGCTTTCGAATCGATCTACCTCCCGGGACCTCTGTATGCCACCAAGCAGTTCACCGCCCCTATCCGTTCCGTCCGAGCCCCTAAACCAGGCGGGTATTAGCTATATGGAAATATTGAATCCCGTTGGATAGATTGCCGCTCTGCCGTTATTGCTCCACCTACGGTCAGGAACAAGTGTTGTTACCACCTCAGCATCATCTACGATCCGCCTCTCCGTATTCACCGCCGACAGTAGTACCACTTTCGAGCTTATACGTACGCGACCCTCCGTCCATAATATCGCCAGTGTCTAGATTTTCGAAGCTTCGCAATGGCTACCCCGGGTTCCAACAGCACTGGGGAGGGCGGAGAGGCGAGTAAGGTGGCCGGCTTCATACCGCTGGTGACGGTCGTAGACTTCCACCACCATAGAGGCCCCGAGGTCGAGAGATGGTTTGGCGTAGCTGAAGGACAAGACCCAGCAGCCGACTATGACTGGACGTTGCTCCCATTCATGGCTTTGAGCGACGGGGCTCACGCGTGAGTTAGATTTTTGGTATGGCACGTATTCCTAGGTATCTAGCACTAACAAGCCAATCGGTGTACGTAGATCGACCGAAGACTTCTCGTATTTCACCCTTTTGCGACCGGCCACCGACGATTCTCCTGCAACCTCGCTCTTTGGCATATCGTGCACAAGGCAGCTAGATGCCTCGCAATTGCTTGTTCGGCCTGCTGATGTGACGCGTTCGACGGTTCAGAAGGCGGTTGTGGTGATAGCAGACAGCCCGCAATTCTTCGGCATGCTTAGGGAGCGACTATCCATCGTTACCAGTGCCTGGTTTGCTCAACGCGAGTTCAGTGATACCGAAATATTGCGGAGATTTCAAGAGAGCCTTGCTGATGAAAAGACACGCGGCCAGATGAACGAGGATGTCGACAGAGATCAGTACTTGGGAATGAGCCTCCGAGAACTGGTGAGGGAATTCCGATGGCAGACTTTAGTGCTGTTGAAATGTTGTCTCCTGCAGCCGAAGGTGGGTAACCCAATACAATTCGGTCGTGTCCCGACTTAGAACTTACAAGTCACTTAGATGCTCTTCTTCGGCTCGCGGTGTGAGCGTCTATGCATGATGCAGTTCTCCCTCATCTCCTTAATACCGGGTTTACTTAGGAACCTCCAAGACTGTGCAGGTCCAGACCTGAACAACTACGAGAAAAATCTAAGTCAGCCAACAAGTTTGAGGTCTAGTGACCGAAATTCACTACTCTCGTACATGGGGTTACCACTGCAGATATTTGGCAAGGTGAATTTATTCCTCCCTTTAACACCAAACGCGCGTTGACCAGACATAGGGGAGTTTGTTTGGGCCGTACACACCCTTGCAACAATTAGATATCCTAGCGGACTTCGGCACAAAATCGTATATAGTTGGCAGCACAAATTCACTACTATTACAGCAAAGGGACCGATATAGCGATATACTAATCAATCTCGACGAGAACACGATCAATATTACCTCCACCTCACTGCGCACCGCATTGGCGCTCTCACATTCTGATAGGCGGTGGATTGATTTTATCACGCAAGAAGTGAACGATACATGGGACGACACGAATCCAGGTCGGCCGAAAACAATGGGGTATCGCGGCAGCGAAGAATTCATCCGGCTTCAATTTGAAGAATATCTCTTATCCCTCATCTCTTCGGTTAAATATCATAATTATCTCACCCAGAATGGCCATAACCCCAAGGCCCTTCTTCCGCATATTGACGGAGACCCGTCTGTGGATTTTAGCAACGAATGGGTTGAATATTGGATGAGGACGGAGAACTATCGCATGTGGAACGCGCATACGGATTCGCACCTGTTCGACATCGTTGAACCGAAGCACCCCTGTGCCGGGGGGCTCACCGTCGACGATGTTCAGCGGCGGATCCAGCAACAGGTTCAAGACCTCCATCTGGACGAGAGGTTCGCAGTTGGCAAGGAGGTTCTGGGGAGGAACCTAGCTGCAGGACGCGATAAAGCGAGTACTATGTTTAACAAACTGTATGCAGATATGGAAGCTCTCCGCGAAGCGCAAAGGAAGCGCGCCGAAGAATCCCAGGCAGCAGAAAAGAACGGCTCCGCAACACCCGACGCAGACCCCGGAAAGGCGCAGCAAACAGGGAGCTCAGTCAGCGCGAGGGCCGGCGCATATATCGGAAGCTGGACTTCGTGGGCCGATCAGAAACGGAAGCAGGGTTGGGGCCGATCCAGCGGAAGCGCTAGCACCGGCGGATGGGGATTTGGTAGCAAACGGCTGTCGAGAGGGTTTAACACAGATTCAAACAGCGAAAAGAACGCCACGCCCCTTAGCAGCCCGGCGCTCTCATCTCCTGGGTTTACTTCGACCGAAAAGATCCAGATGTCGGATGTACAGCACCGTGCCAGCGAGGGTACTGATAGGAGACCACTTACCCAAGATAGTTTTGGAGAGAGCATGCTTGATGCTGCGGGTTCGACGGAGAGCGGGACCTCTAGTCCGGCTAGTGTCCGGAAGACCGCTCCGACTCCGGAACGTAATGATGCGGTCAACGGTTCGAAGGTGGAAGGAGCGGATGAGCATATTGACGCTGCGAAAATCGCTTCGAAAAAAGTTGCCGAAGTAGCTGCGAACGAGAAGGATGAGAAGGGCGAAGAAACAAGTGAAGCCAAGAGAGAAGAGCCGAAAGTAGCGGCAGAGACAACCGCTAGCGGCGAATATATATGAAGATTTCTATCTTCCTATAGAAGAGACGACCACAAAGAGATGATAGTAGAAAGGGAGATAACATGGTACTTGTGGCATCAATTGGATAAGAATGCAGGCTCCATAAGAAGCAATGATCGGAGAGCCAGACAGAGCAGAGCAGCAAGACTTGGATGAGATTTTCGCGGCGCAGCTGTACTTACCGGTACTTGACGGAATGGCTAAGGGGACGTGGCAAGATACGCGGATGAGATGAAGGGTTGTGAAGTACTTACAACTACTATATTATACATGTCTCCCTCTCTAAACACCATTAGGGACAGAATAGGGGAAAAGACGATGGCCCACAGCCGAATTAGGTAGGATGAGATGAAATGAATTGGAATGAATTTGAAATTCGAAGACGAATCATGAATCACGATGAGAGCAAAAGTACCCAATACTGAAATGTCGTTTCCGTTAGGACTTGGTATGACTTGTTATAACATAATAGATTACATGGGTAGACTACTTGTTTTATCTCAGCTGCCTACATGGTCATTGATTTCAAACACTAAGGCCTCGGCGATTTACTAATTCTGAGGTATGAACCATTACTTTGTACATTGATTATGAGTTACAACACTACCGGGAAATGAAAATGGTATATGTGACTAGGTCTACGTACAATCAAGAAGGAAAACATTCACGGTGAAGATGCCAATGCGTATCTAGCGAGTTTATTCGTTCGTGTCTACTAATTTTGGGGGGTTGCTTCGACACGTATCGGTATAGCAAGAGATGTACCGGAGTCCTAGCCTGCTTAGACTTGCGATCACTAGCCGAGCGAACTCGGTTCGTTGGCAAGGCTAGAAGCAACGGTAATCGTGGGTAAGAGCAATGCGTTCATCAAAGTGGGATCCGAGGTTCTATGGTCAAATGGGGACTACATCTCCCCCATGAGTGCGTGCCACCAATTTCTGGGCTGCCAATTTCGTCGCGTCGTCAACCATATGCAGCAGCCCCATTCCATCCTCCACCTCCTAGTACCGAGAGTCGGGAGACTTGACAATTATCGGAGTCTCGTCGTATGCGTAAATTCAGGAATCGTCCGTGTTGCCCGCCTCGAAAATCTTCCAACCAACCAACCCTATCCGATTTCATATGGAGAACCAACCCCCAAGTTTTGATTTCACGCCCTCGGAATGTGTGATGACGAGCATTAAGTCGCCACCGGGAAACAAATGCTGGAAGAGGGAAATACTAGGGATATATGCGTAGGATTAATGCAACTTTTCTCCGAACGGGGTATATGAAATCCCCTGAATTAGGCAAGATAACCAAGCTCGTCGTCTTCCAAACGTTCCAGATATTCCTTATCAAGAAGAATCTCAATGCACTTCTTGATATCGCCCACTCTAGGGACGAAGCGGGACTTGATCTGGTTGATGGTATCGCCAACGAGCTGAGCGTGCTTCAACTTCTTTCGCGCCTTCATGATTCGCACAATAGAAGACTAAATCATGGTTAGCACTTGAAGAGATACAATGATACAACCGGAAAGCAAAACTGGAATGAACATACTTGTAATACTAGCTGTCGGTCCTCCTCAATGGTCTTGTTGGTGTCTGCCTCTTCTTGTTTCTGCTCGGACTTGGTGGCGATATTTAGGTTGACTCGGATCTTCTTATTCTTGAAATCGTAGTTAAGATGGAACATCTTTCCGGGACCAGGCTTCTCGCCGTCGGGTTTCATATGTAGAACCTTGGCTTTGAGAAGAATACCAATACCAGGATCTAATGCCTCGCTACTTAACTGGGTGACTGATGCGATATCCTCGTACGAATGGGCGTCCTTAGAGTTAAACATCAAGAGAACCGCCATCTGGTACACGCTAACTTGGAATGTAAAAGGCGTCTTCGAGGCTTTGCAGTACCCGGTCTTGAGTTCTCCTTTGCAAAGCTGCCATAGCCAAGTAAGCTTACGACCCTCGTGCTTGTTTCTATAGAAGAGCGTGAACCGGTCGATATCCGATTGGATTTCAGCCGGCGGACTGAAGGTCGTGTTAGGAGGTGTCAGCGGCCAGAAGCTAGTTCCTAAGATTGAGTACGTAGAGTCAAGTGGTTGCTTCTCTAACTGGAGGCCCTTGGTGTGCTCTTTGAATCCGGTGTTTAGATCCTTGGAAATTTGCATGTCCTGGAACATGCGCTGAAGCTTGTTTGTGTACTCGAAGCCACACGCCTCCTTAAGCTTACTGATCATGCTGGTCTCGGCGTCATCGGAAGAAGAACTGCTATGTACGAGCCGTCGAGCTAACATTCTCGAGTAGAACTTCTGGAAAACATCCTTGTCCTCAATGTACTTGAACACAGTCATTATTTGTGTCAGAGTAGTGTCGAGCTCCGCTTCTTCCACTCCAGTTCCGCTCTTGCGCAATAGTACATCGGTGTACTTGGCGAGGAGTTCAGGAGATTTGCTGCTTCCTGCCTTGCAAATATCATTGCGGTTCACAAACTCTCTGCAAGCATTGTCCAAAGATCGAGTGAATTCCGGCTCATCTGCAAACGCGCGCTTGACTAGACCCTGATACCGTGTATGCGTCTCGAGCAAGGCCTCGACGTAGACCTTAGGCTCCAGCTTCTCAGCGTCCGAAGCCACCTTAGCAACAGCATTAAGGCCAGCGTTCCGAACGTGAGTCTCGAACTTCTGTCTGAGAGGTTCCAAGCCGTCTGGAATTCTGGAAAGCAGATTGTACATACGGGCCATATCATCCTCTCGATCGTTGTCCAACAGGACCTGGAACTCGTCTCGTAGCATTGCCGAGTGATCAGCGATCAGCGCCTTATTGCATGTCTTCTTCAGAGGCAATGCTATGTCGTTGTGGAGGTACATGCGCACACGCTCCTCCTCTTCGGATAATCGAGTCTCCGCCTTCTTCATGTATTCCACGACACTATTCTCCGCAACGAATTGCTTAGATTCGGCTTTGTAGAAATCCTCGGTCGCAGCGAGGAAGGGCTTCTCGAAATGGAAGCGATATGTGTCGAGAGTCGACTTGGTGGCATCGTGCTCGTCGAGACCGAGGGATACGAAGGAATCGACGACCTGCTTGATTTGTCGGTGCTCTATGGTCTCGCCATTTCTCTGCTTCTCGACCAACATGAGTACAGCATCCATGACTTTCTTGTTGACAAGGGTAAAGAACTCAGTGCGCCACTGGTACAGATGCAGTGTGTACACATCGTACGTGTTCTTCTTCCCTTCATCCATCTCTCTCTTAACCCAGTGCCGGTTAAGATAACGGAAGAGGTGATGGATATACTTCGCGGCGACAGTGTACCTGTTCCACTCTCTAATGTAGAAGGTCAGCAGCGCCTCATCGGTGTGCGCCTTGGACTGTTCGTAGAGTCCGTTCAGATGATCGGTCAAGTACTCCTTAAGCTTCCTGTACAGATCTTCGCCGAGGAGGTGGGCTACGATGGGATTGTCAGCGAGAGCAAGTTGATTGGAAAAGCTAGGGTCAATACCTCCTCTATGAGCCTGGCCTACGGCGTTAGAACTTCCCAGGCCAACAGCTTTCTGAGATGTGCAGAAGTTGTGGACGGCACTATTTTGTCAGTTTGCGGCAAAGAGGTCGGAGGGGGAATAAGCTCACGTGTAAATGCCCATGTACTAGATTGAAAGGTCAGCCGTGGAATAAAAAGACACGAGGGGCTTCTAGAAAACATACCGTTGTCATGTCCATGCCATCTTGCAGATTAACCATAATCTTAGAAATACCGGCCTGAAGGTATTCCCATGTTTGCACGATATCCTCCCGGTTCGGTACCGGAGGCATCGATCGAGTCGCCGTTACAGACATGGCGACGGACGATTCGGAAGAGCTTTCCTCCGAAGAGGATATCAGGTAAAGATGATGGGCAGGTCGGCGCTAATGTTTGTGGTGTTATGGGGAGGGGTGAGTTCTCTAGATAGGCTGGTGTTAAGAAGTCAAGTTAGTGAGGACTAGAAGAAATGAATGGGAGGAAAGAAGGTGAATGATTAAAGAGTGAACGAAGTGGGGTGGTTATTGTTTTGTAGAGTTTGCAGAAAGGAAAGGAAGGGAAAGAGAAGGCAGGCGCAAGTCGCGTTGCGTGTACGATTTCAAAATCAACAGTGTGAAGAGAAGGGAAGGCAAGAGCAATATTGTGTAGGAAAGAGCCACCCGAAACATACAAGTGTCTGCCAATCTGGCAGCCTGGCGTGAATCTTCCAGACCCGTGACCTGAGTCGAAAGATTCACAATCTCAAACGGTCGGTGACGCAGTTACTCTAGAAAAAAAGGACGGAAATAAATATAGGAGCTGGAAAATAACACGACGCGATCGACGAAATGCTCAGTCGTGATAAAAATTGGGCGACGTGGAAATTGATCTGAGGTCACTGCTCTGTGAAAGAATGGATGGAGTTAGATTTCCAGGTCGCCGCAACAGATTTACTAGGAGTTAAGACCTGGGAGTTAAGGCAGACAAGAGCATCACTCCAAAAATGACCCGGCAGAGACGACAATCCTAGTCACCTAATGAGGCTAGTGCGTTGTTACCGCCTCCGCCCCCACCTTCAACACTCAACTAGGTTAACGTATCTAGGTACCTAAAGCGGACGCAACTGCCCCTCCAAAAGATACACGGGTACTTTGAATACCTACTGTATTACATAATACTTGATTTTCGTTGCTCCATATAGGTACTGTATCTCCTACCACCTTATACCTACATTGTACCCTATTTTGACCCGCCCAGATTCATTATAAGATATCGTGATAGTATGACTTTAAGATATATTTATTCATCTGCTTGCATGGTTCATTTTTCATGCACATTATCTATCCCACCGAGCTTCTCCGCAAGTCTGAACACATTGATAGTGAAATTCAGAATCCAGGCGATCAGCCCTACTAGCGTCAGCGCTGCAAGCCCCCTAGCCAGATGTAAAGACACATCTTCCATCTCCGACGAGCCAGCGTTTGTTGATAAGCCGTCGCCGCTATGATACACCAATGCTTCGAACGCCAGCGCCGTACTAGAAGATTTTAACACGATGAAAACGAGGTCCAAGAGTGTAAGAGACACCTTTTGCGCCGGGGGTCGAAGGCCCAGAGGTTTCCCCGTGTATTCATCCCAGGTCATATAAAGAGTGTAAGGGATGGCGACAACGTCGATGACAATAGCGACAATCGCCTGTGATGTCTCCGGGGTATTTGCGGCTGAAATTTCCGGGTTCTTGTTTCTCTGGAAGATATTACACGCAAGGGCAAGGGCCGCGATCGAAGTGATCAAGACTATCAGACGGAAGATGAGTGGTGCGATAGGGTGCCTTAGTACGAAGTTGGAAATCTTCATGATCCATGTCTTCTTCCTAGACCTCCCCTTAGTCTTAGGATCTAGAGGATGTAATGGACTTCGTACCGGCTTGTCGAGGCCCGGCATTTGTTGTTCCAGAGTCTCATAAGGTACCACCTCGAACTCGTCATCGGGACTCCGGCCGTACGAAGAGGATTGAATGAAATCTCTCCATCTCTCGTATGGGTCTTCATTAGGTGCTCGGTAGCCAAGCCCCATAATCACAGGCTCTGCCGTGCGTAAATGATCCCATCGTCGTCCTGGCCTGTCGGCTCGTTTCCTTAGGAACACCGGGAGTTTGGATACACGATCATGTTTTTCGTCGACCCAGTCCACATAGCCATCCTTCGATACCCTCCTCCTCAACGGCCGGTTTCCCTTGCTCTGCTCTGGGTGGACGCTTGGTTGGGGAGGCTTGAGATGCTTGTCCTGCTTCGGGCCATGTGCATCTTCGTCGTATAATTCCACCCAAGCAGGTACAGTAATCCTTAAAGGATTCCGGCTCATCTCAATGTTTGAGGCGACAAATTCATAGGGTTGTGAGACTCTTGTAAGAATAAAGTTGAAAGGGGTCCGCGGTCATCGATTAGCCGGACAGAAGTGCCAGTCATCCTCTCATATAGCTGGGAGCTTTATGTCGTTCGGAACTCGGAACAGGTGGGGAATTAGCGTTCAATAGAAAGCCGCCACCAAAAGATACGTAGTGCTGTGCGCGTTTTCGTAGGCGCCGACTCCCAAACTTTTTCCAACGCCAACGCGTGCCGGACTGTGAAGATATAGAGGTAATAGAACAAAGCGCAGAACCACCCCGGTAGTCAAGCAGAGGGATATAAACAATTACTTATTAATCGGCCGTGGAAGAAGGGATTAAACGCTTCGAGATCACGGGTAAGTCAAGTAGGTGCGGAAGGATCATTTAAACAATGTCATGGACAATACGACCCTCTCATGACGTGTTTTGAAAGGAACAATGAAATGTAATGGTAATGGAGACGAAAAAGGAAATACGGATGGTATAGTACACGACACAGAGAGCTTTTCGTGTGCACCGTATAGGTACGATGAGAATAGCAAGTTAGAATTATGTATGCTTGAGAATGGATGACAAACTTTATGTGATCACAAAAGCGCAAGATGATTAAATTAAGTCAGCTCCAGCAGATTGGGCGCGTTGGCCGGGGAGAGCTCTTCTTGGCAGGGATATACTAACAAGATCATATGGTCGATGGGAAGGCCATAGCTTCAAGCTAGGAAGGATTTGTGTTTCGTTTCAAAAGTGGGACAACAATGTATATCTGTATATCTGGATATGGCTACTGTACCTGTCCTTCAGCCACAGAAATGTGTGAGTTCCTCACGATTTATTCCCGTATGTATTTCTATTAATCTTATTTACCTAGGGACTTGTGTTAGAGTTATTCCCGTCTTTAAGATTGAGCGCTATCCTAATGTTAATAAACGTTACCTCTACTGACCCACGTGGGTAGTCTTTGCGTTCTGGTACCGCCGCATTAGACGTACAAACCCGGGGTATCTAGAAGGTACCTAGGTAGCTATCCACAAGGTTCAAAATACGCAAAGTGCAAGCCACAGCACAATCCCGGTTCACATGCGTCACCAGCGCATCTTCATTTGCTACCTTAACGGTACTCTTCTGACAAGGGTTTTAAAAAAAAAGCTACAATTTCAACGTCATACAAATATTTTATTGCTACCATGCGACAACCATGATTTCGACAGAATTTTCCAAGAGATGAAGTAACAGGAGCCCGTCGCATTTGCCATCTAATATTCGCCCTTTACTGCAATAATGAAATTCTTCCTCTTACCTATCTCGACTCGGCGAACGTTGCTATACTGCCAGAAGATCCAAGTTTTGCCGAAAGAAAAGCAAAGTATAGTCGACAAGGCTACAGTTCGTGCCGCAAAACTTTGGTCCGGTTGGGAGAAGAAAGAAGCAGGATGGCAAAAGAAAGTCGTCGTTTATGGGAACTCCTTACTAAGAAGGATCCATTTTGAAGAATGGGGTCTCAAATCAGTGCCTCCCTTGTCTACCAAACGAAGAGAGGAAGAGGTCCTAGGAAAAGATAAAAATCAACTTATTTACCCCGAGGATATCATCCCCACGAAACACGCGGTAAACGTACTACGAGCGCTGGGCACAGACCGCGAGCCGTTGCATAAAACTAGATTAATATGGTGTCTTATTGGAATGCCAATCAGCGCACCATTTGCTCTTGTCCCGGTGTAGGTTTATTGGCCCTAAGTATGCATTCAAAATGTATGTCCTCCTAATAATCAGTTCTCCAGAATACCCAACCTTCCTTTCTTCTACCTAATGTACCGAGCTTGGTCACATTGGCGCGCCCTCGCGGGTGGAAAGCACATACGATTTCTCTGCGACAACAACCTCCTATCTTTATCGCCATCTCCAGTTCTCAACTCGATATACACGCCGCTTCTCGGCCATTTTGCCCTCCCGAAAGATTCGAAAGCAGATATAGGGGGAGCAACACCACTACCCGACAATACCTCGAAGGTTTCCGAAGACGAGACGCTGCTCCTTTCGCAGGATAAGGGCCGGCAGCTTGTCAGGGCACTGGAAATCCCGGAACTCGAAGTTGAGCTCGAGAGGGCGATATGGCAAGTCGAGACAGCTATTCAAAGAGAAAAGGAAAAAAAGGCCAAACCCCCAGATGCGACCAAAACGAAGTGATGAATTGGTAAAAAGAGGACCACGGGTAATGCGTGACGATAGGGCGGTGTTTAACGACGGTACGGCCATGAACATATAGAAGGAATACCTGGACCTGGTATGGGGATAGATAGACGGGTCTGGTTCGTCACTCTTTGGTGACATTTACCACGGGAGGGAAGAGAACAAAGCTACTCACTCGCATGAGCAAGAGACGAGCAAGAGGTATAATAATCATGTTCGCCAAGCTTGAATTCTACTGAGTGCGACTACACGTATTGCCGATAAGATTCCAACAACACATAAAATCCCTATGATGATTACTAAACGCTTCGTCGTTACCGAACGCAACGGGTAATTCGTCTCTGGTAGCCATTCTTCCCGATAGCTCGCGTCCGCAAGTGCTTGCTTCTCCATATCAATTTGTCGTACACCTGGGCCGTTGTCCTGATATCTGCCCTCTGGGCGATGCTCTGTGCGAGCGCGGGTAGAAAGAGAATCATCCATTTGCTTTTCCGGTATCCCATCATAGTCGTCGTCATTTGTAGTTCTGGCGCAGCTTGCATTGGCAGGACCCCGAGACGACATCGTCTTCCATGCCACGGCAGCTTTCTGACGCATTAACCTCTGCGTAGGACTCTGCTCGTGTTTTGCAGCTCCATTCCGCTTCTTTCGCCTCGGTGATGCTTCGGGATTTGACGGGTTTAAAGGCGAAGAAGTATGTGGCATATACGTTTGTTCTCTCGAGGGTAAAGCCCAGGGAACCATCGCCATTTTATCGGATCAGATGGGTGTACGATAGCCAGATGTAGGGTTTCGAGCTTAACTGAAGCTTTCTAGGAGATGGCTATTCTTTGATATCCCAAACAAAGACGCCAAGAAAAGAGCGGGCGAGTACTATAAGACGGTAACATTCAATTGTTGTGCCGGTCCGAGTTAGGTTAAATCTTCTCAAGATGTCTTATATCCGCCTCCCTTGCGTCCTTATTCAAGCCATGGAAGAATCCCGCCCAGACGGCGCGTCTTGAGCCTTGGGAAAGCAACTACGGCTGGACTAATAGGACGTATACGCCAATCACCAGAAGAGAACACGGTCTAGAGCGTAACCAAATTGTCGGTAATAAAGTATATTGGTTGCTTAACCGCCGCGCCGGCATATGGCTTCACAGCCTTCTACTTGTCTCTATTCACGTCTTATCATCTAAGTGCAACTTGAGAGAATCTGTCAGACCTCCTTTAATTCCTTCATTCGTAACACCTCGACGACTGATTCATTTCCATTAAACGACAGCATCCTAGGTACGTATCTAAAAGGAGTAGCACTATTATGGACTTTTTATCCATGTGATATCTTGGTGGCCTCTTCTCCCTCGGGCTATCATAGAAGATTCCTTTTCCCTCGAGATTTCCTTCGCCACGGATCACCCCTTTCGTGCTATTTGAGTTATCGTATCATGCATATAAGGATCACCTCGTAAGGGAATCGTGTATCCGACACGTCTATGTAATTATTCTCACCATGAGTGTCACATGTAAGAGACCAGAGACAAACATTCAAATTGAGCCAGCAACTCAGCCTGGCTTTATTGTGTTACCAACAATCTTCTAGTGTCGAATATACCTAGATAGTCTAGAAACATGGTGGTTCCATGCGTACTAATATAGGTACACAGAGAAAATGGGTTCGACAAGCATCATCACAAGTCAACTTCTACTACACTACGTAACGAATACCAAATATACATACGCCAACAAAGTCGTTTTCGCTTAGAATACCATATATACTTATATAATAACGTGCCTAAATTGTCGATCAATAAGGGGTCCTCAACAACAGTTGGATTTGCAAACTGCCTCAACCCACACAAACAACGATCATTCTAGCGGGATCTGCCTATCATGAGTCTGGTGCCTGAGAATAGAGCTCATGAACGTCAAAACAATACCCAGATTTCCTTGATCTCCTCAAGGTCCCCGTACAATTAAGTGATACTTGAGCGAAGGTCTACGGACGGGGACAAAATTGTTGTGTAGGATTCATTATCAGGACATTACAGTGTAGTCTAGCCTTCTGGGCATGGGATAATGCATACGACGATTTGATTGGACGAAGCTTCGGGATGGCGATCTCGCGGTTTTGCAGTGTCAGAATACCCAGGCTCAGGAGGCAAACGGTCAGAGCACAATGCCCAGCCGGAAATGGGTTGTTAGCGTGGTGGCAACCCCTGTCTGCCATCCCATCAAGTCTAGACATTTTATAGTAACCCTCCATATCGAAGCGGTATGAAACAATGCACAAGAGATCTGGTAAGATAAACTCGTCTCTTGACAGGTGCCCCGGATGACACCATCCCAAGTCTACATGCTGCATATACATTCGGCGTGGTCTGGGAACAGAGCCGCCAATACGGCTTCCGAGAGGATCAGGAGGCTTGGCGCAGTAGTACCTACCACCCAAAAATATCGGGGTTGCGCCGTATCTTCGTAGACATACACGGCATCTTATACTAGCCGTCTTCTGGCGGCGGGATACCGGCCGCCAAGCTGTGTGGGGTTTCAGTCGTCGAGTCAAAGTGGTGAAGCCATTATGAAGCCATCTCCAGGTAGAAAAAATATGCCATAAAGATTGAGCAGATGTTGGTGTGATCGCCAGCTCCCAGAGCGAAGATATAATGTGCCCGTTTCCCAGGCCAAAGATCTCATAATACTCTCTCTCATCCAGGCAGATTGCTAGACATCCCTCGTTCACTATCATACACCTAATTTAGAGCTGCGCTCCTTTGATTCTTATACTATCTTTAATATCCCCGTTCGAAACGGTACATTTTTGTAATTTTCTTACCTACCTAATTTACGAAGTCAAGATGAAGTTCACGTCAGGCCCCATTTTCGCTACTTTGGCGTTGACCGCCTACCTCCCGAGCATCCTTGCAGCTGAGGGATTTGCCCCCAGCCAGCGCTCAGTCGCCGTCTTCAGCCGTGGCGAGTTGGCCAACAATGCCACCGCCGCTGCCAACGGTACCGACGTCGCCGATGCAGGTCAAGCCGAGGAGAACAAGGATGGAGAGAACGCTGACGAGAACGCGAACAATGACCAGAACGCTGAGGACCAACAGAACGCCGAAGAGCAGAACCAAGACGATAACCAGAACGATCAGAACCTCCAGCAAGAGCTCGGCGACCTTGAGAACCTCAATGGAATTAACATCGACCCCAACAACCTAGAGGGCAGTCTGCAGCAGAACATCGGAAACCTCATGCTCGGCCTCGGCATCTGCGACTTCAACATTGGCAGCATCGGTGGCATTGGCGTTGGCAACCAGATCCAGCTTCTCCTTCAGCTACAACAGCTCCAGCAACTCCAGCAGCTCGGCCTCGTCAACTCGTTCTCCATCCAGCAGCTCCTGCAACAAGAGCTTCTCCTTGGCCAGTTCAACCTCAGTAAGTCACCCCTTGCTAACGAAGTCTCTTAGCAGAAATGAGCTAACTTCATCTAGACATCTTCAAGCGAACCATCAGCGCAACCATCAAGCAGGCCGCTCGTGCAAACAAGCGCACTGTCATGACCAAGAGAGAGTGCAAGGGCCAGAACAACGCCAAGGGTAACTAAGAAGTTATGAGACCAAGATACTTAGCATTTTGTATGCTTCGGGGATAATAGGGGCATGGTCGGAGTATGTCTAGGCCTGCATTTGCAGTCCGCTGCCTATTATTGTAATTTAGGCGTATACCACAGTGAACTCCGTGCCAAGGAAGAGCACTGGTAGATAAATCAAGGGATAGTCTGGTTATCAACAACAATGATTTTCTTCATTTGGATAGTTTCGACGACCGTGCCTCCTTGATGTGACTCTTTGTTGAAACCTCCTAACCCTTGCCAGGCGATCCTTTCGAGATGAGATGAAGTGATGACCTTGGATAGTCACATCGTCCAAGACACGTCTGCTTATTGGACTAAGTAAGCTAGACGCTGCTAGGTACCTAGTTGAGGGTCCATTAGTGTGAGGTTGGGTTGTTTCTAAGTCAAGGGGAAACAAGTCACGATGAGGTCTATTTCATTTTAGCTTAACCTTCGATGTGAATCATCTATGGTTAATTATAGTGATTTTCTCACCGCCAGAGGGCCACTGCATGATGACTCGGATAGCCACATCTAGTAACAGATCAAGTGAGACCGACAAACAAGATTGTTTGAGCTGAATATGATCGGATGAACTCAGATTCTACTAGAATACGACTGTATATCACGTTCGGATGCATCGACTTCCAGAGTGACTATAGGTATGACTTGAGCTTATCGACGATACTCAATCAAGGAATTTAGTCATGCCCTAGGCCTGTGTGTGTCGCATCTGTAACACATCCGATGTCCAAGAAAAGCAATTGGGGTACATGCGAAACCCGGGGTTGGCAATCGAAAGATCCTGGTCTAGGCTTTCCTAATTGCCGTGCTGGGAGATCTCTCGAAAGTGACAGAGACCCTTGTTGGTCCGGGGTCCGATTGGATGCTCGAGGGCTTCAAGATGAGAAATATGGCGGGATGATTGGCTAGCCCACTCGCCATTATAGAGCTGAGAGACATAGCCGTGTTGAGATCATATCCTTCCGAATATCTGAGCGAATGATGGGTACCTAGTAGATCCCAAATCTTCTTAATGATAGAGCTGAAAGATGGGAGAAAATCTTTGTTTACGGGACTATCGAATTCGAGAACCCGAACCCACTTCCACCTACGTAGTTGGCGCTGCCGACTAGCCGGCGGTAGACATCCCGCATCTGATCCCTGTTTAGTTAAGACTTTGCCAAGAAGTTGACGGCGCTTTGGCCATGAGAACTTCTTAACTTCAACTCCATCGCAATATAGATGATGCTTCTCAGTCCTATGTTTAAAGCATGCCTCGTGGGCGTAGGTGTGAAGGGAGATCGCCTTAGTCATTATAGGAAACGCCTTTCCTCCTTTCTAAGTTACCCAGTGAGTTATGCCATATCCCGTTTGGTAGCACGAGTAAACGCTACATAGTACAAGATGGCATGGCGACCCTGGACGGCGATCAAGCAAGTTGATAGACTAGTCTGATGTAACAAAGTCAAAGAGGCACAGGACTCACACGGGAAAAACCATGGCAACTAAGGTATATCTCGAGATATGGTACATATCAGGCTCTGGCATAGTCAGATCCCGTTCCACTAACGTTAATTAGACTACTGGAACCCTTGAGATGCGCTCTTGATCTCCGCTATGGCCTCGGGCCAAAGGTCTTCCGTGCGTGATCAGTGCCGCCTGCACGGCTTACCCCGTTATACGGGAGGCCAGAGACTGGCATGAGGTGAGCCGCGATGGGGCCTTTGGGCCTCTTTTGCCTCTTTCCTCTGGGTATCCTACCATGCAGCGGTGCATCCAGGGGTCTTCAGCTGTTGGCGTTTACCTCCGCGCGAGGCCATAGTCACTAGGTCGTCGCCATGGCTGTCTTTGCCAAGATATTCTAGCCTGAGATCAAGCATCTCATCCGCAATATGCCCCTGGACACGGCTCGTTTTACCATCCACACATCCGCCTAATGAAGCCTACATCCTGACACGCACCGGATCTCTCCTTCAACCACGTTCCGAATTATTATTGTGTTCTGAAAATCTTGGCGTTGTTTCTGGGACTCATGCCATCCGATCAACATGTCGTGCCATTCGATATATAAGATGACGTTCACTTCGTCTAGATATGTCTCTTTTTTCTAACCATTCCACTCACCAATCCAAAGACATCTTCAGATCTCTCAACCCATTCTTTCATTCTTTCATTCAGAGGTAAGCTTCCAGCTTCTATCTACAGCCTCACCTGACAATCTCAGCTAACATTGAAACAGCTGTGCTCGTTGTTCGCTTCACTCTTTACATATACACTCATTAGAACTGTCGAGGTAAGCTGAACAGTGGCAACGGGACCCGAACCAGAATCATACCTATCAACAGCATAGCTAACTGGTTCACATAGCTGTGCTCATATTATATTCTAATATTTTAATTATTCAACACTCTCTACACCTACCTATTCAAAATGAAGGCCTCTACCATCTTCGTCAGCGCTCTTGCCGCTTTCGCCACCGCTGCCCCTACCAGCACCACCACCACCCCTGAGAAGCGTGCCAGCGTTGATCTTGCTTCTTTCAACAACTTCAACTTCGGCAACCAGGACCTCCAGTACCTGCTCGCCGTCAACGGCTTCAACATGCAGGCCTTCGCCCAGCTGTCTGCCTTCAACAACCTCAACATTGGTGGCTTCCAGAGCCTGTTCGTCGGCAACACCTTCGACATCAACGCCCTGCTCCAGCTCCAGCAGATTGCTCTCCTGGCTCAGCTCGGTGGCCTCGGTGTCTTCGGCAACTTCGACCTCAGCGCTATCCAGCTCAACGTTTTCGACCTTGGTCTCCTTGGTAACATCGGCAGCTTCGATGTCTCTACTCTCGTCCAGCAGAGCCTTGTTCCTCAGCTCCAGACCGTCATCCAACAGACCCGTGAGTAACCCGATAATCCACAGAAACATTCATGAAGCTAACCCACATCATAGAAATAAGCGCTGTTGTCCTATAAACGATCTCATGATCTACTAGGGCACACCTCATCTCAGGGCACCTATAATGCAGTGAGCGAGTCTACCTTACAAGGACACGATTCAGTGCGGGGATGAGAAGGGGAGCAGATTGGGAAATATCCCTGTATTTTTCTTATTTTATGTCAACTGCCGTTGTTTCCTCGCCGGCAAGATAATAATATGGATTCATCGGAGCTCATCTCTCGATAATTCTACCTACCGCTTACAGGGGATGCTACAAGCCGGTTGCGGGTCTTCGGTCAGAGTGGAAGGGGAAACACAAGCATAGCAAGGGTAGAGTGAATGAGAATGGGATTCATTGGGTTTTCTGGAGATGATTCTTATCAATTTTACCTCTCATTGGGATAATTTATCGGACTTAAAACTGATCTGAGTCTTCTGCGATGTTTTGGTGCTTCTTGAATTTGCCTTTGGTAAAAGCTGGTTTCTCCCGCATATTTTTCTATGGGGGTTCCAACAGATCGAAGCATAGAAAATAACTTTCATATGCCAAATCAGATAAACGGATGTTGCCCACGTTTGATCGCTTGGTTGTGAAACTTCGGGTGGGCTCATCAAACACAAAACAGCGAATTCTTGATCGAATTGGTGTTTTCATGCGATGTAATTGCCAAAAGATTGGTGACAATAGAACATCTTATTAGGGTTTAAAATCATTTCAAGTTCTACTTCTTTTCTGTCACCACCTTACCATGCATAAGGGGCTATATATTATAACATATTGGGCTTTTTAATCATGTTGATATCATCGACGTATCCTCAACCACTTTCTCCCTGTTCCTCCGTTTTCCCTTAAACGACTCTCAAGCACGAATTATTACTTCCTCTATCCTAACCACAACACTTGAAAATTAAAAGCTCTTAATTTTCGGGATAGGTATTGCTACATTTTCATACTGCTACTCATTCATTTGTCGAGTTCTCTGCTTCATATCACACATTAAAAAGACTGAATCAGCGCGTCTGAAGATGTATTTGTCAGGGGCATAAGTGGAGTAGGCCTAGAAGGAGGTCCTGCGGACCTCCTGCTAGGCAAACGCGAGTTAGCAAGGTATAAGAAGGGGGCTTCGCCCCCTTCAACCTTAGAGGAAGTAGCGTTATTAGTTCATCTCATACTTGCTATATACTA